TAATGCAGAACATCTGCATCTGATGAATACAATAACTTTGTCACACATGATGATTAAAAGAATTAGGACGTTTATGAGCTATTTCCATCTGTCCAAGACTGAATGTCGTAAAACTTTACCAAATTTTCTACAAAACTACAAGGTGTCACAGCCTAACCGTAATCTTCTTAAAACTTAGAGCTATACATCAAACCAACTCACCTAAAATCTTGGTAGTGTACTTCCCATATGTATCATGTAATGGGGTCACTTGGTCACTTGAGCCTTGTTTGTTTAACTAAGCTACACCACATGAAATCTGATATTCTCACAGAGGTGAATATTAAGATTATGAACTTCCCATTTCCTTCCCCCTCCTCTCTTCTTGAGTCAACAGCCTCTTTCAGTGTACTGATTCTCACTGACTAATTCACAGCCTTAACCCCTCCTCCTTCCCTATTTTCTCCTCATTTAATTTCTTCTATCCTGAAAATGGAGGCCATAAGTTCATCCAAAATGTTGCCACCTACCCATAAAATCACACAATCATACTCCAGAAGACCATAATCTTAGGACACATTAACTGTTTTTATTTCTAAATATCCCTTGTCCTTTCCTTGCAGCTGACAGATCTTCTGTTACAACAGCAGACTACCCCCAAACAAATCTAATTTCTGACAACAAAACAGAGAGAACAAGCAACACACACTAATGTGAAGTGCACAAACATTTCTGTCTATTCATCCTATTAAAAAATATTTCAAGAGTATTATAACAAAATGATCTAATCCAATGAAATGTCAATATTACTTAAACAAATATAAAAGGCACTTGAAATAATGAGGTGTCACTGATCACTGACATGAAATGGTAAAACCTGCTTTTAATGGAATGTAATTCTACCCAAACAACTAGTGACATATTTTGACACAGTATTCTCATTTTATGTGTGATTGGTGATATGCAACTTCATATAAAAATGCCAGAAGTTAACTTATCTTAATTTAAAAATGTTAACAAATTTTTCACATTTAACCCTTTCACTGTTTGAAATGTTTACCAAACAGTAAAATAAAACTATTCCATGAATATAAAGAAAAAATCGTGAAAACAAAAGAGAAGTTTGCTATCAAGATTAAATATGCTTAAAAATAGAACAGTTACACCCTATTTTTATTACATTATATACCACCCTGTCATTAAAACAATATGGCACCAAAATTAAAAAATAATATTAAGAGCAATTATTTATAAACTGTTCTGTATGGATTATGGAAAGATAAAATGTCATATAAAACCAGTGGAAGAAACCACTTGCAGGCATCTAGTTAAATTAATTATAACTTGCAATAAACAGTACGGGCAAATGGAATGTAAAGAATTCATTAATGGAAGCCTGAATCATATACATGTTTTAGGCTCCCTTTACTTGAGTTCTGTCTTTCTATGCATATGGAAATGTAACTGTGGTTTCTATTTCCTGCTGTGAACCTAAACAAGAAAACCCAAAGATATTATGAAATTTACCCCACAATCTTACAAATGTGTATGGTAGTCACTACAGCTCTTATAGCAATGTGAAAGTAATTTAACTGTTTCTGGATGATTCAGTTCATTTCAAATTTTGTTTTTTAATTACATCAGTAAACTTTAATTTAATTTGAATGCTATTTATTCCTTAAAGCGTTAGCAAATGTATACTGTCATACTACAAAAGGAAACAACCATATCCTTGGCAAAGAATTGGTACTTCCCAAAGTATATTAATTGCTAACTATTAACAAAACACATTCTCAAACCTAGGTTCCAAATTTTGATTTAAATCTGGCAGATCTATGCAGTACAACACGATTCTGCAATATAAAAATTGATTCAAAACTCCATGTTTATTTTTATCATCCCTGTTAAGGCATATGTTTCTAACATGTACATTATTTACGCCACTCTCCATCACGACCTTCGAAACCTGAAATCTTACAAGATCTAAATTGTTTTGTAACACTGAAGACTTCTAGAAACTTGTCAAAAACACTGCAATACTGAATGATTTGTACAAATTATATTTTTAACTGAATACAGTATACTTCCCATTATAACTGTTTGCTATTGTGTTCATTGCTTTAGATCAACTCCTATTTGTGAAATAGAAGTGGTAACGTCTATCTGGGAATACAAAAAGATACCAATAATCTGATAGGATAAAATCAATGAAATAAATTTATTGCTATAAAACTGTATATTAACAATCAGTTCCTTTGATCATTATATTCTAAATGTATTTATAAGACTGAGAAATTTAATGTTCTCAATTCTGCAGACTATGCAAACAGTATATCATCTCTGCACATACATGTAGACCAGTGCTTCCCAAAGTGTGCTGTAAACAATTCTGGGACTGTGTGAGAAGTTTTGAAGGCTTCTATTTCTCTAAAGGCATATTTTATTATGACGGATAGCATAAAAGGATTACCTCGCTAACATCCGTAATTTCAAAAATTGTCTTTATTCTCAGGCAATCATTTATCGTCTGAAGTAATAAAGTAGCAAGGTAGTTATTTTATACTGGGTTTATATACATCTGACCAAAGATGGATTCTGCTGAACAGGTGTCAGGTAACACTTATAACAGATGAGACTTAATGGCCATCATCAGGCTAAAAGAAGCTTTGATATTCTAAGATGCACTACCATACATGTAAGCTAGTAGATTTTTCATTAACTTAATACTGTTCATTTTTCCTAATGCCATTTTTAGAGACAATCTGTTGTGATAATAGGTTGATATTGTGGTGAACTTCTAGCTGAATGAGAAACAAATTTCAAAATGAAAATCAAATACTAAAAACTAAAGAAAAAAGTGCAATGAAGTCTTCTTGGTCAGTCAGTGGTGTCAAAATGGATCATATTTCTGCTTTGGAAACTCTATTATCAGAAACTGCAGTGATAAACAGTGCATGCCCACATCACTTCCTGAGTCAGTGACATTTTTTGAAGTGGATATCTATTCAACATATTTATTTTTGTGTCTTACTTTACAACGCTATAAGTATCTTAGGCCCTGTAACACTGAATGATGGGATGACTGACAAATGATGAATTGGAAAGATTTGGAAGGAAGCAGTCATGGCCTAATTGAGGTACCATCCCGGCATTTGCACGGATAGTCAGCATACAACAAAGATTCTCAGTCAGGATAGCCAATGTCCCAGTTCACACAAATCAGGTCATGATAAAAGTCTGGAGCATTACAGCTACACCAACCCACTCGTTTATTCTGTCTTGACATAGGTGACTACCCACGTAAGTTTCACTGCATCTACTCAGCGTGACAGATGCAAAGCTTATAAGAAATAAAGAACCGATACTTGCAATGCAGGCTAACCTTCACTGTCAATCATGTGGCTACGAACATGTGAAATTCCAGTTATTGTTATTGCCCATGAAATTAAAGAGTCACGCTATATAATCCGTAAATGGTTAACAAGAAAGTGCTAATTGTTTTGTAAGTATGAAGCAACAGCAATATAAATTATATTATGTACTGCATAAGGTTTATCTCTGGCTTGCTCCTAATGTAAACAGAACTGTGTAACAAAGAGGCAATAATGTATCTCAATAATCTCAACTTATCTCTGAAAGCAGTTGGGTGCAGAATGCTATTAACTGTGCACCTACTCATACATTCATAACAATCCAATTTAGTACCTGATTCTCATTAGCTGAAACATGCATTTAACATAAAAAATGTATCTAGTAAATAATAAACATGCATGTGTGCACATATACCTACATAGGGCTTCAATTATGTTTTAACTAGTAAAAAGCCATATAGTCAATGACAGCATGGCATCTATTGAACAAACAATTTCTGTGCATATGTAACATTTACAGTATGTGCCAAAATATGCAGTACTGAAATGAAAAGATGTCCTGTTGATACCACTGTCTCTTCATGTGAAGGCACCTTGCATGACAGAACCTTTTCAAATCCTGGGAAAATGGTCCGATCATCTTGTACCTGTAGCATTCTTGAGTGACAGTAAGAGCATTGCCTTTCTCATCCTCAATGAAATACGGGCCTAATATACCGTGTGCTGAGATGGCACACCATATCGTCACAGGGTACTATGTAGCGGTTCCTGGACAATAACATCTGGCCGCTCAAAACCAAGGAAGCGAGTTGTCTGGTGACCACTTCCATACGAGCGGAAATAATACTCAACTATGAATACTTTTTCCTCCGTTGAGAGACCCATTTCCAACAACTGCATAACACAACTTCCTTTTCACCACTGGGAACACGTGCGGCTGCAGCTATGCCCTATCGACAAACACACAAGCGCGTTCGAGATGCGTGAGTTTCAGTACTGCATCTTTTGGCGCATACTGTATTTCCTATAAAATTAAATCTGTCAAAAATACCTAACCTCACTAAAGTGATCTACAGGCATATCAAAACACCAAACACATTGAAACAATGGCAACTATAACATAACTTCCTTTGCCATTTATTACTGCCATTTTCAGTTCCTGTTCTTAACTACTACTAGCTCTAGCTGTCATCTTCTGCTAGCAACTCATGAACGGCATACATAACAACAGAATGGCAAGAGCCTGCTGCCATCTTCTGATCCAATTTATGACTACTACCAACTATTGTTGCCAACATACATAATGACAGAATAGGAAGCTTTAACATATCATATACAAGTACATGGATAAAGACTCAATATCAAGTAATAAAACTGACTCTTCTGAAGTTCAGTCATTACAAGCAACAAAAGAGATGGCTAAGTTAATGCTAAAATGTGCTCCTGTAGAAATGAAATGCACATACAAATGCTTCATGTATCATTTTTGACTGTGTACCTTACTATGTAGTTTCCATGGCAGATAACATTACTGCTCTTTCAGTTAAGAAATTCACACAGCCAAAAGAAAAAAGTATGGGAAACACTGTTCTGACTGTTGTATGTATATTATTCTATGATACACATGGAAAATTTATTTTTCAATCTGACATTTCACTAAAATAGGTCATAAATAACATTAAATACCACATTACTTAAAAATAAGACACATTTGCAATTTTTTCCTGTTGAAAAATTGAGGTGCATCTAAAATTCTTAGAATGTGCATCTTTCTAATTTTTTTCATAAACCCCACATTCAAAAACTGAATGCATCATCAATTCAAGGGTGTCTCATATTCAGAGTAATAACGAGTTTCACACTTAGAATGATATAATATTATTCATATTCAGGACATGATAAAATTATTATAACAATGTACAAAGTTGCTTAAAGGTCAAAGAAATAATTGTTTTATTTTTAATTCACTGGATAATAAAATATTAACTGATAAAAACATCTCCCCATTATTGTTCTCATGCTTGTAGCTTCACAGCTTATCAATCCTATGGTGACTGTATGGGAACAGTAAAACTCTTTCTTCTTTTTTATTGCAGCCTTCAGTAAAATCTGGAAGAGCTAGTCCCAAAACAAGCATTACTCTCTCTTCTTCTCCTTCTCTTTAGGTCTGCTGGGATAGATGGCAAACAGAGATAACTGTACTGCAAAGAGTGCAAAGGCCACTACATTCTGGAACTGTAATGAAGAATACCAGAAGTTTCTTGTTATTTGTGATGCAGACTTTTTCATGGTATAAGTGATTTGGTTTCTATTGCATCGTGCAAGAAATGGTGAGAGGTTTACAGAAAACAAGAGCATGGTTTTCTGGGCTGTGACATCAAGTAGTCTTGTAGACAGATACAAACATTCCAGAGGAAAATGCTGCCTTTGTTTTCAAGGCTGACCTTGAATATGTAGGAAGCATGTTCCTCCATACCCCTCCTGTAATCTGTGGAAGTTGTGAACTCCACTACCAGTGTGAATCCCAGTGGCCTCGTTGAATGAGACGAGCACTCGGCTCATCCACCTGAATGCCTCAATGATTTATGGGAAGCTCTAAGACAATCACACTGTATATAGATATACAAATTAAAGTGTACAACCTACAAAGGATATAATTTCTGCTATAATATTACAGCACACAGACATGTTGCTATGCAATGATTGTGGAATAAGCAAATATATGATAGCTGTTACTGAGTAACAGCTTTGCAAACAAACATGTTCCCATGGCAACAACTGAATTACAATAACAAGGAGTGGTGGTTTGTATGTGGTCTGTACTGTGGTGTTATAAGCAGAAGTGTCTAGACTTAATTATTAGTCTCTAGAGTCTCCAGCCAGTAACGGCATGAACACGGAAGCTGAGGAAGCTATGGCATTGGAAGCCATTACTGGGCGATAAACGATGAAGATACAGCAGACTGAGAAGACTTGGTGCATGCTGTAGTGAATTAGCAATAGTGCCACTGTTACTTGTAGTTACGATCTGTGAGTGTTCAATAAATCCACTTACCAATTCAAACCCCGTCTGTATTCACTCATACATGTGACAATAAGTTAGGAAAACAAATGGTTTGATTTGTCTCATTCTGGTCCGTCACACTATTAATTACAAAGTAGATAACTTTCAGTCCAGTATGACATACAGGTTTACAACACTTCAGTCTTTATTCGACTTACATGTTTCGATTCAAAAGAATCATCTTCAGAGACGCACCACTCTGAGCAGGAAACACTGTCACATAAGATGTCTTAACATTATGCACTTAGGTCATGAATAGTGCTCACTATATCACGGTTTGCCCTATGCAGCCACGTTGACGTGTAGATTTACATATGATGTTTCGTTTAAGCGTATTTACTGGGTATTCGACTGGGGTTTCCCACTGCACGCATAAAATAGCTTCCCTATGTATTTAAAATTGTATTAAAAATCTTCTGTATGTAAAAAATTAGTTATTATGTTAAAAATCATGAACCAANATGATTTTTAACATAATAACTAATTTTTTACATACAGAAGATTTTTAATACAATTTTAAATACATAGGAAAGCTATTTTATGGAAAAGTGAACATTACATTGCGTGCAGTGGGAAACCCCAAACGAATACCCAGTAAATATGCTTAAAGGAAACATCATACGTAAATCTACATGTCAACTTGGCTGCATAGGGCAAACTGTGATATATAACCTAAGTGCATAATGTTAAAACATCATATGTGACAGTGTTTCCTGCTCGTAGTGGTGCGCCTCTGAAGATGATTCCTTTGAATCGAAACATGTAAGGTGAATAAAGACTGAAGTGTTGTAAACCTGTATGTCATACTGGACTGAAAGTTATCTACTTTGGAAAACAAATGGTTATATTCTACCAGACACAAAAGAAAAATGACATAATGCAACAGCAAAACACTTTGCATAACTTAATTTAAATAAAGTACAAATCAAACCAGAAGACATACATAAAGCGGACACTGATATAGAAAGTGTTACTTTATAAAACTGAGACTGTGACATAATTTACTATATGAAAGATAAACACAAAGAAGAAAGAAAAATATTATGGAAATGGAGGCAGAGAATTAGGATACATAAAAAGATGTATGAATAATACGAGATTTAGGGCTCTGGATATGTACAGAGAATGTGAGACTTGCAGTTCTCATGAAAATGATTAAAAAGAGTACCTTCTAGGACACAATGATCATGTATAGTGTGGTAAATTTCACAAATAATTTGGAGGACTATCCTGACTCAGTTTCCCTAGATGAAGAGCAAGTTGGGAAAGCATGAAGCAAGCTTTATTCTGCTTGCTGCATGTAATCTTTAAGCATAAAGTTGGAGGAGTGTATAGACTACCTTACACTACATTCCAGAAGACAGACCCCCATCATGTACAAAGAACTTCGTTTTGAAAACAAGGTATTATGGAACATTTTTAACAATTAACATGATAATATTAAAAGGAATTATAAGCAGCTATTACAAAAGCCTAGAAACACACAATATGTACATGCTGATTGAACAGAGGACACATCTATGAAGCAAGCAGAATGCTCAATTTGCAGCCCTGAAGAAGAAACTTCACCAAATATCTTGTCATCACACACAACACTGAAAGATTATGCTGCCAACTAGTGGCACTTTATTTTCTGAAATGCTGCTCTGTAAAATTGTATGTCATAAAGCTATATGATGATAAAGTCTCTTAATCTTAAGGAAATTAAAACTACATTCTATTTCACTTGCCAGTAATGAATCATTTCCTTATCAGAATATTCATTCAGAAATAACATACACTAAAGCTGCTGGAGATGATATCTTTTGAAGAATATTACCTTCTCAGATGTGACACTATGTATTCTGGTATATGTTCACCAACATTTCAAGTGTATGTACTACCCCCATCTTCACTGTCCTACATTGATGATGGAGACAGATAATTCCTCTAAGGTGATAATCATCTACCAAAACACATGGTGTCAAATTCCAGATCTTTCTGCATGCTGAAAAATTTAATACATGCATTTACATTCCTCAGAATCTCAATTGTGAGACTGTAACACTAAAAATTTCTCTTAATGTACTCATGTTCTTCCCAACTTCAAGCATCCACAGCCCTAACGGATCACACAGGGAAAGCGATAACTGACATTTCTCACCTATGAATCACTAGAAGCACATACGATCTCTAGACATCACTTACACCTTACACGATCACTAATCCATTCAGTAGCATAACAAAACTCAGAAACAGAAGTTGTACCACTTCAAGAAATCCTTCCCGTTTTGCACAATGGAAAGCCTGTAGTGACTGTGGCATGTAGCATGAGATTACACAGTATGCTTATCGATATAAAAGGTTAAAAACTGAAACAGAAAGGAGGAAAACAGTCATACTGGAGACTCACCTGAATGAATGGATTCTTAATTATTACACCATAAAGAAGCCATAAAAATGTAACAATGAATCCTGACAAAATCAAAGGAAATGGCAACGTCTCAGTGCTCTTCGTCCGAATAATATCTCCCTGAAAATAAACATTATTCATCAACTAGGATTTCTGTATTTGGTACAACATATATAACGAACTGGTGATCATTATCATCTCATTTGGTTACACACAGTGGAACTGCCATTTTGATGTTCCCCAAAATTAAGGATTTCCTTTATCTAACATTTAATTTGAATAATCTGAAGTCAACAATTTCAGTGTTACATTTCCTTCACTTAGGATTTGAAATCCACTCCTTCCCAAGGAAATCTTAAAATTGAGTTTCACTGTGTTCTGCTTATACAGTTTGCTCCGTAAGAGTGTATATCCTTCTTTTTTGTAACGTTGCATCCTGGTTATGAGCTCACATACCAATGTTACGCCATCATAATTAGCATAAACACTTCACCAAAGAGTGAGGGATTCATCAAGGCTTGATGGGATACATGTGCATGGTTACCTATCACCTTACTGCCTAACTTTAACATACGGATTTATACATACATGTGTGTGTGTGGGTAATGATTTATTTTACCAAATTCAGCTGCAAGATGTGTCCAACTTGATATAAAACATCATAATAAACTCACAAAATTGCATTTCTATAGTTCTGCTGTTCTATTAATTTTGTGTGTTATTCCCACATGGTGGTGGCCAACTTTGTGGCTGCAATGTGAAGTGGAAGACACTGCTGAGTGAGAAAATAAAATCTGTATGATGGTGAGGCAGTGATCATTTTAAAGCACATGCTACTGGCGCTTCAGTATCTGTGGGGATAAACTGGCAGATGAGTGAAGCTGACCGCTCACCTCCATGTAGTGCTGAGGTTAATGATGGACCTAAACCTCTACTAGTGCATATGGCTCCATGGCATGATGTTTAATTACTGATGACCAAGGTAAATGTTACTCCTTACCTTATAGCAATAAAAGTTCTTTTATTAACTATAATGTTGATGCATACATTAATTACACAGTCTTGTAACTAGTAACAATGTATTAAAAACTTGCTGTCATGTTGATATGTTAGGCTGTTCTACTGGCTAAAATAGATGAAGTACTTTTTATATCTGAGATTATGTACAGACTGCGTTTTGTAGTTCACTAAAGACATCATTTAAATTACAGAAAGAAAAGGCATGGAGGCCCATACGGTTGTGAGATGTCGAGCTTCCCATATTTGCTAGACAATTGGCTTATAAATGGCAAAGCAGCAGTCAGTCTTATGTACCGGCCGGCCTTTTCCCTCAGGAAGATTCCTGGTACTCATTTCTGTTGGGGGCTGAGCTGACCCCAGGGGCACAGAGTGGCAAGGATTTGGTTAATTGAAAAATCCATTTACCTCGTGGGGAACTGAACTTGCGACCTTCTAGCTTGTAGCATAGTGCCTCAACCAACTACTCTACCTCATACCCCCTGTCATTTATGTATGATCCCATTTAAACATTTTTCTAGTGGTTTATAAGTATACCTTCCTTGTCAATTTGCAAAATCTGTAGAACTGCCATGTGAGTGGCTTGTGTTCTATATATATGAAACATAATCTCAGCCTCAGCAAACTCACCAGGAAACAATAAATTCACAGTGAAAATAATGGCAAAGCAATTAACCATTATCAGAGATCCGATACTGATCATCAGCCATTAAATACTGTGGTTAAGCTTCTCAAGAAAGACATCCTTACAAAAGCCAGGTTTCATATTTATTCATAACCACTGATATGTATGCACTGATGAGACATGAATTTCCTCAAACACAATAATTAGTTAGGTAAAGTTGTCCTGGTGCTTAATTAGTTAAGCACTGTGCCATGAAGACATATGGGAAGTGGAGGTGTAACTCCACCATTCTTGACCTTTGCCCTACATGGGGGTGAGTGGAGTTAGTATCCATCTCTTTGGAGACCATCTTGTCTCCATCATCAGTGGCAGATGTGATGAATGTCACATCTGTGAAATGTATTTATACCACAGAATATGATCTCAACAGACCCAGCATGTAACACTGTGGGAACAGCAGGCACAGATAGGCAGCAAGTCAACACAATGCATGTTACTTGTTGTCAGGCCCTCCTGATGATGTTTTTTGAAGCAATGTGGATTGTTAACATTGTATATATTAAAATATAAATTTAGCGGCCTCTGTAGTCTAGGGGTAACGTTCCCACCTCGTGACTCAAGGTATGCGGGTTCAAATGCGGCGGAGGTCGTGGAATTTTTAAGGGTGGAAAAATTCAGGGAACAAGTCCTCCGGGAGGGACTTTAAGCCGTGGGTCCCGTGTCGTAGCTTTACGGCACGCAAAAGAACCTCATGTCCCAAGGGGACCTCTGAGCCAAATTCAGGATATTTCCCGCCCAACAGTAGTCTCTAACGCCTCTGGTAGATGGGGGAAGCATCGAGATACCGCTGAGCCAGTAGAGGCTGAACTCGCTGGCTGAGTTGGGACTGATGGCACGCACCAGTACCGGTAGGGTATAGAGACTGGTAGAATATCATAGAGGGACGCACAATGGACCAATATCTGGTCTAAGTGCATGCGGAAACCCACCCTCTCCAATAACAACAACATATAAATTTTATTATTGAACGATAAACACACATTTTATAAATGGACACTTTATGGCAGGCAGTGCAATGGTTTAAAGTGATTAATACACCTGAGGATGGCAGAATGATGCCGAAGTATGTAGTGTGAAGTGACAAGTGAAATGATATGCACTAAAAGACAGTTAATATATACACATTATGTGGATTGTGATTACTAACAGCTAGGCCTCTCCATATCATACTCTACTGCACAAACATACTGTGCAGATGTCGCATTGATCGCATCAAACACTGTTGATGGAGGGAGGAACACTGTGAAATGTTGGATATCAAGCCCACAATGGAACGCCCAATTACCCTAAAAGGCTTCATTGTAATCTACCTTCTTGCTTCAGTCTATATCACCTAGACCTGAGATAGTGCAGTCGGTACAGTGACTGGATACAGGCTTGAAATCCGAGGGGTGAGGTTTTTCTCCTCTCCACGCCATCCAGACAGGTTCTAGGGCCCACTAAGCTTCATATATAATGGGTACCTGGGGTTCTTTCCTGTGGGGTAAAGCAGCTGGAGTGTGAGGCTGACCACTCACTTCCAACCAGTGCTGAGGTCAAGAACACATGCATCTATACATTCACTCCCCACCCCCCCATTTACCTTCATGGCATAATGCTTAATTAGTTAAGTACAGGGAAAACTATGTCTTGGCCTATATCAACATGGGTTACATTAATATTACCCTAAAAGGCTTCATTGTAATCTACCTTCTTGCTTCAGTCTATATCACCTAGACCTGAGATAGTGCAGTCGGTACAGTGACTGGATACAGGCTTGAAATCCGAGGGGTGAGGTTTTTCTCCTCTCCACGCCATCCAGACAGGTTCTAGGGCCCACTAAGCTTCATATATAATGGGTACCTGGGGTTCTTTCCTGTGGGGTAAAGCAGCTGGAGTGTGAGGCTGACCACTCACTTCCAACCAGTGCTGAGGTCAAGAACACATGCATCTATACATTCACTCCCCCCCCCCCCATTTACCTTCATGGCATAATGCTTAATTAGTTAAGTACAGGGAAAACTATGTCTTAGCCTATATCAACATGGGTTACATTAATATAGGCAACATGCCTCAGAACTGGGATACCACCATCAGACCATCACAAACCATACAACAGTGAAAACTGGTAGGGGAATTGTGAGTAACCATGATGCAATATATAAAGAGTAAGTATTTATGGATAATTCTACCTTGTTGCATTTGAGGTTCTCACAGTGGTGACCATGAAGCGCACAGTCATCTGCAATGTAATATGGAGTAATCTGGAACAAGTCAACTAACATTTCAGGGGAACATATTGCCTGCACCTTCAGGGTTGAAAAGTAAGCCGAGTAAAAAGCCAGCAGGCACAGATTTGCTGCTGCAGAAATGGTTTTTTCTTGGCTTACTGATTGACCCTGAAGATGGAGGTGACACGTTCCTCGAAAATGTTGGTTGACTTTTACTGGATTATGTGGAATTACTTCCCAGAAGATAGAACTCTTCAACTTAATCTTCAGTTTCATAGGGATGGATAACAAGAGCATAATTTTGTTTCCAAAATCAAAATGTGCATCAAGCGTCACAGTATAATGGTACGAGATCATGTTTTGTAGTCTGGATTTGAACCCATCTCTCCTGACAGATGCTGGGATACTATTCTAAAAAGACCTTTTCTTCCTACATTATCAACTCAATTCTTATTCTGATGTCCTACAAAGAATCCGTTTCACAAAATGCAGCCAAGAAAAACTAGAACCACTGTTTCTACCAAACTTCAATACAGAACTTACCAGTGAAAGAAGTGGAGAACTAATTAAAAGCATGAGGAGTGTTGTGATGATAATGCCATAGCGGACTTCCACCAAGTCAGGATTCTCCCAAAATACATAAGCAATTAAGGCAGCCACAAATGCTGTTGCATGGAATACCTGCTTCTGAACTTCTCTCTGTTGAAAGAACAGTCCACGCATGAGAAGGAAATCAGTATCTATGTCACTATTAGAAGGTGTGATAAATTTAATTTACTGGAGACTATAAGAATAATATTGTACCACTCATTATTCCTCTGTAGATCACAAACCCGAGAAGCTGTCACATAATTCTAGAACAAAGGTCTCCAAACTATGGCCCGCGGGCCACATCCGGCCTGTGAAAGAATTGTGCAGAAATGCGCCAATTGAACTAATTTTCCAGTGAGTATTGGTAAATGTGATTCCGAGCTTATTGACCTGACATATTACACTGCAGTTCGATGGCTTAGCCATGGAAAGGTTCTTTCGCGCTTCTTTCAGCTCAGAAATGAAATTGATATATATCTTACCGAGAAAAACCATCACGAACCACTTTTATCAGATACCGAGTGGCTTTGGAAATTAGAATTTTTTGCTGATCTGGTGAACCATATGAATTTAAAGTTGCAGGGTGAAAATAACTTAGTCTGTGATTTATTTGCACTTATCAAGGCATTCAGAGCAAAGCCTCAAATCTTACAAAGTTGATACTACTGGAAAGCCAAGTGAAAAATTGTAACTTTGTTCATATGCTATACTGTGCAGAGTTGCATAAAAAGGGTGAAGCAGAATTTCCTCCCTCGTTTGCAAATTTAGTCATTTCAGGTTTGAAGAACAATTTCGGAAGCGAGTTGCTGATTTGGATTCCAGTGCTCAGGAAATTAGATTGTTTCAAAATCCATTTGACTGTGATGCTGCAGATGTCCCAAGTCAAATTCAAATGGAAATTATTGAACTTCAGGAAAATTATCATATTAAAGACAAATACAAGGAAGGAAATTTGATCAAATTTTATAAATTCCTGAACTCTGAGCAATTTCCAAATTTAAAGAAATTTGCTTGTAAATTTATCTCCAGTTTTGGGACGACATATCTGTGTGAACAAACTTTTTCTCAGATGAAGTACATCAAGTGAAAATACAGGGCAAATTTATCCGATGAACATTTAAAGTGACTACCTGCGATAAGCGTTCTAAAATTTGAACCTCAATTTAATCAGATTTTAAGAATGCAAAAAGAGTTCCATCATTCACATTAATTGTTTTATTATAATTTGTGATGAAAATATGAGCATTTGCTGCTACTGTTTGTTGTCATTAATATATGATAATTTATTATCATGTACTTTGTATTTAGTTTATGAAATTCTGTGCTTTCAATAAAACTCATATACCTAGAGTTATTAATTTCTCATTTTATCCGGCCAGTTGAAAATGCTGAATTACCTAATGTGGCCCGCGTTTCAAAAAGTTTGGAGACCCCTGTTCTAGAAGATAAAAGGCAAATGTTCATTTGCTATTCTCTTATTGCATGTTAGCAGTCATCACAGCTGTAGGACTTCTGAATAGGAGCAAAAAATGAGAGCAACAAACAGCAGTGGAAGGCATGCTTGAGTCAGAATTACAGTGTTCATGTGTGCTGAAAAAAGTTTCATGGCTTACCTCTAGACAGCAGCACTCTTCATAGCATTCTGTTATTCTATAAAGTGTAAATGTAACTGTCTTTCCAAGGCCTTTCAAATTACTGAGAAGGTACTTTAGAAAAATTGTTTTTATAGCAAGAAAAAAAGATGTTGCATGTGCACAAAGGTATTGTAACGTGCCTGGAATCCAGAAGTCACTTCTATGGAAACGCTAGAACAGACCGTTGCATAAGAAGTAACAATAGCGACACTGTAATTCCAACAGTGAGCCGTTGTATCGAGAATATCGAATCTCCACGGTTACGACAAACAAGCGTAGCGTTCCCACAGAGACAACGCAATAACAATGGGTCATTGCGTAGGAAACGCTGAACAAACAAAGCAACGTCACCATGGTTATAACAGATTCATTTGCCTAGTAGCGGCTAAGTTATAAATAGCCCAGCTTCAGCGAGAAACAGTCAGTCTTCATCGAGCCGTCAAGGAAGCCAGCCGTCATCAAGCCTTCGGAGAAGCTAGCCTTTATCCAGCCTTCGAAGTAGAGTGTCGCAGAGGATAGTCGAGGTGTCACAGTGAATAGTAGTTGTACTCGTGATTGTGTAAGCGGAAGAACAATAAAGGTTCTACTTAATTTGAGGCCTACGTGAATCTATCTGTAGCGTGACACACAAAGCACGCTACAGTATTTTTCTCCATACACACATATAAGGGAGGAACAGAGACTGAGGGTGTTGGAGAACAGGGTGCTGAGGAGAATATTTGGACCAGAGATGAAGAAACAGGAAACTGGAGAAAACTGCACAACAGCGTTTCCTTAAGAAAGAAAAGTTTGCGAAACAGCATTTAACTGCACCTATATATTTATTTAATTGCAGTTCATTTAATGACACTGTCAGTTAACTCAGATTATATAGCACCAAATGATTGGATTACACCTAATAATTGGGAAGGATTTGGAAGATGTGGTTGTGGACTAATTTTAAGTACCAATATGGCATTCATCTGTTAATTAACGTGAAGACTGAACAAATGCATATTTTGACATAGCATTTTGATCAGATTTTATAATAAGTTTCATTATTAAATAACACTTATTCTAACCTTACATTCAAGTTACTGTACCACTTTGCATTAAAAAGAACTTGTGGTATACCTTTATTTTAATTTCTAACTGCAGTAACTCCTTATGATTTTTAAATTGAATTCATGCTGATAGAACTTATTTGTACTCATGTTCAACTTGATTATCCAAGATGTTTGGCACACCTCTATCAGGTGTTCTGCATGGTTAATCACCTTATGCTGTCAAAAATTCATTATCAGTTCATTCCAAGTACATAAAACATAGTGATTGATGGAAAAAGTATGTACTGTGTAATTTTCTCAGAAAATGTGGTCATAATATGTGATATTGTTATCAATATTGTACTAGCATGGTTGGCTGAACACAAAGATAGCATGTGAATTCACTTCATGATGGTGCCAGTATTTCATACTATACAGCATAGAACTGTTGGACAGCTGAATAATGAAAGAGAAAGGATATGGAAGGAAGTGGTTATGGCCTATTCAGAATACTATCCTGACATTTGCTGCAAGGACTGCGATGGGAGGAAGCCCTCAGTCAGCCAGCCAAAACTGAAATGAACCAGCTCCTGAATTCAAGCATTACCACTACGCCAATCTGCTTGTAATAGAATAATTGAAAAGTAAAACACAAAATAAGGAAGTATTTTAATTCAATCAGCTGACCGGAAAATTCTCAACATTAATATCTGGAATATCAAAATATCAACATGAGAATTACACATGATCATTATAAATATAATACCAAAAAGTCACTGTGAAGATATTTACACTTATTTTCTCATACCTATTATTCATTTTTTTTTATTGCTAGTGGGGTGGGACTAAGCCCCTTGTACTGCAGCCACTTCTGGCCTATTGTACCAGCCTCAGGTGATAGGTGAGGGTGATTGTGGAGCAATTGGTGGAATGAAGATTGGCAGGGGAAACTGAAGTACTCTGAGGAAACGTGCCCCAGCACCACTTTGTCCACCACGAATCCCACTTGACTAGACCCGGGCTGCTGCGGTTGGAAGCCAGCGACTAACTGCTTGAGCTATGGCATGGCCTTTCTCATACCTAACTACATTACCTTGGAAATGAAAGCAAATGTTGCTTGGCAGACCACTGTTGGTTACTAAGTACCAAACAAAAGGTAAATCCAGTTTAGTGTACTCTGATATTTCGCATTGGGTCCCTTAGTACACGTAGCATTATTTTCCTGAAGATATGACTTCTGCAGATTTATTTAGGGATATGGTATCCATAAATGGGTGTTAGTTAATTAAATCTTTTTTCCCCCATGATCACAATACTTTCTGCTGTATGAGATGTCCATGAGAAAGTAGAAGATACACAAATACATGTAATATTTTCATCTTACAAATTCCATATGTTTTTAATGCATCAAAAGTCAAGTTCAATAATTTAATCACAATACTATTTAAGGTTTTCACAGCAGTGAAGCTTCATACTGCAGTCTTCTGGAATATGACACACTGTACAGTCTGGTAAGTGGGTAGTAATGTTTAGGGGAACACATTGCCTCCATCTTCAGCACTTTTACGCTGAAGATATAGGCAGTCCTTCGTTTTCTAAAGTTTACAGTTTATTTAAAAATGTCATCAAGAACTGATGTATACATAGTTCAAAATATGATGAACAGTGAAAGAATTTGCATGGTTGTAAGCGCTGCTTTTGCTGGAGTAGAAAAATGGTTCTGGGTGACAAATGAATGGTATGGGAAGGTTGATGGAGGGGGAGAGAAATGAACAGCAGCTCCAAAGGCCCTGTTTCAATGGCAGAGTAGATGGGTGGAAGGGCAAAATTACTACCATTTCACTTCTTCCACACTCAGCTTATATTTTTCCCCTAGAGACAGAAAGAGTACTTCCCTGAGAAATGCTGATAAACATCAGAGAAAGCAACTTTACATGTGAGAAGATAACACTCTTCAAACAACAGAACAGTTAAAAGAGAAATGTATGAGAAAATGAAATCTGTGCTTACCTTATTCTCAGAATATATATAATAGCAGAGCAGGTAACATAAATTAAGGGAAAAGCCAACAACATTCACACGTGTCATGGCTGGATCTTTCAATATAATGCTGTACTGGAACATGAGAACTCCCCTGTAGGAAATGAAATAACCATTAGAACCTTCTTTTCACAGCTCTCAAGCAATGATGGACGGAGGCAGAACAAAACTTTTCACCACCTACAGAATTTTATGCTTAAGTAGCACAAATGATTATGTGATGTGTTAATTACATTGCTTAATCATTATTATTTCACAAATGAAAGTCTTACTACTGCTGATTACTCAGTTGCTTACATTGCAGTACCACCAATGAATGGTACACCGGACACATTTTCTGTAGATCCTTTCTTCACAATATCTTTGCAAATGAACCTGAAACAATAAATCTTTTTTTATCATGATGTAGTTCCTTACCACAAATTCCAAGAGAGTTTATCCTACAAACAAAATTAATATAGCAGCCAGAGTGGTAACATTAACATTACAATTTTTAGCCTTCTTTAAAAAATTTGAAGCCAGTGTCCTGGATAAGATCTGAACAAAACACCCCCTGAATATCAATCTACTTGGCTACTGACATGCCAACCTGCTTGATATGTGTGCTCTACACTGAAACTGCATGACATTACAGGCTATGCCATTCTTTATGTTAAGTTTAAATCAAATTGGATCTGTGCATGAGTGAGTGACCGCCTCTGTGGTCTAGTGATCAGAGTTCCTGGCTACAGATCGAGAGGTCTGGGTTCGATTCCTGGTGCTACCAGATTTTCTTAGAAGTAGTGGTTCTGGAATGGGGTCCACTCAACCTCATGAGGATAATTGAGAGAGCTATCACAAGGAAACAGCGTCTCCGGTCTAGAAAACTGAAATTAATGGCCGTGGGATTCGTTGTGCTGACCATGCGACGCCCTCTATCCACTAAAGTTGGCACTAACTTCGCCGACAAGTGGCAATCACTCAGTTGGTATAGTTTGCTTGTGGACTAAAACCACAGTTTTTTTGTGCAAGAGTGAGTGACAGAGAGAAAAGAAAAAGGAATGTTTTTTAAGATTTATAACAATTATTTAAAGAGCTTCTTGATATGGTGTATATTTAACTGTTTCTATGATGTGAAATTTCATTCTTTTATGATGGTGACTGTGATGATTACTGTTATCTGGAAGCAATGTCATGTAGTCTGATACGTTATCAACATTTCAGAGAAATCTGCACCCTGTTCCTGGTCCTTCGTTTCCTTCTTTCAACCCTCAGCTTACTCTTCTACCCTGAGACATGGAGGCAACAAGAGGTTCCTCACGATCTGCCACAATACACAGTGTTACATCCCAGAAGACAAGTCACCTTCTTTCCATACAGGCTTATATTTAAAGAGCCTTAATGTGCCAGTAAACTTACATGGCAGTATTCTGACTCCATGGTTGTAAAGCCAGGCATTACAACTCTTGGAACATGATAACACATATCTCTTTCACAGTCCTAAACATCACCGGAGAAATCCAGACCTCAACACCTCTAAGTGAGATAAAATGAATGATATGTGGACAGAACTAAAAAAATACAAGGAAAAAACGATTAAGCCTCTCTCTAGCTTAACATCTCTATTAGTGATTACCTTTATCAATAAGGCTGTTTGATACAATGACTTTGCATGTTCTGTATGTAATATCATTAAAGGATGTACAAAATGTCTTCATGGTAAGTACATGGCCTGATATACTGGAGCTTTATTATGGAAAAATTGTGAATGTACCCAGATGGCGCAATCTAGGTGGTTTCCTAGGGCACTTGTTGATGAGTGCCTTCCTTCATTTGCACCAAACAAATAATGTGTATGTTACACCAAGAAGGTATTAAAAAAACATAGTTAATGATCAATTTAAGACTCTGAACTTTAGATAACTATTCAGATTAGTCTAATCTGTTTAAATTACACTGAAAGCAATAACGGCAGGACAGCATTAATCATAATGACTGATTATAGAAGATTACTATCAGCTGAAATTAATTTTAAGACAAATTCAGCAGACAAGATGTTACATGCTTTTTGGCCATAGAATCTATACCTACATATATATATTTCACACACGCACACAGTGTCCCTTTATTAAATGTAATATTTTACAGAGTGGTTTCTGGACATCTGAGTAAGTAAAAAAGTTAGGCTTCAATAGGCCAATCAGTGGTCGCTGTGCTGAGTGGACCCAGTTGCACTCCACCACTCCACCCCCCACCCCCCTAAGCGAAGTAAAAGAGTTCACCAGAATATGTACCCTGACGGCCTTCCACAAAAAGTTGTGACCATTAGAAAATCTCTGATCCTGCCATCACATTCTGAAAAAAACAGGTCGTCAGTAACAACAGTTTCCCGTTAACCTGTGGATGACTGCCCCACAGGGCGTCACATTTTACTAGCATGAGTTAGTGGCTATGACTACCTTAATTTTCTTTGAACAGATTTAAGTACACTATGATGGATATCCGGACAGCAAAGATACAAACTCCAGAAAATATTTGTAAAGCATTCTTTTTATTCACTTGTAGCACTTTTACCACATAAGTTTATTTACTTTTCAACATAGTCACCATGGATCACAGTGCACTCAGTGAGCCTGGGAACGAGTTCTTTTATTCCAGCATCACAGAAATTTCCTGCCTGCTCTCTTAGCCATGGAGAACAGTTCTTGACTCTTATGGACATTGTTAATGAAGTTCATTGATGGTCAGCATGAATGATTTCATCAGTGATAACAGATGGCTTTCCACTCCTTATATCATTATGAACATCACTTCTAGCCACTTCAAATTCACGGCACTATTTTGCCATGTTTTGCCTGTTCATAACATCTTTGCCGTAAACAGAACAAACTGGTGATGAATTTCAGCAGCAGTTTCTCCTTTAGCGTGAAGAAATCAGATTACTGCACGAACCTCACATTTGGTGGGATTTTGAATTGACATGGCCATTTTAAACACAATGCAAGCATAATCTTGCCATGACAGCATGGCATGGTCACACTGCAATTTACAAAGAAAAAAATTCCCTTGCATTTTTACTGGACTTGTATCTTTACTTTCCGGATATCCCTTGTATTAGATGTGTACTTCAGTATGCGCCTTCACATGTGGTCTCAACATGATGGTGCTCCACTACACTGCAGTCACGAAGACCGCCACTGGCTGTTCAAAAATTATTCTGGATTCTGAAATGGTCATAGATGTGAAGTTCCTGTTTCCTGGCCTGTGTGTTCACCTGACTTTGAGTCTTCTAGATCTTTTCTGTTGCAACATTCAAAACATAGGTCTACGCCATTACAGCTGAAACTAGAGAGGAACTGTGGTGTTGAATTCAACAATATGTAAATGAAAGAAAGGGTATATCTTGGATCTTCAGATGCTTCCAGTTTCTTCCTCACACACACTTGAACTGTGTGCCTGTGAACATGGCAGCCATGTTGCCCACCTCTTGTAAGAATAAGGAAGTTATTAAAAGCTTTTCTGTTTGTTTTCTCCTTATACGCAATTCATTATATCTGGATCATTTAAGATGTGACCATAAAGCTAAAAATTAGAATAGCTGTAACATATTTACTCTGATGTCCAGATACCATCCTGTAAAATAATGGCATGTAATATTCTGTGCGTGTTAGTGAGGGTGGTATAGTGAGAGGCTTTGGGGTTCAAAACTGTGACATACATAAAATTGGAAAGACAGTGAAATAATGAGCTCTAATAGGAAACATACTCAAAAAAGTATTAATTTAAAAGAAGACTGTCTGGAAAACTACTACAAAGATGGACAAGATCCACGATAACAAAATACTGTGTTTCTGGACATTATTCATCATCCTGTTTTTATTTAAGGCACAACGTTTCAAAGACTGGATAATCTCCATCCTAAGGTAGAACCTCACTTGGGCCCAACTGACAGAACTAGTCCTTTTCTACCGACACGAGCACAAACACACGGCAAGGTCTATATATATCAAGCACAGCACACACCATCAGCAAGAGTTAAGTCAAATATTATGAACACTTAAAGAAAAATCCCCACACATGAGGCCTAGCACCACCAGAGTCCTATCAGAATAGAAGACATACCAACATAAAAAATGCAATTTTGCCACTTAATATACACTGGACAGAGCTGTAGTTTTCTTAGTTCTGCTGCGATAATGGGAATCCAGATGGGATTCATAATACTTATCAGACCTCTTAGGACTCACACTAAGAAGGACAAATATGAAACTTGTACTCACATTCCTGCAAAAAACTGAGCAATTGTCATAAAGCTTGCTGCCATGGCAACAATTTCTTTATAATCTTCCAATGCCATTGTTTCTTAAACCTGTACAAAAATGAGCAAATTAAAAAAAGGTATTAGGTAGGAAAAATGGTTAATGAAACTAAAAAAAGTTCTTGTGATTAACAAAGAGATCTCACATACTTATGGCCCTAAATAAAAAAAATGCAGTTCACCAAAAAACATTTGAATGCAGGATTAATGACATGTCTGTCCATATAAAAGTAAGGGTAAAGATGCCCGTGTCTGAACTACAATATGAACATGCATCAGAAATTAGGACATTCTGGACTGCAGCCCTCTAAGAAGATAGGGGTGAGTGGGAAACTCTACAGTCTGCTTTCTACCCCCAGTAATTTTTACATGGGGTGAAGTATAAGCCCCAAAGCTAGTCTTGATGTGGCAGCAAAGAAAAGAATTCATGTCAAGAACATGACGTGATAGTTGCTGTTGATTTCTCTGTAAGTGTCCAGGTTTCACTATTGAAAAGGACAGCAGGTTAAATAATTGTTTTATATTTATTTATATATATTTGTTTTGATCTGCCTGGATATATATCTATATAAATAAAATTACTCTGAGGATGCTTCCAAGGGCATAGAAACATCTGCCTACAGCAACTTTTTCCTTTATATCTATAGCTGACTCACTGCTACCCATTATGAGAGGTCCGAGATACTTGAAAGAGGAGACCTCTTCAAAGCTTTTCTGGCCTACTGCAATGACATTTACCACCACTCCACTCCTTCCACAACCTTGCCTGTAGTTGGTTTTCTCAGTATTGATTAACCCAGCAGCAGATGATGTTGCCTGCATTTCTTCAAGGACTTCATTTAAAGCATTTGTATTGCAGGTAAGGATGGCTGTATCATCCATACATGCCAGTATCTGCCATGTGCTATTGAGAATTCTGCCACCTGGGTTCACATGTATTTCTCTAAGAACTTCGAAGTGATAGTAAAAAGGACAGTGGAGAGGGAGTCTCCCTGTCTCATGCCTGTATTAGTCACGAAGCTGTCTGAGAGTTTGTTTTGAATTTTAAATTTTTTGTATGTCATTTCAAGGGTCATTTTAGTGAGACTAATTAGTTTGGATATCTTAAACAGATAGGATGGGATGATATGGATTGGATTGAATAGGGACCATTGAAGGGCTCTTGTGAACACAGTAATGGACCTTCGGGTTCCACAAAATGCTGGGAAATTCTCGAGTGGCTGCAGACTTGGCGGCTCCTCAAGAAGACCTCAGCTCCATGTGTAAGTAAGTAATGAGTAAATTAGTTTGGATGGAATTCCAAATTCAGCCACGGACTCGTAAATAAACTGTCTATTAATACTATCGAAAGCTCGTCTAAAATCTACATAGAGCTGATGGATATTCATATTTTGCTCATAACATTTTTCCAGGACTTGTATTGTTGTTGCATATTTACTTGCTACCCTTCTTGTGTATAAAACACATACTGGCTGTTCTCCAGTCTTCAGTGTTCAGTGTTACAGATTATTTGGATCAACTCATAAATTTCTTTCCACATTATTTACCCTCCACTCTTAATCAATTCTGAACTTATGCCATCTTCACCTGGGGCTCTCCTGTTTTTAAGGTTTCTGATCACATCATACACCATCTTAGTTGTCAGTTCTAATATTTCTAGTTCTGGGCCATAATAAATGTTACCACTGGCTTCTAGAAGCACAATAGATCATTGAAGGTCGCAGTGTGGGGGCCAGTTTTTATGGCCTACCCCTTACATACATACCACTGGCTTCTAAGGTTCTAATTACATTAGAGTTCAGGTGTTCTTCAAAGTATTCTTTCCATCTGTTTTGTACCTCTGATTCACCAGCAACTACATTTTCCAACTTGTCTCAGAACATGTTTGTCCTCAGTTGGAAGCTATGTTTAATGTTACAAATGCTTTAGTAGTATTTTCTTGTATCGTTTCTTCTGAATTTATCTTGACGATCTAGTAGTATGTTTTCCTGAAACAGTTTCTTTTTCCTATGGTACATATTCTTTGCTTCATTTCTGGCTATCCTATATTCCTCCAATGTTCTGTGGGTCGCTCTGTCAAGGATTTTATTTACAACTTCATTCCTGATAGTGATCTTTTCTTCACATTCATCATCAAACCATGAAGGTCGTTGCTTTTGCTCTTCAAAACCTAGAACTTTTTCAGCCGATGTTTGTAGATCTTCTGTGATTTTCTTCCACAGCGAGTTAACATTTATGTCCCCATCCGTGCTTACTTTACCCAGTTCCTCATTTCCTGTTACCTTGTATATTCCCATTCAGTTGCGGCATTTTCAAGTTTGTCAATGTTGTATTTAAGTTTGCTCTGTCCACGGGTTCTGTTAACTATTTATACTCTAGGACTGTATTTTTACCATTACCATAAAATGACCTCAATTACAATCGGCACCTCTGTGGAATCGTACACTGATTATGTTCCTTGCATGTTTTGCATCTATCACAACATGGTTCATTTGATTTCTTGTTTGAACATCAGGAGATATCCATGTTTCCTTATGGACACTTTTATGTGGAAGCATCATACTACTTATGACCAATTTCCTGGTGACTGCAAAATCAGTCATCATTATTCTGTTGGTATTAAATTCATTGTGAATGCTATGGTGTCCCACATATGGTACACTATGACCTTTCCTTATCTCACATTTATATCCCCCGTAATACTTTTGATGTCATGTTTTGGAACTCGTACGTATAACTGGTATAGCTTGTCATAAAAGGCACTTTTAATTTCTTCATCTTTATCATCTGTAGGCGTGTGTGTACATACTAAACTGATGTTAAAGAATTTTCCTTTCACATGGAGGTAGCATAATCACTCATCCACTGGTTCAGACTTCGTTATATATTGTTTTAGCTTCTTATGCACAAAGACTCCAGTACCAAAAACTTTTCTTGTCCCAGTACTCTTGCTATAACAGAATGTGTAATCTTCACTAACAAACATGTTGTTACCTCTCCATTTTACCTCTTGTATGGCAGCAATCATAATGCTGTACTTCTCTAACTCACCAATCAAATTCCTCATTGCTCCAGCTTGGTTTAAACTTCTCATGTGCCAAGTAGCCATAATCCAATTGCATTTCCTTTTCTCAAAGGGTTGTCATCTTAAAACAGTCCGGTAGGATTTGCTGGAATTCTGAACAAGTAATGACTCCTGGGAAGAGGTTGTTAGATTTTACCCAACCCCATTAACTTAGTAGGACCAATGTTTTTCTGTCAGGGTGTAATCCCTTAGGGGGGTTGGCTTCACCATGCCTAAACAGCCTCCCCCCCCTGGGTTTTTCTTCCCTTAGCCAGAGAGTCCCATTTGAAGGAGCCAGATCCTCACCTTTCACCCTGCTCTGTCTGCCACATCTGAGCTCTCATCCCAGAATGTGCCGCCCAGGGGTCACAACGAGGCAGGGGAGCTAGGATTTGCCAACAGAGCCTGATTTAACAGGTGGCATTCTGGTGCTTAGTGGTGTGCACCTACTCGCATCAGTGGACCACACCAGAGCCATTTACCGGCTCCTGACCACATCTGTTTATATTACTTTTTGTTTTTAAGAAGGTAACAAGGATTCAATTCCCACCATGGATTACAGATTCTGCACTTCTCCAGAGAATCTATATTGGTTATGTGGACCACTGAACTTCTAACCGACCAATAATGTGAGCTCTTCCCCTTGTCTAACGATACCAGGGCATGAAACTGACCACTCTCCTCCATTTAGTGCCACATTAAATATGCTAGAACCTGTAATGCCACTTCACCATATCTCTCACTAAGTTGTATGTATTTATTTAATTAAGTAGAAGGGCAACTTTACCTTTATGACATAATTTTGTCGTTATCTCCTGTTAACTTGTAACCTTGAGTGAAAGTAGAGATAACAACGATTTTTAAGCTATTTGTGAACTCTCATTCCCTCCTCCTGTGTGTTATCAGTACATTACAACCGGGGCCTATATTGGGAAATTTTTCTAAAATCTATCAACATATTCCAGTTAAGGGTAAAATCCAGAAAAAGCAATGTGCACTAAATGTGTTTCTGCGGGCATCTCTAGTGTAACGGCGACGCGAAAAATGTTTCAAAGAAATGCTGTTAAAAAAAATGATATTCCCATTTATAACCTATTGTACTTTTCCCTAAGTCTTACGGTTTTATAGATAATTAAACAAAAGGCATGAACGAATCGAAATTATTACGTACATTTCCTAATTTGTTTTATAATTGTCTCTGAATAACTGTCATTCGCAACGGGCATATTAAATTGGGCTCTCTTCATTTACAATATATCAGACTAGTCCCTCATTCTACAGTGGACTGCCTTTACCGTTCACTGGCTCTGGAGTCAAATTTAATTGGTAGTGGTCAGAATCGTCGGAATAAATGTGAAAACTTAACAAAACTACTGCATGACATAAATACGTCTGCACTACACACAAAGAATTAAGTACGCCGAACACTTACTACAATGTATCCAAGTTACTCCAGACCACTCGCAACATACTCTCGTTAACAACTAGGCGAACGTATGATTGCAGTGCAACTCCCTTCATCTATTACCCATTCGACCCATTCCGCCAATTCCAACACGCCGCACCATGTTACGTAAAGCGAACAAATTACCCACCCAACAAAGTTCATCATGTGTACACTAATTGAGAGGGGGCAGGAAGTATCTGCCGCGATCTGCAGCGATCTGCAGGATTTGCAATGATCGCTTCATTCTGTGCTGCCATCTTACGTCAATATACTTAACTTTCTGTTTAAAACTTCTCCGTTTGAATATACACCGAAGCTTTTCCGTTCTTGATTTGTATTGTCGCAAGTCGCAAGCGTCGCAAGAGTCGCAAGTTACCTACGTAACGCGACAAACAACTTCAAGCAGGTCTCGGATTTGGTGAATGTTTATTAGGCACTCGCTTTTATACTTACACAATTAACCGTATCCCAATTATTGTCACCTATAATGTCCTCTAGAAACAATAATAAAGATCTGGTCGCAAGCCCCAGATGGGTGCTTTATGGCTATACTGGCCGACTGATCGTCGGTCGTAAAATGGGACTCAGACCGACCTATTGCATACCAACGGTCGCGGTTCGGACTCCATAGAAATCGCCGCACTCCCATTGTTGCCTTGCGTGTATTCGGTCGCGGGGTGTTTCGCGGTTAGTTATCTAGCAACGCTGTGTCCATCCACGGTATAGCATTTATTGGTTTTGGTACTAACTGGAACGACTAGGCATTACACTATAGACGTAAATGAGCATCTTGTAGGTTAGGCACGAATGGCCTGCATTTTGTTGGCTGTTTTTACCAGGCCGTAATTATTTTGGACTTATGGGTTCGAACTGTTGGATGACTCGTAAATTTGGAGTTAGGAAGACGCGACATTTTCCTGGAGGGCCTGAGGAAAACATGCAAAACGTCCTGTCAGAATAACTGGTGTCCTGGGCCGAGTTTCGAACCGAACACCTCCCGAATGCGAGTCTCAAGTCTTATTGCTACTGCAGTGTGCTCTGGGGTTCACTGTTATTGCTGAAATGCTCATTTTACAATTCACTATTGCACATGTTGATTCTTCTCAATCTGTCTTCACTAGCTGTTACTAGGTTAAAGCTCACCTTCCACATTCAACGGCTCCTGTCCTGACTAGCTGGCAACTCCATTGAAAATCTCACATCTATTAACTGACTAAAAACTCCAGTTAGTTCTTCTTACATGGCCTCGGCATGGACCACACATAAAACCTGCTTCCAACAATTGCTCTGTTGTTGTGTAGTTATTCAGTAACCACAGAAACGTGTTTAGCATGCCATTGTCTAGCAACGGATGCCTTTTTTGGGTTTGCTGTTCCAGCTTTCATCCATGATGTAAGAGTATTAAGATTAGGATCTCATGGGATATGACACAATGTCGTTTGGTAGATGAGTAACAAACTACATGGCGTTATATACCAGAAGATCACAAGCTTGATACTCATCTCAGCATGTGCCTCAAGCATTACAAAGTACAAAAGTAAAGAGAACATTAACAGTTAGTTGACAGTTGAACTCTAGCAACCACCGGGAACAGTTATACGATTTGTAGATAAAGTGTGCAGTGTGCAGTACAGCTGCGAAGTAAGATGACATCGAGATTAACGGTGCAGGAAGAATTGTGATATTGAACGTGATAATAATTGTACTCACTGGTGTAAAAGTGAGTGTTCAATGAATTTATTCGCTGAATCCGAGACCTACATGGAAGTTATTCGTCGCGTTACCTAGGAGACACATGACAACTGGTTTCTCAGAAGTAGGTTACCAGGGAAACGCGCAACAATGTTACATAGGTAACAAGCAACACTGATGACAGAAGTGGGATCAATTGGGTTCAGTGATCAATTGGATTGAATACTGCAATAGACAATTGTATTGTCAGCCTGCAAACATGGAACAAATGTTAGAACTCTTGAAATCCATGCAAGAAGAAATTGACGCCAGATATGAGATTATGATGGCCGGCCAAGAACGACTGCTGGCGAACCAGGAATAGATGATGGCCTGGCTGAAAGAGAAGGTGACCTCAGAAACCTGAGGTGGCATGAGATGTCCTTATGGAAGACGCTGCAGTGATGCTGGTCAGAGGACCGAGGAAGCGGCGTAAGGACTGAAAACTGGCTGCAGAGCGCTGCTGCCAGCTGAAGAAACGGCCCCAGAATCAGGATGGGTGTCTAAAACGAGTAGCCTCAAGCGCAGAGGAACGAGCCGCTGTGCGAAAGTGGCATGGAAAATGCAAAGCGACAGGAAGGTGTCCCGTCATGCAGCAGTGGCAAGGCGAGGGAGACACATCTTCCGGGGATGACTGGTCATTGCCCGAAGAGGGACGACACACTGCGTGGAAGTGGCACGGTGCAAAGAAATCACCATCAGGAAAGATCGGACCTGGGACAACATGGTACGAAGAACCTTGAGAAACAACGGACGTTCGGGAGGAAGTGTCAGCCGAAACAGGAACACATAAATGGGATGAGGAACAGAGGGCTGAGACAGCGCGACGAAGCAAAAGGAAATTAAAAAAACCATCTAGGAAGACCCTGGGGCTGGAGATTGGGAAACGAGCAGTAGAGATTTCCAGTGGGTTACAGAAAATCAAGAATTGGACACTGTAGAGGTGTCGACCACCTCCGAAACAGAAGAAAATTAAATAGCGCACAGAGAAGGAATCGGTAATATAGAGGCACTGGCCTCCCCAGCGAGAGTGAATGAGAGAGAGAGAAAATGAGGGATGAATGTAATACAACGGGATAAATGAACGCAGAACCATAGAGCCCCTCGGGACGAGCACTCTCGAAGAAGGGGGTGGAGGAAACGAAGGGAAGTACGGTAAGACTGTTAGGGACGAACAACCTTTAGAAGGGAGCAATGTCGCATGTCATGAATCCGGAAGGGATACGTCCATGAAAATGCAATAAGGGTGGGCCGTTGCATGGGAATAACCCAAACAACAAACGTGTTTCCTAGGAGATGAAAGGACAACAGAAGGTTCGTTGCATGGCAACGGCCAAGATCAAAGGCTCCTAGATGGTATGTTCTATTCCATCTGAGCCCATGTTATAAAAGTCCAGCTTCAAAGGGACCAGACAGTTAGTTGACAGTTGAAGTCTAGCAGCCGCCGAGAACAGATATAGATAAAGTGTGCAGTGTGCAGTGTGCAGTACAGCTGCGAAGCAAGACAGCACTGAGATTAATGGTGCAAGAAAAATTGTGATACTGAATGTGATAATAATTGTACTCACTGGTGTAAAAGTGAGCATTCAATAAATTTATTCAGTGAATCCGAGACCTACGTGGAAGTTATTCGTCGCGTTACCTAGGAGACGCATGACAACTGGTTTCTCAGAAGTAGATTACCAGGGACACTAGCAACAGCATTACATAGGTAACACGTGACAGTAAGGTAGAACTTTACTGACACCGATTTCTCTTGCTGCTTGCTTCTTGCTGGCTGGCTACTCCTAACTCTTACTCTTCATCCCTGGAAGATGGAGGTGGTATATTTCTACTAAATGTCAATGAACTTCTACCAGAGCATACAGGTCCCAGAAGATTATTCATTATGCATCTCATACACCTCAAAGTATGGTAATTTATGAACACAGCCTGTTAATGTAGGGGGCACATGGTAGCATAGTTGGTTGAGGCATTATGCTACAAGTCAGAAGGTCATGGGATAGAATCCCAATGAGGTGGATTTTTTCAATTTACCTAAGCCTTCCAGCCACACTATGGCCCTGGGGTTGACTCAGCCTCTAACAGAAATGACTACCAGAAATATTCCTGGGGGTAAAGGGTAGCCGGTGTGTAAGGCTGACAACCTCACCACCATCTGTGAGCCAACTGTCTAGAAAATGTGGGAGCCTCAACATCTCACAACCCTATAGGCCTCCACGGCCTGTTACAGGGATACCTTCACATTTTTACCTTTTTGCCTATTAATGTAAGATTTGAGGTTTTCACGGCGTTGACTATGATGCATGCTGTCTTCTGGCATGTGGTGCCATGTAGATGTTATATAAACTGAAGTTTAGGAGGAATGTATTGCCTCCATCTTCAGGGTAGGAAAAAAAAAAAAAGAGTCCGCAAGCGAGGAACCAGTGTGAGTAGGTGGCTACAGCCTGAAGATGGAGGCAATACATTCCTCAGAAATGTCAGTTTATACAACATCTACATGGTGCCACATCCCAAAAGATGGCATTCTTTACAGCCTATTAATATCTGAGAAGTTTCCACCTTGTTAGATAGAAAGGAAATACTAAGCAGCAACCATTCCTCTTCCTGGTTATTATGCAAACTAGGTTACAGGTATGCCACCACTGATGATTACCATTAAATATTTTCTCCATGAAGTGTATTTCACAAAAGAAATTGCATTTATTATAAAAATACTGTACTATGAAATACAAATAAATGCAAATATTTTGTATAATATAAAATAATATAATATAAAAGTTATATAAACTTTCATAGTAGTAAGGAGCACAGGAACATTTTGAAACACAGAGCATTAAAACTCCAAAATGTGTCATAAACATATGAGGATCATACATATACAATGATTCATCACACTCTTTTGATAATAAATTAGTTTCACTTCAAGTTTCATGCCAGGATTGACAGCATGACCAATACGAGAGGGCCAGATGCAAGAGAGACTGCTGGATCCTATCGATAAGCAATCCTTACACATTACAACCTTTATATAATAAGAATTTACAGATTTAAGAAATATACTCATTCCAAAAGTACTCATAATACCTGAAAATTATTTCACATTATCTTATGAATGCTTTAGCAATTCATTTAATCATGCTGAGACTGCCTCTGTGGTACAGTGGTCAGAGTTCCTGTCTACAAATCCACAGGTCCTGAGTTCGATTCCCAGCACTACCAGATTTTCTGGTAATTAGTGGGTCTGGAACACGGTTCACTGAGGAGCTATTTCAAGGAAATAGCGGCTCTGGTCTAGAAAACTGAAATTAACAGCCATGGGGACTTGTTGCACTGACACGCGACACCCTCTATCTGCTAAAGTGGGCAGTAACTTCATTGACAAGCGGTGGTCGCTCGGTTGGTATAGTTCACTTACGACTAAAGCCACAGATGTAAGATTTGTGGTGTTCACAGCGGTGATTATGAAGAGAGCTGTCTTCTGGGATGTGGTGCCATGTAGATATTGTGTTAACCGATGTTTTGGAGGAACATATCGCCTCCATCTTCAGGGTAGAAGAAAAAAGAAAATCCGCAAGCAAGAAACTACCGTGAGCAGGTGCTGACAGACTAATGTCGAGTCAAACAAACCCAGCTGTATAAGAGCAGGAAGAGAAGGGAAAGGGGCTACATGGGAAATCAAGAGAGGTAGCCGGCCAGAGCAGGCATAGAATATTGTGTCAGGGTGGGGAGAAGGGCAAGGTTAATTGGAGGGCATTAACCCAGAAGCTTCGTGGCTACGATGCGAGTGGGGCATACACCTGTGTGTCCTTGTGGATCTGGCATCATGTCCCAGGGGTTTCCTGGGGACACAGATGAGAGGCTTCCTTGATTTGCTGAGACAAAACCCCACCTCTCTGTTCATACTGTCGGGATGGAGTTCAATCTCAATGGCCTCCCTAATGATGTGATCCATATATCGGGTCTTGGTGGCAAGGATGGAGGCATTCTGAAGCTGGATGCGGTGTTCAGCCACAGCTGACTTATACAGATGTTCGAGAAGGATGTGCCACTGATGCTCCATCAACCTTGTGTCCACTGGGTGGCCCGTCTGCCCAAGGTATAGCCTGCCACACTCGCAGGGGATTCTGTATACACTGGTGTTCTTAGACCCAGGGTATCTTTGACCGGCTGGAGGAAACTAGATGATTTCTTTGGAGGCAGGCCCACTAATTTCATGTTGTGCTGGGACAGCTCTCTGCTGATTCGGTTGAATATGGTTGAAAATAGCATCCACAATATCGACATGGCGCCACATCCCAGAAGATGGCTTTCTTCTTTAAAACCATGGAGTTTGCTTTTAGTTTTAATCATGCTGAAACAGCTCAGACAATATGGCTATGAATCCTACGATGATTTGTGTATAACCACTGCTGTTTTTCTAGAAATAGGTTTGCCGGTATTCTCACTCTTGGTTTCATCCTCAAGGTCAAAACTTGTAACACAATGGCAACTGCCGACTTCTGTCAAGTTTGCTGGCATGCATACTGGCTGAACAAAAGTACACTGAATAATGAACTGGAAAGGACATAGAAGCCATTGTGGCCTAATTTGAAATTCTATCCTGGAATGACCAAGGAAAATAATGAGAAACCCTCAACAGAGAACCAGTCTCTGGGCCAAGATCTGAACCCAGGACCTCTGCCCTCTTGACTGTGATGTTCAGTGTTAGATAATCCTGAAGGGGCTCTGTATATACACAAACATCATTGCACCACACTGCACTGTTTATACTTTACTGTAATGCTTACTGTGGAGGAGTACGAAAGGAGTGAAGTGAAATCCCACATAATTCTAATTTAGAAGATGTAGCACGAATGGGGTAGAAGAGGAATGCATATGGGATATTGGTGGAAAAGCCAGAAGGAAAGAGACCACTGGGAAGACCAAGGCATAGGTGGGTGGACAATATTAAAATGGATCTTAGAGAGATGGGATGGGATGGTGTGCATTGGATTGATCTGGCTCAGGATAGGGAACAGGGGATGGCTCTTGTGAAGACGATAATGAACCTTCGGGTTCCATAAAATGCTGGGAAATTCTTGAGTAGCTGCAGAATTGGCAGCTCCTCAAGAAGGGTTCAGCTCCATGAGTAAGTAAGGAAGTAAGTAAGCAAACATTTTCTTTTTTAAATTCAGACACGTCATAAAATCATTGGCTTTTGTCATAACCACAGACTCACTGACACATATCAGCCATTCTTTCATGCCACAACTACCAGAAGAGGATGATCTCTGATTGTTTGTGTTCTGCATTCTACAGTCATTGTGCTGGACCCCTATTCCATTATACAAAACTGTTGATCATACTTGTATTTTATCCTTACTTCTTAAAATAATGAATGATAATGAAGTGGTCATTTGCTATCACCTTCTGGTTTTGCTTTCTGAAGAGCTGCACACTTCAGACAGAAGTATTATTTTAGGTTTCAAGTCCAAGTTCATCTTTATCTACTCATATTTATGGCTTATATAGAGCCACTTTCAGTAACTCACATTATGCAACACTGAATGATACAACTGACAAACGAATTGGAAAGATGTGGAATGAAGCAACCACAGCCTAAATTGATGTACTGTCCTGGCTGTTGTTTGGAGGGACTAATGGAAAACATTATAAACCTAAGTCAAGACTGCCAGTGTTTAGGCCAAGATTTGAACCCTGGGCCCACCTAATATGAACTAAGATTGTTATTCACTCGACTGTGATGATAAGTTTAAGCTCTTCTGTTTTGTTTTCATGATCGGGGCTCACTGTGTCTAACTTATACAGGGTGTCCCAGGAGGAATGGACCAAACTTCGGGAGGGTGTTCCTTATGTTAAAGTATGCCGATATAACCCAAAACACCTATGTCCAAAGTTGAACGGTTATGGAGATAATGGCCCAAGAAAAGTGTGGTCTTCTGGCAGGTCCACGCACTGTACCTCTCAGCTGAGAGGCCTTATCTATGTTTGTCCTTGAGTGCCGTGATTCACCCTAGCCGTGCTTATGTAGTTGGCTTATACCAGAACGCGCACTCAGCACGTTACGTCAGCGCTTGCCATTCATGTGTCATGTATAGTGCTTGGAAACCCTAAGGACAATTATGACATGGCGAGCGTGTATTTTGTACTTCAATTTTATGGCTTCATGTCACTCACAAGTTAGTTTGATGTTACGTACATTATTAACATTACAGAATCCACATATTCTTGCCAGTTTTAATATGTATTTTGTAATCAACAAGTGTGCAACGCCGGTCAAAGTTTGACACTTCTCTGGCCATTATCTCCGTAACCGTTCAACTTTGGACATAGGTGTTTTGGGTTATATCGGCATACTTTAATATAAGGAACACCCTCCCGAAGTTTGGTCCATTCCTCCTGGGACACCCTGTATATATATACAAAGGAACATAATCACACAATCTTTAAACTTCTGATCAAAAGAAATATATCTTTCACACTGCCACCCAGGGGAATTTCTACAGAATAGAAATGAGGACATTCAATAAGTAACATCGAAAGGTGTGTTTCATTCTGCACAACTGTTTCATTAATTTGACACTATAAAGGTCGTAAACAGTTACATTTGGCAATCCTGAGGTTATAGTTCTGAAAACCAACTTGCTCATTCTGTAACCAGCCACATGCTGGTTCAGAGATTACAGACTCAACTTAATAATGACTGAGAATGTGACACTGTGCTCCCTCCTATGAAGCAAATTCAGTTGTGCCCCTGAACACATATATAAGCACCAGATCAAAATTGCAGTAATAATCATACAAAGTTTATATTTGCTTCATGTATATATATATATATATATATAAAATGGACGGAATGATTCATGCAGCTTTGCCGCAAATTCTGCTTAGTATCAAGAAGCTCATACTGGTGCATGTGGCTCTCAACCCACTTAAAGCACCTTCAGACAGAGTACGTACAGTATGCTCATCAGCCACATCGGGGTCACTCGTACAAATTTATTTGCTAAAGTAATGGAAGACTACTGAAACCATACCTTGTTTTTATAAAGAAGAACTTACAAATTATTAAAGCTTCCATCTCCTTCCTGTGTGCTTCATGCTCTGCTTGTCTTATGAGGTATGCATAAATAGGGGGGGGGACAAACAGACAACCACTAACCCCCACCCTATAATAACCTTACTACCATACAAGGCCACCCTTTGTTTTACCAATATGCAAATACTATTACTAAATTATGATGCAACATGTGGGACGGACGTAACAATTTCATGTTATCAGTGCATTGTAATTATTTGTACTTCTCACTTCCTTACAATCCTGAAATTGTGGGACAGCATGCTGGGATCTACAAGAAAACGGAACACTCACTATATTGAAACAAACAGGTTGCCAGATTTAAAATTATAATGCTGTGTCTCAGGATCCATGGCTTTGAGGGCCAGTCATGTCATCACTGCTAAACATGGCATCTGACTGCCGTCTCAGGAGAGCATTAAATACTTCAGGTGACTGGATCTTCTGCTGCCATAATTCAAAATACTGCTTAGGAGAGATATCTGCCAGCTCACCCAAACCTTCCTCTCGTACAAACTCGCGCCAGACCTGGTGACGCAGGAAAGTCAGATTATAAAAAGAAGGAATTTCAGAAGACATGACTTTGTTCCAACACTAACAACATCAACAGTAGGAAGGAAATATCCATACACACAAACACACTTTCCAAAGAGAATAAAACTTCAATCATGATACTACATAAGAAAAAGAGCTGGTTAATGATAACAGTACGTGAGTAATCATCCATAGCATATAAAACAAATGTTAACAATCCCAGAAGACATTATCACCCTCTAATATATGAAACACATTACAGAAACCCACATTGTACAGACAGGACATAAATATTAATTTAAATAATTCTGGCACTAAGATTAATTATAATTCAACAAATTAAAGAAGTATACTAATATAGATCTATTTTAGGACAATACAGTAACAAGTCATGCATTTAAGAAGCTGCCTCATGATGATTCAAAACGTGTAGCAGACACTAAAATAAAACCAATGTTAGTACAGTAACACCGATTTGGTTTTTTCTGGAAAAAAAAAATTGTTTTGTTGACAGCCAAAGAACCACATTGTTACATACAACTGGTTGCAGAAAATAAAGGAAGACACTTCTAACCGGAAGGAGGCAGCAGGTTCCTCCGAAATGTTGGCACCCATCTATCAAACTTCACTGTGTCACATCCCAGACCAAAATCTTGACAAAGCTGATACACTTCCACAAATGTACGGACACATACTAAAGACTACATATAAAATTTGTGGATAGTGTTTAAAATCTCACGAAATTTAGTTTGTGATTTCATACTATGATCACTGAGTACTTGAATCTGATTTAAGAATCTGGAGGGCCATCAAGTGACCAATTCAAAAAGGAGGCAATATGATTCTATATGTTGGTACCAACATACCTGAGCACTAGAACACCAAAATGTGAATTCTCAAAACTATGAAATTCTCATGTCTCATAATCTTCCATTAATGAAACATGATAGCATGGAAGATTAAAATGTAAGGGAAGACTGTTGATCCTGCTGTTGGGTTGTTACACTGTGTGGATGTGAGAGATGTTTCCAACATTTTGGAAGCAGCATGTATCTGTGAAACATCTGCACCAATGTCCACAACCACAAAGCAGAACAATCCAAGAATGAAATCAGCATCAACAGTTGACCACTGTGAAATCCTAAACCAATGATAAGGGTTGGACTTTACCTGATCCTCAGATATCATCATTGGTGGAGGCTGACTGTCAAGGGTCACTCCATGGGGGAAAACTTTGACATGATATAACAGGTAGTCATACAGATAGAACTTGTCAGGTTCTATGCCATTGAAAGTTATGATGTGGTCACTATAACAACCTGGAGCCTGGAAAGATAAAAGAGATACATTAAAAGGCACTGCGATATATGACTGGACAGAGGTATACTCCATAATGTAATACAACAAAATTACCAACAGTACTGTGTGAATATTACAACTGAGCATTCCACTGTGTTACTTGAGCACTTGAAAAATATACATAATAGAGTCTTTTAAGTGCAAAACTTAGCAGATTCTTGGTTAACCACCACTTATCTATGTTTCATATATATTGTGGCATATTTGCTCAAGGCAAGAACTGTGAAGCCAGCAGAGACAGCCATTGCTAGGGGGTGGCATTGCAAACAGGTCCACTGCTAGGCAACATCTTTTAACATGCAACAATGGAGTAACTGGAAACGATGTTCTCCGCATTACTTTGTAGCAGCTTCCAACAGTGTAGTGTCCTTGACTTCTATGTCCAACAGCTCATGTCCTCACTGGCTGGCATGTTTCAGCTGCAGCTCCTGAGCTGAACTAAATCACAACATACAATCGAATCCTTATGTAGCCTCGACATGGACTGCACAGAAAACACCTCTCCCAACAGTTCTATTGTTGCACTGTGCAGCTACTGGTATGGACTGCATAGAGAACACTGCTTCTCAGTTACTCCAGTGTTGTGTTACGAAGCTGTTGCTTAGCAACAGGTATGTTTGCAGAGCCATTCCCTAGCAACAGCTGTCTCTGCTAGCTTCACAGTTCTTGCCCTGAGCAATTATGCCACAGTATTTTGTATGATCCCCCTTGTTGGTGTCTCCACCTTAACGTGGTGAGGGGGTTTGAGTATGCCGAGGACCCTGAGGGCTACACCAGCGGTAGCGTAGCTACTGGCAGGAATGAATTTTGTATGATATGAGGCCATCATCAGGGATATATGACTTGTCAAACTGGTGCAATGCAATATACCACTTCCCTGTGCATAAATCAAAATGTAAAAATCAAAAAGTGTTTCAGTTTTTAAAAACAGCTGGGTTCTAGTGAAAATATACATTCTTTCTGAGCACTTCTTTGCCATGTTTTGGTTACTTCTGTTTACCGTTGGAGCAATGTGTACGTGCATTATGTCCATATGTTGTACTGGCTAGTGTGTGTGGACCATATAGTCTCCCAGGAGAAAAGTTTAATATTCTGTGAGGTCACAGTATCAGCAACAATTATGACTTCTACACAAGTCAAAGTTTAGGATTTCAAAAGAGCCTGGTCTCGTGTTTCCCATTAACTTGGACTGATTTACTGATGTACAGCTGGCTTCAAGCTTGGTGTAAGCCACACTCCTTAAACCAAGAAAGGGCTTAACTCCCCCCCCCCCAAAAGGAACTAATTGTGACCCAAAATTAATTAATTTCAAAGAACATAATCATACTAAATGAATTTAAGGTTCCCCTAATTTGGATTGCTACAGCCTACCTATCAGACTATTCTGGTGTCATAACCCAGAAGAATACAGTGTTAATTGCAATAAACTTTCATTACCTCCATGTGTTTAAAAATTTGGGCGCAATTGATTTTAACTTTTAACACAGTAGCAGCCCATGATTATGTGCATGAAACATCATAAATTGTCATTAATTATGTAATGACAAGAACAGAAAAAAGTAAAAAATATTTTAAATATATCGTTTTTATATATCTGTCAAAATATTGTAAAGCAATAACTAATTAATTGACTAATAAAAATATATTTATTCGTAACAGTAAAAGGCAAAATTGTCCCTGTGTTTAACTAATTAAGTACCTTACTATTATGATTTATAGGGGGGTGGAAGTATAACCCCATCTTTCTTGACCTTGGAACTAGACGGAGGTGAGTGCTCAGCTTCATACCCTGGCCACATTACCCACAGTAAAGGAGAGGAGGGCCACGCCATAGCTCAAGTTGTTATGGCTTCCCACCGCGGCGGCCTGGGTTCGATCCTGGGTCTGGTCATGTGGGATTTGTGGTGGACAAAGTGGCGCTGGGGCAGGATTTCTCCGAGTACTTCGGTTTCCCTTATTAATCTTCATAGCGGCCTCCACAGTCTAGAGGTAACGTTCCCACCTCATGACTCGTGGTACGCGGGTTCAAATACCCGGAGGAGGTCGTTGAATTTTTAAGGGTGGAAAAATTCAGGGAACAAGTCCTCCGGGAGGGCCTTTAAGCTGTGTGTCCCGTGTCGTAACTTTACCGCACGTAAAAGAACCTCATATCCCCAAAGGGGATCACTGAGCCAAATTCCAGGACGTTTCCTGCCCAACAATAGCCTCTAAGGCCTCTGATACATGGGGGAAGCATTATAGACACTGCTAAGCAAGTGGCCAAACTCGCTTGCTCGGCGGGACTGATGGTACGCACCATTTATCGGTAGGGTAAAGAGACTGGTAGAATATCATAGAGGGAAGCACAATAGATCAAACTGGTCGTGGTGCATGGGGAAACCCACCCTCTCTAAATAACTAACTAACTAACTACTAATCTTCATTCCACTAACTGCTCCACAATCACCCTCACCTATCATCTGGGGCTGGTACAATAGGCCAGAAGTGGCTGCAGTACAAGGGACTTAGTCCCACTCCACTAGCATTAAAAAAAAAATGGAGAGGAGGCTGGGTGGGCCCCAAAACCAGTCTCCATGCTATGGAGAATAAGCAGCTAGAAATTACATGATAAAGTTGTTCCTGTGCTTAAATAATTAAGCATGAGGCCATGAAGAAGTATGGGGGAGTGGATGTATAGATCCACATTTTCTTGACCTCAGAACTGGTTGGAGGTGGTGGTCAGCTTCATGACCCGGCCGCTTTTTTCCCCGGGAAAGAGCCCCCAGTACACATTGTGTAAGAGGTTGACATGATAAAGAGGTGTCTTCATGAGAAACATTTGTCATTTTGACCCCATCCTAGACTTCTTGATATAATCACCTTTTGATATTGTAAGGTATGAAAGTTTATCAAGATGACAGTTTTTGGAGACATGACACTGTGTAGTCTGGTACACTGGTGACATGTACTGAACTACATGGTCACATATGAAAATTCATGTTTGATTTACTCCTCCTGCTTTCACTATTACCTGATTTTAGGATGCATAAGAGATATAATCTTAGGCAAAAGTAGCTTAAATTCAAATTCAATTAATTTCGGCACTTTGCATATCTTAAATAAAGTCAGAAGTGACACAAGTGATGGTTAGAGTCCTAAATTTTAACGTGGGAGTATTTTTCTATTTCATCACCTTTGTGGCTTTTTTATCATTTATATCACTCATCATAATAAAACTTCTGAGAGTGAATAAATACTCTCTGAATTGAACTGCAGGAAAAAAAAATTGCTCAATTTAAATTACTTTTTTATACAAGTAACTTACATTTTAATATAAATAAAGTAGTTATTTATTGTATTTATGGGAACTATAAATTTAATTTCATTCATTTTGATCATTGAAATACTCTTTGAGAAGAATTAAACTTGACAACACAATAGTTTTCATTAAGTTGGCTGCCTTGCTCAGTGCAGTATCCCCACATAAGTGGACCAACACTATAACTGAAGCTCCAGTTGATGCATTGTACAGTTGTAGGTTAACTGTAGCTACAATTCTCTTTGTTACATTGTGTTTTTCATGCATCATGATGCCAAAAGCAATTTGTCATTGGAAAGGAAGAATAACGAGTAAAGGTACACCCTGTGATTGCACATCTTCTAGAAACTCAACTATAGTTTCTGCTATGCTACTATGTAGCTGTTTCCAACATTTTGCACTTCTACAGTAAATAGCCTGCAAACTGAGTAAAAGTCTGAGTTTCAATTTCTAATAAATGGTGTAGCAAATATAATTTTACAACATTATTCTTAAAGGTTGAAATTATAAGTTTAAAAATTTTTAAACTCATGGTACCATTTTTTACACATTTCTCATCTACTATAAGGTACAAGGTGACGAACTTCCATAAGATCACATGTAAATTCAGTGAAAATTAAAAAGTGCAATAACTTTTGAATGGGTTGGTGAATTGAGTCCAAACTTTTTTTAGGGATTTTAAAATAAAGGAATGAACTATTTGCATAACTTTCATCCATTTTGTACCACTTTTAAGTACCTCCTATACATCCTTAAATAATAATGAAAGTAGAGTGAAACAGGAATTGATGGACTTACAGTCTGACTGGACAAACTGTGCCCAGATGAAGGAACACTGTATGAGTCTGGGCCCATTACATTGTTGAGATTGTAGCGCTGAAACCTGTTACAGCCAGAATTATCCTTTGTGTTTGTAGGAGTGATCCCCATTCCACCCAAATGTTTTCCTGTAATAAAAATCACAATGAAATTCTTTAATACTTAATTACGTTTACAAGTTGAAGCGAAAATTAGTCCACAATGAACAGAGGAGGCTTGATAGTCTTAGTAAAAGCTTTTCTACAGAGTAAATGTCCCAAAATTTAAGTTTTAGTCCACCATGTTTGGGGTTATATGAAGGGATGGAACCCCCTCCACATGAAAATTTCAGAGGAGGAGGAGGATGAGGGGGTGGCGGCAGCAGTAGCAGTGGTAGTTTTGAAAAATGATCTATAATGCAGTTTGCCTGTAACTTCAAACTTCTGAGGTCAGACTGGCTCCACAGCCTAATGAGAATGTGAAGTACACATAGTTTTGAAATATATTCTTTGCAGTTTTGCATAACGTAGACCACACTAGTGATACATACAACACACAAAAACTACAACAGCCACAATAGAGTACAACGACAGCATTCTGATCACGAGATAGAACTAAATATTGATGTGCATGGAAGCACAGTGAACAAGTGTACAGTGCAGTGGTTTCCTCCAAAAGAAAAGAAATTACCCAATGATGGCTCATATGTGGCTGCAACGTGTCATAAACTAGAACAAATATATGACTAGAGACATTTTAGAAATTGGATAATCAGTTTTAATGTACAGAATATGCTTTTAGTGTCCTACTGACATGTAATGAATTTAGCAACATCAACAAGTACTGAAATACATTTTTAGTGTGAAACACATTCCTAATGTCTTTTATATTGTTGCATTATTGACGGATACTTTGATAACAAGGATGATGCTTCAATGCAATGGGATGCTAAAATATAATCATTTTTTTATGTACAGCTACCAATACCAAATTTCAACAAAATCTGTGAAACTGTTCTGGGATATAAAGAAAAGTCAGGAGCCTTTATTATGGATGAATATGGCTGAAATTCAGAAGTGCACAGCAACATTTAGTATATGTTTCCCATACAACATTCATAGATCTGTCCAGTGATTTATGGCCTGATACTAGGATACAGATGGACAAACAAGACACAACTTTGACACAGAGCACTCTTCTCTAGTTTGTAAATAACAACTAAAAGTGTGCAAAACATGACTTAAATTCAGGTCATAAAATTTATGCGTACAACGCATATAAACACTAATTGCAGTCTNAATCCCTGACGAACCATACACGACGAACCACGGCAACGGGTTAACTGAACTTCAGTCAGGATGTACCTTGGCTTGTGATGACTTATGAGAGTTGTATACATAACAGCAGCTATCATGTTGGGTTACAGCAATGATTACCTCATTTTAAGGGGATTAAGTGACAAGAGAGCATGGGAAATCAATCTATAGTATTCTCTGACATAAGCAATGGTACCAAGGACATATCAGTATTTCGTGGTCTAAGAATGACTATCAGTAAATGCTTCTAGCGACAAGTACAGTTCTTGCTGTGGTTACTTGTCTCATTTCTCAGAAACCTTTAAAATCATTAATGAAGATAATTGTGATAAATACCATGTTTACCAACTTATCATTTGATAACTCTCACTTATCATAATGTTACTAAATAGTCCAGAACTCAACATGTTATGATAGTTGCTCTGTTATTCTTCTTGGGGTTTGTTTCTCTTTCATAGTTACCCCACTTTTGTACATGACATTCACTGAAGTTTAACCAGAGCGTTTTTGGACTTTTTCCCATCATGGCTTCCATCTGGAAACTTACAGATATGAAATCAAATTATTAGGGGATATGGAACTGCTGTTCCTCATGCACAAGGCACAGTTTAATTTTTTTTTTTGTAAATATGGCATGCTAGTCCACAGCAAAGCCCCAGCATGAAAAACCCAAATATTTTGTAGTAATTTATCCCCATAACAGTTTCAGTTTTAAGGCATAAAAAGCTTGATTCACCTCAAATATTTATGTTACTTTCAGATGTATATGCACATATGCAAGACATAACTATCCCATGTCACTAAAAAAATAAACTCTGTGGCCTGTATTCCACAAGCAAACTATACTGACTGAGTGACTGCTGCTTGTCGGCAAAGTTAGTGCCAACTTTTGTGGATAGAGGGTGTTATGTGGTCAGCGCAACGGATACCAACAGCCATTAATCTAGGTTTATTATAGTTTAACTGAAAAGGATGAATAAAATTGAACTGTAAGTTTTGAGGTTTTCACGGCGATGACAATGAAGAAAGTCGTCTTCTGGGTTTAGGCACCGTGTATTCTTCGTTTTGGCTGACGTTTCGCGGGAACGTAGCGCCTCCATCTTCAGAGCAGTTGAATGGCTTGGAATGCGGAGAGCTACTGCTACTGCTACAGCTACTGCTCTCCGCATTCCAAGCCATTCAACTGCTCTGAAGATGGAGGCGCTACGTTCCTCCGAAACGTCGGCCAAAACGAAGAATACACGGTGCCTAAACCCAGAAGACGACTTTCTTCAAAATTGAACTGAATCATCATGATTACAATTATCACAGCAAAGCTGCACTTCTCCTGAGTTTCAGAATCTGGATTTCCAAACACTAATCTGGATTTGCAACACATACACATTGGTGTGTAATGTACCACTCCTGGAAGGCCACCTATATTATGGGAGAACGAAGGAGACTCTTTGCTTCATAGTTTACATAATGATACTGTTGGGAACACAGATCATACAGCACTGAATGATTGGATTATAGTGAACTGAAAAGGATGAAGAAAAGTGTCATGGCTTAATTAAGGTACTATGCAAGCATCTGCCTAAAGGAACTGAGTAAAGCCAGTAAAATGAAAATGATTAATAGTCATGAAGTACAGCTATCCTTAGAGCCACGTGATTTTGACTTCTATCAATTTTGTGTTAACAGGGGCTTCGTATGACATTTAAATTACATTTTAAGTGCAGGATAATTATTTGTAAAAAATACAAACATGCGGATTTGTAAACAAGTAAAGGAGTAAAAGAAAAAAAGGGAAAAGAGTTTGAGTTAAGCTGCCACACTTGGAAACACAACTACAGCATGAGAGAGGAGAAACTGGTACAATAATGTGGATTGTAAGAACAAAAATAATACAAATGAGGGACTGGATGTAACATTATATTAGCACGTAACTGAGACTCTGCATACTCACAACCCAATCACAGCACTGTGATATCCAAAAATTGAATAAGTACAAGGTACATGTTTCAAGAGGCTCTTCTAAACACATATTCTTCATGAAAATCATGAAAGCTGATGACAAAAAATCACTGCTGCCAGATCCACCAACTAGCAGCAACCAGAGCTTTACTGGCATGCTGGGTTACTATAAATTGACTCAGCATCATTACAATTTGATTGTACAGCACAACATATACAATGATCTGTTAGGATATTGACAAATTTAAAATGCTGTATGAAACTTGCAGCTAGCTGAGCTTGCTGCAAACCTGTACATGCATCTGGCTTGGCTTACTCTTGTGGGAACTGCCCATAAACAAATGTTACAGTGACAACACAAGTATCATTGCTTAGCAACAGCGAGTAAACAGCCATTGCTAGACAAAGTGAGTAAAGTGGTGATTTTCTTTGTGTCGTGCTTACATATCACAGCCATATTGGATGAGAAGAAACTTTTTATTATAATACAAAACAAAAACAAATGAATATAGATCACTATTACCAGCCTGAACATTTTTACATTACTAGATTCTCAACATTCCTCCTTAATTTCAAAATGTTGCCAACATTATTAGCTGTTTTACAAAGTTAAATTGAATAACACTTAGTAATTTTGGTCTTCAGATTACAAAATTAGTACATGTAATTAAAATTTTCTCAGTCTTATCAAAATCAGACTTATTTCTTCTTAAGTACAATGTCTCTAAACTTGGTAAATTTCTCTGGTGATAGCGGTTTTGTTAAAATGTCTGCCACCTGAGTTTCAGTGTTACAATATTTGACTGAGATCAGTTTCCCTTTCAATTGTTCACTTATGTAGTGATACCTAACGTCTATGCGCTTACTCCTACGGGTTACCTGTCCCAATTCTATTAGCTTGATTGCACTCTGATTGTCAGCACACAGTTCAGCTTCCACCCTTTTTCCTGTCAACTCCTCTATCATCGTCTTTAGATATTTCAATTCTTTACAGCACTCAGCTGCTGCAATATATTCGGCCTCAGTGGTTGATAATGCAACAATACTCTGTTTCCTAGAGCACCATGATATTGGGCGTCCTGACATCATAATTACATATCCCGTTACACTCTTCCTATCCTTTACATCCCTTGCATAATCAATCACTAAATGCTTCCAGTTTCACAGTTTCGGAGTCAGATGAGGTACATTTTATTCCTGAATCTCGTATACCTTTCACATACCTAAGGGTCCTTTTCACATTCTGAACAGCTATTTTGTCAGGATTTTCCAAGGTTCGACTTTCCACATTTACAGCGAATGCCATATATAGCAGGCTTCCTACAGCTTCTCTGTAAGGAAATCTTATGTCATTTCTCCTTTGTCATTTGTTGGTGGGGTTGTGGCCATGGGTGTTTTCATTTCTCGACTTTCTTGCATGTTGTATTTTTCCAACACTTGGCTTGCATAGTTGGTTTGAGAGATATGTATCCCATCTGGTTGCCTCTCAATTTGTATTCCTAAATAAACTTTTGGATTTGTGGTTTTTGTTATCTGGAATTGATTTTCCAGTTTCAGCAAAATTTCCTCTATTTGTCTTTCATCCTCTCCCATGCTTATCCCGTCATCCACATGAATGGCCATGAACAAACTATTGGCCTCATTCTTAAAAATGCATTGGTCAGAATTTAGTTGGTTTAGACCTTCTTCCTTTAGAAAGGTTGTCAACTTCTTGTTCCATTACGATGGTGCTTGTCTTAGGCCATATGATGCCTTTTTCAGGAGACATATCTTGCCAGTGTTCTTGTATCCTTCTGGTATCTCCATGTAGTTTTCCTCCTCAAGGTCTCCATACAGGAAGGCAGTTTTCACATCAAAGGTTTGCATGTTCACATTCTTACGTGCTGCTATGGCAAACAGTACTCTAAGAGAATTCATGTCAACAACTGGGCTAAAGGTATCCTTGAAATCTATTTCCCCTTCCTTTTGTTGGCATCCTCTCACAACCAGTCTGGCTTTGTGTTTTCCATCATCCTTTATTTTGAAAACCCATTTACTGGTCAGAATTTTCTTGCCCACTGCTTTCTCTCTGTTTACATATATCGAAGTTTTGTTTTGGTAGAGCGAATCATTTTCCTCTTTAATGGCTTTCTTCCACTTTTCGCTGTCTTCACTCTCCATGCACTCGTCATATGTATAGGTGAGCATACCCTCCTTTTGACTCTCTGTGTGATAGTCTCGGTACTTTGGGTGCATTTGAATGTTTCTGCTTGGTCTCAATGTATATCCATGTTCGTTTTGTCCATTGTATTTCCCTCCATTATCCTTGTGGTCAGCATTTTCATTTTCTTCATCTCTTCAGTATCTGTTGGTTCTTCTTCATTGTCATCAGCTTTGGGTTCTTGCTGCATTTCGCTATCTTCCTGATCTGGAGTATCTGGCTTGTCTTCTGGATCCATCACTCCTTCCATTTCCTTTTGTTTATTTGTTGTCACAGGTTGACTTGTGAATGTCACATCTCTGGAGACATAGGTCCTTTCGGTATTTGGATCCCATATTCTGTAGCCATTTGTGTTGTATCCAACGAATATTCCTTTCTTGCTACAACTGTCCAACTTTTTCAATGGTTCGAGAATTTTAGTCTACACTTCTGAACCAAAAATCTTCAATCCAGCCAGATCTGATCTTTTACCATACCAATTTTCTGCTGATGTTCCATTCACTGTCACTGTTGGACTTCTGCTTAGCAGGTGTGCAGAAGTGAGTACAGCTTCACCCCACATCCTCTTACTTAAACCTGAGTCAAAAATCAATGTTCTTGCCTTTTCCACAATGGTACGGTTCATCCTTCTGGCAGTGCCCTTTAGCTGTGGCGAATATGGTGTAGTAAATTCCATTACAATCCCCTTGTTCTTACACCACTCTCTCAAGGTGTTGTTCTTATATTCCCCTCCATTGTCACATCTTATTCTTCTCACTCTTGTATTGAAGTGACACTCAGCTTCATTTACATATTCCCTGAAAAAGGTATACACTTCACTCTTATTTTGTAACAGGTATATCTTACAAAAATGCGTATAGTCATCCACACACGTCACTATGAATTATCTCTAATGGCTTTCCAGCCCTACTTCTTTCTGTATCAAATGGGAGTCTCACTTGTTTGGCCTGCATACAAACTGAACATGTATCAAAATTTTTACACTTGCTCACACTTTCTGGTATCCCTCGGCATATCTCTTGTAGTTTCCTAAGATTCGCATAACTTATGTGACCTAGGTTTCTATGCCACTCTACACTTATATCTTGCTGAGTCATCATAGCTTCATTCCTCGCGCTAAAGTTAATTACAAACAATCCATTTTCATCCTTTTTTCTTTTGATTACAACATTTTTCTCCTTGAGTATCTGGACTTTCTCTTTTGTAAACAACACTTCTCCATCATTTTCTGTAATACAGTGCAATGACAGCAAGTTTTTGCTGAGTTCTGGAACATATGAAACGTTTTTCAAACTACACTCTTTAAATTCCAAATTGCCTATTTCTTTTGCAGTCATACTTTGATTTTTCTTTGCTACCTTTATACACTGAGTATACTGCTTAGTATGTATCAAATCAGTCTTCACATTTGTCATATGACATGTGCTACCACTATCCACTACATACATTCTGTCTTTTGCACTTGCATCACTCACGTGGGTTTCTGCTGCTTCAGCTATAAAACTGACCTTGCTTCTTTTATTCCTATCTTTAAAATAAGTCCTTTTTGGCATGGTTTGTTTTCTTACATACTGTACACTGTTTTCTTGCACCACTGTCCTTATTTCTAAAGTAACAGTCCTTTTCAGAGTGATTATTCCTTTTACAGACAGAGCAAATTCTCTTACCTTTGTTGGGGCAGTTGATCTGGGCATGACCTATTTGATTACAATTGAAACACTTGAAAGGGGTTTTACTTTTGGTTTTAGTTACTGTCTTAAAAGCTATGCTTTCCTCTTCTTTAGTTGTCATCTTCCACTTCACTTCTCCCAACATCAATCTGGCCACCAGGTTGTCAAGGGTTCCATCCACGGTCGCCGTTTAGTCCCAGGCGGTGCTGAAGTGTTATTAGTCTTCTGGTAGAATCGTTATTTTTGTCATGATTATGTTTTCAACAACGTTTTGGTTCAGTTGACGAAGCTCGAAGGCAATGTTCTACACATGACTTATATTCGTCGTCATATCCTTAGTTTTGTCATACTTGAAGTTGTAGAAGTCTTGTAGCAGAAGGCACTTCTGCTGAGAGGTGTCTCGCTGATAAATTTGCTTCAAGGTGTCGGACATTTCTTTCGCGGCTGTGCATGTCACAATGTGGGTCTTCACGTGTTTCTCTATCGTTCTCACTAAGTAGTACTGGCACTTTGCATCTCGCATCTTCCATTTCCTTATATTTTTTTCGTCTTTTCCTTGGTCACTTAACAGGTTGCTGCCATCAACGATGTTTATCAGTTCTTTTGCACGCATCAGAATCTTGATTTCAAAATCCCACAATAGAAATGAGTCAGTATCCTTCAGTTCTGGCAGATGAGTTACCTCTTCTGTCTCTGTAGTTGCCATTTTTTCGTTATTCTTCTTCTGTCTTCTCCTTTTTTTTTTTTGGAGCAAATCTGGGCCCATAACCTGTTGATTTTCTTTGTGTCATGCTTACATATCACTTAACAGCCATATTGGATGAGAAGAAACTTTTTATTATAATACAAAACAAAAACCAATGAATATAGATCACTATTACCAGCTTGAATATTTTTACATTACTCGATTCTCAACATAAACAACTGTTTATAGGCAAAGCCTACAATACGGACAGCGTTTTCTATGCAATGTTATATAAGAAGAGAGAGGTGTGGGTGTTCAAGCAGTAGTATTGTTGGTACTATACTACTGGCCTTCAATTCTTCAAACCGAAGTACATCTGTGTACTGTGAAACTATAATAAATATTTCCTGAACAATTCAACAAGTGGTTGTCTTTTGATACAATGACATCCCACACTCTGTTACCCTGAAGATGGAGGTGATATGTTCTCCATACTACTGAGAGTTAAAACCCAGAAGATCGCACTCCTCATAGTCACCTAGGTCAGTATGTCAAATCCAAAATATTAACACTCTGCTAAACATTGTCTGCAGTAAATAAATTGTCATGCAACCCATCAAGCAACCGGCAGCTTATCTACCCACTTTATCATCATTCACTAACATAAAGTGTGTTTACTTATATACATGTATGTAATTAAGATAAGGTAAGGAAAGTTTGTCCCTGTGTTTAACTAATTAAGTACTATGCCGTGAAGGCATATGGGGGAGTGGATATGAAGATCTACATTTTCTTGACTTCAGCACTAGCTAGAGGTGAGTGGTCAGCTTCACGCCCTGGGCACTTTAGATCCCGATACCCACTGGATAAGAGGTTGGGTGTACCACAGTGCTGGTCTGGAAAACATGGAGAAGAGAAAAATTCTTGACCCTACAAACTCTGGCCCCTTTGTCATCCAGCATGTAGCTAGTTGCTATACCGACTATGCTATCCCAGTTCCTAAGTTAAGAGAGTTATAAAATGACTGACAATATCAGTACAATCAATTACTGAGGTGCGTCCTTTAGAAGGAGCAAACCTCAATCTACCCCAACAGGGGTTGTCCAGTGATTGAGATTAGCTCTTTCTAAGGGACCCAACTGATTAGGTGTCTTCCCCCTCTCACCTGACGATGGAAAGAGATAGTTTCTGAAATGCTGTGTTTTCTAGTTTCTAGAATACTGGATGATGGGCAAAGTCCAAAAATCCATTAATTCTAAGTGTTATACACCACTGGCAGAACCCTTTAGAACCATCATATGGTGTGTTTATCTACCACACGTTTGAAGTGGCTCCTTGATAGTGTTGGTTTTGCCTTCTGATGATTCATTCATTCATCCATGTCCAGTAGTAGCTGAAATATGTGAAGGCTTTTCAAATATTAAATTGTTGCACCTGCTGGAACCTTGATGCTTATAAGACACAAGGGTTCTAACTGCCACATGTATGTGGAGGTACACACACTGTGGCTTCTTTAGCATTTGAAACATGCTCAGTTTTTCTGTTTTATATATTTGTCTGCTGTAATCTAGAGGCAACATACAGGAATAAAATTAACGTGAACTGAATGATCTGAATAATCTCATGTTTTGTTGCATGGAAGGAAACAGAAAAAGAGCTATCAGATTATTAATGAAAATGGTAAGATGTAAAAAATAATTGATGAATGTGAATAAGAGGGCTGATACACTAGTGAAGTGTCAAAGTTTGGTCAGAACACTGACATATGTGGTTACTGTATTATAGAATTATTTAGTTACCATTAACATATCTAACATAATATTGTAACATGGATGGCCAAAGTGTTGCTAGGTAACTGTTGTTATATAGCCCAGCACTGACCACGTACGGAAAACAGCCTCTACTGTTGTAAAGGCATGTTTACCGCGACACTGCATAGTGACGGTCTCAGCGCCGACAGCATAGAAAGCGCTGTACTTCTATTATTTTGGACTTGTGAAATATATGTATGTATTACGTATATATTTCCTTGCGTGTATTCGGCCGTGAGGTGTTTAACGGTCAGTTTATCCAGCAACGTTTTGGCCATCCATGTTATAATATTATTTACCCAAGTAAAAATCCTCGTTCCTCCAGTATTTTCCACTTGCCAGGCACGACTCACTTGAATTGAATTTCATTTGTAACGCATAAATTACACCTTTACTTAGAACGTACCCCGCACCACCGATATTATACGCCTTTCCCCAGAAAGTTACATCATTGCCCAAATAATAGGGTTCGTTGTAGTCTAACGATGCAACATAATATCGCAGATTTTCTGGAATTGCAAATATGTCATCAGGCACAAAAAGAGCCCAATGAAGATTTTCTTTATTGTTTTGCCATAAGTGTCTTATAGCGTCACATAAATATTGCCATGACGATTTTGGCCGAAGTACGATAACAGGTATATCACTGCTATTTTCTAACCCGAAATATATTACTTCGTTGCAGTGTTTCGCCCATGTATTTTCAATAGTGAGGGCATTCCTTGTTTTCTTCACAAATACGACACAATGCACATGGACTACACTATATAGATATGATGCTTCTGATACTAGGCCACCTGAAGAAGTTTTTGCGTGACTTAATTCGTAGTAATTTACGGAACGCTTTTTCAAGTTCTGCATCGAAAACCATTTCTCGTATGAAATTTTGGAACCGTCTCTAACGTTACAAGCTGTTTGTACAGACGTTTCATTTTCATTGTTAACAACTAAGCACGCTATTATCACACCAACTAAAAATCCAATACTGAAAGCACAATTTTTAAAACGGCAAATTTGACGTAACATTTCAGAATTCGCACATATGAGAAACACGTTCGCGTTTAACACAAATGTAAGAATAATTGACATGAAACCACATGATCCATCTAACTGATTGACATGTCTGGATACACATATCGATACACATCGGAGTGCTTTCATTTATTCCTAATACGAGTATATAATCGCTTGTTTGTGGTCAAAATGTGTCAGTCGGATATTGCAACAGTATAGGTAGTCAAAGATTGCAGTGGATGAGGCATACTGAGACGTATGTGATGGGAAGGGGTACCACGACAGAAGTGTAACGAGGTTCGCAGCCTTCGGAGCGCACCATAGAGGGGAAACTGTTTTTTTTTTTGTATTATCGCAGTGTGTGTTAATGATGGTTAACGATGTTAGTGAGGTTTTCGGAAATCGAAAGAGACAGAATTAACGTCATTAAACGTTTTATAAATGGCAAACTTAAATTTTGAATGGCGTATAGACCCTTGCACAGAAGGGTGTCTGAGTGCATTAAAGTGGCTTTTGTTTGAGTGAAAGTTATATGGAACGTCGTTTTGTATGTGTGCTAGGAGATTTCGTATGTTCCATGTACCATGAAATATCCAGTTGTACTCCTTGCTGTCAAACTTCATTATGTAGTCTGACGTTTTAAGCCAGATATTTATCATCATGTGTAGGAAATGACTCAGTTTCACACTGAAGCAAATAGAATGTCATTTTTCAATGTTTTCCTTCAACATTTTAGCATCAAGGGCAATTACTGTTGATGTAATAAATAAGAAGTGAATTACGGAACTTGACTGGATCACCTTACTTTAGTACTTTTCAAGTAAGAAACGTTGGGAAGTTATTAGTTGCATGCTTGCCTAGAATTTGATATGTATGACAAATCAATTCCATAACCTGGTATTTTTATAGTTCAGTAACAGATTATGCATGTGGAAGCTGCTGCTAGCTGGAATACAGTGAGAATTGACCTTGGTGGGCTGTTCTCAGTGATAGTACAGCAGTTTACGTCTCCATTCATTCAGGGTGCTGCAACTAATCAAGTGTCATTATGTCAATTTGATGTCCAGCCAGTTCATCATTGTGTTAGGAGTTGATGGTGTAATTTAATGGTGTCTTCAGCTTAGCTAGGTGCTGTGTGCCATACAAAGAGTCAAAAGACTTCTACAAGTTCATAAATTAAACATTATATACTTACATCTGGCCATAAATGGGTGTGTTTGAAATACGGAACAATGAGTGACCAGTTATGTTGGCAGGATTTATTTGTATTATCAGTATGATATGTTTTTTGTAGGATGTTCTAGTGATGTATAGTTGAGAAGTAATCATAATTTCATTTTGCATAGAGAGGTTGCAGGAATGCCACTGTTATATACAGCTGAATTAATTGTATACTGTGTTCTCATATCAGTTCAGCTGTATGCAATAGTTGTGTCGGTGGAACTTCCCCTCTGAATCTGTTGGAAAGACACAACAGATGCTCTAATACTGTATATTTCTATTTTTGTTTTAGAAGTGTACATGCATACTTTATAAAATGGCAGCTGATGAAGGTGGCATTGAGTGGCTGTACGAGTTGCTGCAGGATGTGCAATTGGAACAGTTCTTCACAAGAATTAGAGATGATTTGCAGGTGATTTCACTTGGCGAAAGAAGAATTTGTTTAAATGTGAAAAATGATTGTTGTCCTAACAGCGAAACAGTTTTCTTCCTTGAGAATCCTCTTAACAAACTAAATCTTTTTATTCATTTGTTTGTTTTTTCCCTGATTCAGTTGCAGACTACAGTATTATAGATAATGATTGACTGATTTTTGTGAAACTTTGTACGAATATCTTGCCTTTGAAGATTACATTTTAACTCCATGCCATCAACAGCAACATAATGGCCATGCATATTTGTGAGAAGTGAATGTTGTTAGTGCTTATAACTGTGGCTGTTATGTTGGACATTGTCCATCATTTTGAGTTTTTCCAAACCATGTTTCAGAGAGTGGTTTTGTGTTCATCGTGAGGTGTTAGGGGGCTAGTTATAGTATGCCAAGTATGAGTGAGAACTCTCACTAAGATATATTGTTTTTATGGCTGTGTTAAGGAAGAGAATGGGAATTTATTTTTAATTTCTTGAATTATTTGAGAGTAATTTGTTTTTTTCTATTTTGTAATAGGTGACTCGTTTAACCCATTTCGATTATGTCCAAGCTGAAGACTTAGAAAAAATTGGTATGAGTAAACCTGGAGTGAGGCGTCTGATTGAGGCTGTGAAGAAGCGCAGGACACAACAGTGGAAACGAAATATCCTGACAAAACTGATCCCAGCAACAGGAAGTACAGGTGGAGGCAAGACTGGAACCAGCAGGAGAGGCATTCACAGTGATGATGGGCTCACCTCTATAAGCCTGACGTGTCTTATTCAGGAAAAAGATGTCAGGTCAGAACGGAAAATTAAAAAGTGTATGAATATGGTGATGTATTTGGAAGTTTGCAAGAATCCAGATTAATTTTAAACACTATGGAAATTTGTATTTCCACTAGAAGTGCAACAGTTACACTTGTTTCTCTGTTAATCATGCTTACCAAATATGTATTTAAAATTACTGTTTTGATTACTGAACTGGATCCATTGTAGAAAATGAAGTTTTCATGATGGTAGCTATGAAGAAACAGTCTTGTGGGCTGTAACACTATGTAGTCAAAGAGAGCCTGACATCTTGAAGGATTGTTCATTGTTCATATATTTCAGATTCAAGCAGATCCAGATACAGGTTGAGAAGTATATTCACAAACCACTGGATATAGAATGAATCACATATCAGAACAAATGTTCCAATTAATCGTTGGAACAAGTCTAGGCAACATAATGTAAAATATACATAACATTGATATAGAACATAAATAAATTCATTCATCTGTAATCTGTCAAGACGACAGGTCCACAGTCTCTTCCAAAACGAGTTCCTCCACTTAATGCGATCTAGAGCTTTCTCCTTAAAATGAATATGATTACAAAAAATTGAATGCAAATGAAGAACGTATTAACAATTTATACAATAATATCCCTCCAGTTTGTAAAAACAGTGCAACACCAGATGTCTTCTTAAGGAACTCTTAAAAATTTTGGGCATCTGTACAAGCTCTTTTAATTCGAGTGGTAATTTATTAAAAATTTTAATACCAGTATAGTAAATACCACTTTGATACAATGATAGAGATGTAGTGCCTCAATCTTCAGGGTTGAAGAGTAAGGCAACCAAGAAACCAAAAAAAATAAATAAATATCAGGTGACAAGTTGAACTGCATGGCGTTAGAGCCCAGAAGACTTCTCTTCTAACCATTGTAGTTGGAGTGCCATATCTCAAGTCAGTTCAGTTATTTCATTATTCTCTATAGCCTGTCTGTGAAGCTGGGTGATGGTTCATTTGGTGTGGTAAGGAGAGGTGAATGGACAACTCCAAGTGGACGATCACAGCCTGTAGCTGTGAAAGTTTTAAAGCAAGATGCTCTTAGTCAGCCTGGAGTGTTTGAAGACTTTGTGAAGGAAGTACAAGCCATGCATCAGTTGGATCATCCAAACCTTATACGGTAGTGTAATTAATTCTATAAAAAAAGTTCTGTTAACATGTTAAACAAGAATTCATATTATCCAAAGGCTGGGTTCAAAGGATTCCAACATCATAATGTTTCCTGTACAAGCCAATTGGTGGAAACTTTTTGCTACCAACTTGAAAAATTTACCACCGCTTTATGATTGTGTGCTGAATGTTAGAACTTTGCTCTTTACATTTTTTGACATGACTTCTGGTAGTTCACATAAGGAACAGCAGATGACAGGAGTTTATAATTTGCTAGAATGAATGTCTTTATTTTTCTTTAATTTTTGTTCAAGTTTGATTTACAGCTTGTAAGAGTGAGGTTTGAAACATAAAAGTTCGGAGCAGGTCAATGTATAGATCACTATGTACTAGCAATCATCATCATCTCTAGCATTAGGTCTGTTGAAACCCGTTATGTATGTTATGAAACAGAACTCGTACATTGTTTCAGAGATCTTTCCAAACTTCTTTTTCCTTTTGGTTGATATTGTAATCTTGTATTGATATTTTGGAATCTTGTCAGAGTTTATCAGCATACTCCTAGTTTCATCTGTATTATTCTGTAAATTCTGTGATTTATGGGTTTGTACTTCTCTCATAATTTCTTTGTTCTTTTTATGGTCCAACAAAGTATGTCCACTCCACACACACCACACCAGCTGGCTTTACAGCCCTTTGTGGATCTTGGCCTCTGCACCAGCAGGCTCCAAGCATCTCTGTCCATCACAATGGATCTCCAGTCGTTAACTCTCAATATCCTAAGGTCTTCTCTGACATCATCAAACCACCTCAATTTTGGTCTACCTCTTACTCTTTTAGTATAGATCTTCTCATACAATATTTTCCATGGCACTGTTTTACCATCCATTCTTTCTACATGTCCCAGCCAGTTGATTCTTCTTGCCTTTATAAATCTAACTACAGTCAACTCTCGATTATCCGGGATAATGGTGGAGATGGAAATCACGATTAATCGAAAACCCGGTTAAGACAAATTTTATTAAAAGTAGTACTGTAATACTGTACCTTCATAATATTGTAGGCTTGCCTGTATTTAAATTTATTCAACCTCATTTTTATGTCATCTCATGGCCTATTTAATACTTTTTTTACATTACACTGAAGTATGAATTAGTTATTTCAATCACAGTCTTCAACAACATCCAACACTTTTTACGAATATTAACACTTAGAAAAAGTTAATATTGTTGTTTACTTTTTCGCGGCATTTTCCTTTTTCTGTTGAATACTTAACACAACACGCTTCCTTTTACATCCTGACATTTTGCTAACACACTTGAAGATTGATACAAAGATTCTAACTGGGGCGATTTATCTGTCCTTGAAACTTTCCACAAATCCTTGCATTCTTTCACTCCTACCCTAGAACATTGTGTTAGCATAACGGGACCAAAGAATGCAGAGCTCGGTTCACACTAGTGCGAAAATAGTGTTACAACTCGCCATGTGAAACTAAAGTGAATGAATATTAAACAACATATAAGCCTCAAAAAAGTCTCAGTAGCCCCGGTTAAGCCGCAAACCGGTTAATCTGTCCCCGGATAATCGAGAGTTGACTGTATATCATCTTTCTTCAGTATCTCATCTAATTCTCCACTGCTCTTCTTGTTCTAATGGCCCATATATTTTCCTAATCTTTTTTCTTTCAAACCTTCTTAAATTAATTTCATCCTCTTCCTTTAACACCCATGTCTCACTGCTGTATATTACTATAGGGTGTGTTAATGTTTTATATATATTCATTTTCAGACTGCCTTTGTGATCTAGTGGTCAGAGTTTCTAGCTACATATCCAGAGATCCGGGTTCGATTCCCGGCGCTACCAGATTTTCAGAGAAGTAGTGGGTCTGGAACAGGGTCCACTCAGCCTCGTGAGGATAACTGAGGAGCTATTTTACGGAAATAGCCACTCCGGTCTAGAAAACCGAGAATAACAGCCATGGGGAACTGTTGCACTGACCACATAACACTCTCTATCTGCAAAAGTTGGCATTAACTTCGCTGACAAGTGGCGGTTGTTCAGTTTGTCAGTATAGTCTGCTTGCGGACTAAAACCGCGGAGTTTGTAGCTTGTATTCCTATTTATATCCTTAGATTTTAATAACTGTAGGTTGGCATAATATGCCTCATTGCTGGATTGTATTCTTTCTTAAGTAGTTACTATAGGATTTTGACGATGGTGTATAACACAGNCGATGGATAAAGTCCAGAAACCCAATATATCAGTGTGTTATACACCATCGTCAGAATCGTCCAGTGATTGAGGCTAACGGACCCAACAGAATAGGTGTTTCCCTTTTCCTTCACTTGAGGACGGAAACAGATCCAGTTTCCGAAACGTCGTGTTTTTATTTGTTATCTTAAAAACCAGGACGATGGATAAAGTCCAGAAAGCCAATATATCAGTGTGTATTCTTTCTTGTATGGTGTGTGTTATATTATTTTTCTCATCTATTACTGCACCTAGATATTTAAACTTCTGTACCATTTCAAATTCTTTGTCTCCAATACATAATTTCCTCTCTCTTATATTTACATCTTTAGTTGTATTAAGACGCATGTACTTTGTTTTTGTTATGTTTGTAAAAAGGCCAAGCTGATTTACTTCCTTTTCTAAAGCCAGAGATACTCTCTGCAATTCATTTTTTGTTCTGGTCATAATTATTACATAATCAGCATATGCACAAATTTGACTCAGTTTTGTGAATATGTTGCCTCTTTTGTCTATCTTTTTGATTGCGGTGTGTAATACTATGTTAAATAACGTGGTTGCCAGACCATTACCCTGCTTAACACCACTATAATATCCGAACTTTTTTCGAGTCTCAATTCCTAACTTCACCTTAGCATATGTTTGATGTAGTGTCATCATTGTTAAGTTAATGAGTTTTGTTGGTATTCCCATTTCATGCATAGCTTGTGTTAATTTATTTCTTCTTACATCAAATTCATTCTTATAGTGCAGACCTTTCCCATACTCATGAAATTTCTCTGTTGTTTGATGCAGCACAAACATTTGATCTGTTGTACTTCTTCCTTTACGGAACCAACACTGGTATTCTCCAAGTTTGTCTTCTTCAATCTGCATTATTCTCATATTTATCAAACTTGTCACAATTTTGTATGTGGTGTTAAGTAAGGTTATACCTCTGTAATTATTGCAGTCAGATTTGTCTACTTTTTTATGAATGGTGCAAACTAAACCTGTTTTCCAAGCAGATGATATGCTTTCTTCTTCCCCTATTTGTTTAATCAACTTGTATAATTCTTCAAGTTCTAAACCAGCATGAATAAGCATTTCCAGTATTATATTATCTTCTCCATTGGATCTGTTTCTTTTCTGTTTCCTGATTATTTGGTCTGTGTCTTCTGATATTGGTGTCTTCACAAGTTCATCTATATTACTATATGTTCCACTTTTGACATCCTCTATCCTTTCATAGGCTTTAAGCTCTTCGTCTTAATTATCATCATCCTCTTTACCCAGCTGCTCTTGGAAATATTCTATCCACCTTGTTTTGACATCTGTTGGGGTTGCCACTATAATTTCATCTTTATCTCAGCATCCAATTGTCTGTGGTTGATATCCTTTGTTTAAACTGCCATGTATAGCTTCCTTGTACCAGGGGTTTTTCTGGCGGATACCCATACCTCTAGCCCTTTTAGTTCCCACTACAGCTGTAGGGCAGCAGCAGCAGTTTTGGTCTGCCCAAAGTATTTTATTTCACTGGTACCCTCCACCTATATAGGTGGTGAGCATTCCTCTATCCGCCACCTGGAAAGGCACCTGATGGGAGACCACCAACTCCACATGGGACAAAATATGTCCCTAGCCCTTATTATGAGTCAGCAAACATGAACTGAGATTTCTATGCCTGACACATTGCAAAATTTGTAGTTACAGCAGTGTTGCATAAACTGGCTTTTCTACCCTGTAATCAGCCTGGTGCCAGGTCAGAAATGGAACCCCAAAATGAAAGACTTGGGATGTGATAATTTGCTGCCTGGCCAGGGCTATTGCATACCTCAGGGGGCAGTGTTGGTTTAGTATGAAACAGTGGTGGAATAATGATTATCTGGGGAAAACTAGAGTAGTTAGAGAAAAACCTGTTCCAGAGTCATTTGGTCCACAATGAATCTCATAAGAAGTCACCTCAGGTCATTCCCAAGGCAGTGGAATGAGATGCCAGGACCTGATTAACTTACATTTAGGAAGCACCCAGTTCAAATTCCAGCTGAAGACTGTCTTTTATGACATGTTTTTCATAATTTTACTCAGTCCCTTCAGGAAAATTATGGTATAATGTCTGGAAATAAATTCTAATTCTATTTCTTACCTTATAATGCATGAAAGGAAAGTTTTTGGTATGTATGACTTCAGAGAATGTGTAGAGACTGTTGATGATCATGCATATAATGTAATGTACTTCCTGTATGTTGATAGGTTATATGGTGTTGTGCTCACGAATCGTATGATGATGATCACAGAGCTTGCCCCACTTGGCAGTTTGTTGGATTATCTCAGGAAGCAGTGCCAGCATACTCCTGTCACCAGTAAGCCATTAAAATGCAATGAATGTTTTTAATTTGTTTGCTCATTAGTGGGGTATTTTGTTGTAAGCAGTATGTGTTTGGTTATGAATACATTTCAGGACATTAGTGCTGTCTGGATTGTTAAAATCACCAATCTCACTGTACCAAGTTTTGCGTGTTTCATGTTGTTTTCATGTGGGTTATGACATTGTGTAGGTCAATATCATAATGCCAAAGGAATATACCGTCTCCATTGCCAAGGTACCCTATAGATTATATGTCAGTAAGAAAGCTGGTTCAAGCAGTAACACTTATGTCTTGGTTAGGTATAATCTTGACTGGGGCACCAGCTATCTACACTGAGGTTTCTCATGTTTTTCCATATTCCCTTGAGACAAATGCTGAGGTAATATCCAAAATTAGGCCATGGCTGGTTCCTTAAGCATCCTTGCCAGTTCATTATTTATTGGATTATCTAACCAGTGATTGCTATGTAGTCTAAGATAACAGACAGTGTCATAAAATAAACCACGTATAAAAATGGTGTTTATTATATAGGTATAAAGGCATTTAATCACTTACCTCCTTGTATAAAAAAATTGTCTGATAATAAGAATCAATTTAAAAATACTGTAAAAAACTACCTTCTGTTGAATTAATTTTATTCACTGAAGGATTCTTTTAATAGTAATTACTAATTTTAATGAAGGTTTTATCTATCATAGGTGCTTTATTTTGGCATAAATATGTTATCATCTACCTTTTGTTATGATGATTTTTTATAATATTAAATTTAAGATGTTATGTTTAATGTTAAAGTAGGAAGATAAACAGTTTGGTTTATTGTTTGGTCTGGCCTATGATTTTTTTCATAGCATGTGTATTTTAGTTACTTATCTGCGACTGGTTCTATATCCGTCAGGCGTATTTGTAGCCTAGATTGGATCAACGGAATTTTACAGTGGAATAAATAAAAACCAGTACAATGATAGTGTCATTAAATAAACTACAAATAAGTAATTGCACAGATAGATAAATAAATGAAGACATGAACTACAAGGTGTCATAACCCAGAAGACTATAGTATGAATCTACACTGCTGTGAAAGTCTCATATCTTGTATATATAGTTTTCATTTCCTCCAATGAAAGGGTCGGTCAAGCTGTGAAAGTTCAGAGAGCACTATCATTATTTATAAAAAACCTGTATGTTTTCCAGTATTCATCTAGTTGTCAGAATTGACACTATACGTTCTGTAATTGTACTGTAATTGTTCTCCTTATATGTGTAAAAATACAAGGTGGTTCAAATATGACCGGGACTGATTTTTTTTTAAACCAAAATTGCCAAACACTTACTTGCACATGTCAGTCTTCAACGTACTCCCCTCTGGAGTCAACACATTTTTTCCAATATTCTGGAAGCATCCTGATGGCCTTTTCAGAAAAGTTTTGTGGTTCGCGGCATATCCTCTCCCGAACATTCTGGATGACGGCGTCGTCCACAAACCGCATGCCTTGCAAGTCTGATTTGAGCCTTCTGAACAGGTAGAAATCACTTGGTGCCAAATCGGGACTGTATGGCGGATGTGTCAGAAGGTTTCATTTCAATTTCCGGAGGGTTTCCATTGTTGTTTTGGCCGTATGGGGGCATGCATTGTCTTGAAGGAAGGCTACCTGCTTTCCACCTCACTTCCGCTTGGATCGGATCTTTTCCTTCATGTCTGTTGCCAGGAGGTCTGAGTAATAAGCTGCATTGACTGTTCTGGCATCTGTCAGAAAGTTTACATGGTAACCCCCTGCCAGTCCCAGAAGAACACTGCCATCACTTTTCCTGCCGAACAGCTCGTCCACGCTCTCTTGGGTTTGGGAGAACTGGTGTGCTGCCGCTCGCGTGATGATTGCTGGGACTCGGGAATGAAGTCGTGCACCCACGTTTCATCAGTGGTCACTGTAGACTTCAAAAATGCATCACCTTCGTCTTTGAACTGCCGTAGGAGACGACTGGCAACTTGCATGCTCATCATTTTGTTCATGTCCGTCAAAGTGCGTGGTACCCACCGTGCATTCACCTTGCGATAGTGCAGGTGGTATTTCATGATTTCTTCTACACTACCAACACTGATGGACAGCATTGCTCCAAGTTCCTTGATAGTGACGCACCTATTCTCACGAATAAGTGCATCTGCACGATCAGTGTTTGGCTTTGTGACAGATGTTCGCGGCCGACGATCATGCTGTTCATTCTCCACGCGCTCTCTGCCCTCTCTGAAGCACTTACACCACTCAAACACATGGGTCCATGAGAGACACTCTTTCCCATACTGTTGTTGGAGTCTGTGGTGAATTTCAGCGGACAGGATGTTTTCTCCAACGGAATTTGATCACAATGCGTTGTGCCACGCTCCGCAATACCTTCTGTTCACTCATCACTCTAGCAACTTCCAGACAGGACTGAACAGGTTCTAACCCGAACATGAGGGAGGGTGGAGGTTGTGGCTTCACTCTCTCAAGGTCGCACAGCTGCTGCACAGTGCGGCTTGTTTACAAAAAATCAGTCCCGGTCATATTTGAACCACCTAGTATATATATTTTTTTACTTTTATAAGTTATTTTGTAACTAAGTTAATACTTAAATTTCTTATGCCTTTTGTCTCCAGAATATCTTTTGAAAGAAAAAAATTATGTTGCAGCATTTTCTTCCAACTGAAAATGTTGTCCATAAAACCAGATTTTTTTCCTTGTGGCATAACAATTAAAGGATTAATTGCTAAAAGTGCACTGTAAGCCCTTGTCCTGTCTGTTGTCATATTTATTGAAATAATTTGCCTGGCACATAGAAATGCATGAACGAATGTTTACCATCATACTTAAAACTTCAACAGGAAGAATATCGTCCACTGACTGACCAACTGACTGATTGATGTCAGACCATTTGACCAGTCAGTCCACCTGCTTGCATTCTCACTCCATGAAGCAGATTGTTCCTTGAAAAGCTAGAAATTTCTCAACTACTCTGTAAATTTCCTGCCTTTTATGGAGCATGAATGTTCATTCCTCTGTTTACAAATTCCCACCACTAATTCCTATCCTGTGCCCAAGTTTGAGCCTCTGTTTAACATTTAGTAACATGGTGGTCTTTTTATTGTGATGAGTTCCTAGCCCCCATCATAAACTTGAGGCTGGAGAACCATCCCTTGTCAGATGTCCACAGCTGCTCAATATATGCCAGCTACCAGTATGTGGAATGTACATCCTCCATCCACACTCCTCACTCCACACCATGCTGTGGAGACAAGGGACCCACTTAACATGAGGATGACATTGTTATCATTATCATCATTATCATTTATTATCATTCAACAATCCATACATACAGGTATTACAACCATTTGGATAAGGAAATTGTCAGTTTTACGTCTAATTCTCGTGCATATCTTTACAGTGTGCAGTGTACGACCCTAATATAAGGGGTTTGTCGTCTGAATTTGTATTCAAACTGAACCAGTAATTGGGATACAAGAGAATGAAATATCGACTGGCAGTTTGTATGAACTGCTCCGATTGGGAGACAGGTAGCCCTGTCAATATATAACTGCACTATGGGCTGGGCAGCTGCACATTTGTGGTTCAATTAACTGCAGGAGTGGAGATTTTTTTTCTTTACCACCGTCCACTCTGGCCCAGCTAGCCACATATGCACTGGTATTGGCAGCCCTTCCCTGAGGAGTAAAGCATCTGTGGTGTAATGTTAATCACCCATGTCCATCTAGTGCTGAAATCAAAGATAGAGTGGAGCTGTACCTCCACAAGAAGGCTGGCACTCATATTGGACTATAGTGTCAATCTTTTACCTTTCATTCATCAAGTTCTCATGTCAAGTGGTGTTCATTGTAATGGTGTTTTACTGTATTCAAGTTCATGCAAAAGGTTTCCCATATTTTGTTTTAAGGCAAATGATGTACGTAGTTAACTGTATTATTTATATCATGACAGCATTGTGGGACTATGCGCTTCAAGTAGCTACTGGGATGGCTTACCTGGAATCAAAGAGATTCATTCATAGGGATCTGGCATGCCGCAATGTCTTGCTTGCAGCAGCTGATAAGGTAAGCATTACATTAATTTGTAAGTCAAGTTGCAAAGAAAGTTAATGAAAGAGGGTTGATGAACATTTGTGTATAGGTATGGAAAAGCAGAGGATGGGATACATTATGAAATCAATTTTATTTATAATTGTGCAGTATTATTACAGATGCTTACAAACTGTTTCAGAGGGAAGATAAAGCAAGAAATGTAGGTATCCCCCAAATTATACGATTTTGACTTAGGCAAGTGACATTTTAGCACAATTTCATACAACATTTTTTATTTGTTTACTAAAGACTAAAATATAATTAAGTTATTTGTCTAAATTAAAAGAACAGGGATTTCTTATCTGCTAACATGAAGGAGGAGGAAGATTTCTCAATTCTACTGGCAGTCCGATTACTTAGAAGAATTCTGACTCCTCAGTCTAGTCCATAATTGACTTCAAAGGAAGAATCTGTAGATGGACTAAAAACAGTGCTTGTGAAAAATGGTGTGTGTAGTGCACCAGGATCTGCTAGTATTCAGGAGACTCCAAAGAGACAATGTGGACAAGAAGTTCAGAGAAGGAACGGAGATCTTTCCTGTAATTTTGCAAGTGATAAAAATACTGACAGAAGGGCTGAAAAAGGTAATACAGATATTGAAATCTGTAACGCAGATACTAAAATATATGATTTGTCTCAGTCCTCATTGAAGTCCCCAACACTTGGAGGGTCTGATAAAGTTTTAATAACAAAACCTCATAAAATGCTTGCAAGAAACACTTTGTCATGCAGGAAAGGTAGTGAAGAAAAGAATTATAAGTACAGCATGTCTTCAGCAACATTTGAAACTACCTCTGACACTGCATGTAGTGCAGAAAAATCTGACCTGGAAAATAAAGTTCAGAAAGGCAAAAAAAGGAAACACAGTACAATGGATAATGTTACAGTTGAGAACTCAAATTACAAATCTGGTAATCAGTAATTCAGAGGTTATTGATGTATTTGAAAAAGAGCCAGTTAACACTGAAAATTTAGCAGTTGGAATGTGTTCTTTGCAGTCTGCAAACGGTGAGAGTCAGTTTCAAAATAACATCTCCAGTGGTACAGCATTAAGTTAAGAAACTTCAGTGAAAAAACAGAAATTGTTGTCTCTGCAGCAGTTTAATTCATCAGAATTGCTGGAGTTGGATGCAGCTGCAGTCACAGAAGAAGCCAATTTTCTATCTCTGCAGTATCCATAAGTTACAGAAAAGGAAACTGGGGAACAAAAACCAAGGAAGGCATATCTTTCTGCAGGTGAAACCAGTGACTTGAAGTTGACACCTTGTGTACCCTCCACCTCAACCTCAGAGACAAGGAGACATAGATAGGTTCATAAGAAGTTTGGTTTTGCTTCTAATTAAAAACAAACTGTGAGGAAAGTGTGTAACCGCACCATGCAGGGACCTCAGGAATGTTTTTCATTTATATTATTAATTACAATGCACTACATGGGAACGAAATGTACTACTGTTAACAATAGATGATACAGAATTGACCCCAGCACCAGCAGACGCCAAGGACAACATCTGGTCTTTCTGAGGGACAAGCAAGCTGCAGGTCACTTGAAAACCCAGAACGGAGCAGGAAGTATCCCGCTGTGTTTTCTGGGGATTTCAATGCTTAACTTCGACGGTTCGAGTCTTTGAAAATTTGAGACTTGACAGAAACGAGTCGCAATAATTTTCGAAGGGGCGCACCGAGCGATTGTTAGCGTACCTCCATTTATTTAAGAGCTGTCAGAGGGACCGTGTTGTACTTAGGCCCAAATTAACATGGATCTGGTTAGGGATTGGCTGAATGCAAATGAAAGAAACACCCAAATTTGAGGTTCAGCCAATCAGCAAAATTTCAGAGGAGAGGAATCCAGGCGTTCCCGGAACCGTCGGGACGTCTGCCTCTCCAGAGCAGTCAGTTATTACAAGTTATTACAAGTCATCAGAAGGAAATAGCGTGAGTGATTAGCCAAAGGGAATAACCGGAGTCAGTAGTAACCTCCCGGACGTTAAATCGGTGTTGGCCCTAGTCCAGTGTACAATTCAAAGTGCTACAGCCGGGTAATAGGTAATTGTAGTGAACATCTACAATAAACGCAACAGTGTTGGTGAAGGGTGTGTTTTTCAGTGTTTTCTCTCTCCCTGTGTGAGCAAGGCCCATTAGTCGCCCTGAGACAGAATCTTGTCCTGCCGTCTGAGCAGTCGGAACCCCAAACGTCCCCCCCATCCAAATCCCCACCTTTGTTTTCCCCATTCAAAACTCGTGGATGTCATCCAAGTCCACTGGCGCCCACACAAATCCAAATTCAGAATAATCCCACTCCTTACCCTAAACCAGAAAGCAACAGGAAGCGGCGGATACAAGTGCAGACCACAAAGGGGCGGACGTGAAGGACGGTAATAAGTGACGACCAACTCGAGAGGCTTGAAGTCTCACTGAGCGGTAACAACGACAGAAGAAGAAGAAGAAGAGGAGGGCGGCAAAAAGTGCTGTGTACCTCAAGCAGATGTTCATATGAATTCATCAGAACTCCTGAACAGGAAGATAAACCACAGAAAATTTTAGAGAAGAAACTTCTGTCACTAGTTTGCAGCAGTCTACACAGACAATTTTAGTAAAATTTACTGGTATAAAATTTTATGAAAGCCAGTTCCATGGATCTTGAGATGTTACATACTTACAGACATGGCAGAGGTAACAGGTGATTTTTTTTCAATTTTGTTGATAATGTGCCAGAAGAAATAGAAGATAAAATCCAAGACAAGACTGGAAGAAGTGGATTCCTGTTGCCACATGTGATCACTCGCATATACTAGAAGACAGTTATTTAAATGAAATAAAATTGAGGTGGAGGTGGTGGCAGCTGTGGTGGACAAGTTGGGAGGCTTTGTTATAGAGGCTCATGTTTCTGAAAGAACCATTCACGTTATTACAAAAGGACCAAGGCGTACAGTAAACCTGTTGAAAGGAATTGCCAGTTAACTGAGTGATGTATTTTTCAGTGAATATTAAAGGTAGTATGAAAAAAATGGATAACAAAAATTTGACGCTATGTGACCCATGTTATGTTTCTGAGCATTGTCCATCGTCCTGTCTCCAGAGATAGGGACTAGCTGTATCATTGGGCCCAACTGAATAGGTTCCACCTGAAGGTGGAGAGAGCACCAAGTCTCCAAAATGTTGTGTTTTGTAATATAAACAGAACGGTGTTCTTTAGATAAAGATGGAACAATTGATAATGTCCAGAAACATAATATTTGTAGAAATGTATCATTGTTACAAACTTTTACGTCTTATTTACATGACAAATTTTGAGCATGCATTTAAGTTGGGGGGGGTACTTGTATATAAAATTTGTAGAGAGGTTGAATTGTGACTATACGTGCTATGAACTGATAAAAAGTGTATGAATTTATCATTAACTGTGTGTTGTATACCATATCTAGGTCTCTCCTTCCCTGCATATTGGTAAACTTTGCTATTCACATGAGAATGTTATCAGCTTCTCCATACCTGGAGAATTAGGGGTGTATTCATTGACATCTATTTTCTGAGCTTCAGGCAATCACTAGGATACCTTGAAAATAGACCATAGCCACTTCATATCCCTGTTCTTTCCAGTTTACAGTATGTAGGCATCCTCTCATCACATTCAGTGATAAATAGCCTCTGCAACTGATACAGTGTCAGCCAGTCAGACTATCTCTTTTGACCTGTCTGTATTGGTAAGTTCTTTCATTAGTTGTACAAAAGGAGCACAGCTGTCAGGGTCATCAGTGCTAGGGAACATTCTCTTCTTGTTTAAGGGGGAACAGCAGGTGTTTCGAAAATAATTTTGTTACCAGTCTGGTGTTTGAAGGAGTGCCTCTATGGTCTAGTAGTCAAAGTTCCTGGCTACAGATCCAGATTTCTCAGGTTAGATTCCAGGCGCTACCAGATTTTCTGAGGAGTAGTGGGTCTGGAACAGGGTCCACTCAGCCTTGTGAGGATAACTGAGGAGCTGTTTGAAGGCACCCTCTGTCCGCAAAAGTTGGCATTAACGTTGCTGACAAGTGGCGGTTGCTCGGTCGGTATAGTTCGCCTGTGGACTACAGACCACAGTATTTTTTTTTGTCGGGTGTTTACGTCTGGGACGTAATTCTATGTGGTCTTGCAGATGTGTTGTTTCTCTGAAACTGACGTGAACATCTGCCAGGCCACATGGTGTCACATCCCAGAAGGCAATAGTCTTGGTAGTCGCCACCTTGAGAATGTCATGTCTCACAATCCAGTGTATATTTTCAGGTGAAGATAGGAGACTTTGGCCTCATGCGAGCACTTCCACAGCAGGAGGACTGTTATGTTATGACAGAACATAAAAAAGTTCCATTCCCATGGTGTGCCCCTGAGAGCCTTAAGAGTCGACAGTTCAGCCATGCATCAGGTTAGTGCAGCATTACTGAACCTCTTTTGCTCGATATACTCATTGGTCTTGGAGTGAACTTTTATCTCACGCCGAGTATTATCTGCATTATGAACATGAGAAGGTACAAATTTTTTCATTTTAAACAGACCTTATGTATTCCATGCATGGAAAAGCTGCACAGCAGAAAACTATCAAGACTCTTTTTGTCAATGCATACCCCCTCATAAAGCTTCGTGTACTGCCTGGTGTACTGGCCCGCTCTTGTTCAGAACTGCTGCATTAATGGTGGGTTTTGTTGATCACAAACTTCCTTGCACTTATGAAACAGCATTAATGGTGGGTTTTGTTGATCACAAACTTCCTTGCACTTATGAAACAGTTGTCATTACATTGGACCAGTTTGTCCTGGTTCATATGTTCACAATCTATTTCTCTAACATCTGTTGTAATATTATATATATTATATATTATATTATATACCTATATTTAGCTGTTTGATATGCTCTCTGTCTCTGTAATTTTTAGTCAAAATTTTGTCGCAGGAATGTGTTGTACTGAGCTCTTGCCAAGCAACACTGGGCTGGGGGGGAATACACATACATACACGGACAACAAGGTGAACTCATAAACTTACTTTTATTTTTTCAAAATAATGGAAGTAGGCTAAATAATGCACATGTGCTGGTGTGTGTGCACATGTATAAATTACATTTAACCTAGTGACTGTGAGATCTATATATCTTTGTGGTTATTCTTTGGTTGTACATAGTCACAGATTAAAATATTCACTCATGGAGCTGAGCCCTTCTTGAGAATCTGCCAATTGTGCAGCCACTCAAGAACTTCCCAGCATTTTATGGAACCCGAAGGTTATTTACCATGTTCACAAGAGCCCTCCACTGGTCCCTATCCTGAACCAGATAAATCCAATCCATATCATTCCATCCTATCTCTCAAAGATCCATTTTAATATTGTCCACCCACCTATGCCTTGGTCTTTGTAGTTGTCTCTTTCCATCTGGCTTTCCCACCAATATCCTATATGCATTCCTCTTCTCCCCTATTCATGCTGAATGTCCTGCCCATCTCATCCTCCTTGACTTGATCATTCTAATTATACTTGGAGAAGAGTACAAGTTATGAACCTTTGCTTTAGAATATGCCATTAGGAAGGTCCAAGAAAACCAGGTGAGACTGAAATGAAATGGGGTACATCAGCTGTTGGTTTATGCTGATGATTTGAATCTGCTGGGTGATAATTATGGACTGGATTTTAATGCAAATGCATATTTCTTTCTTGCAACCAGAAAGTATGCTCGTTTGGATATATGTATGAATTACTTCATTTCTTAAATTTTGCACATGGTTTGATGGTGCATATAAATGCATATTTTGCCTGTTTTATGAATAAGCATCATATTTTCCAAGATCTCTATTTATACTGCATATTTCCTTTTTAAAATGTTTATCATATATATTTTTTAATTTTATGTTCAAATTTTCAGTCATGGTTGTGTGTATACATTTTTTCTTTTCTGTACTAGAATATGTTGCATATTTGACTCAACGTTTCATCATGATTTATGTATCTGATGGAATACCCAGGACGGGACTTCCCTGATCTCTCTACTCATAACTTGCCTCATCCACGTACCATCAAAGTGGCCGCAAAGAGATTAGTCGGAAGTGTTCACATGTAGCCGCTATCAATGTAATACTATTCAACCGATAAGAGACTTCACTTATTTTTTTCCGAAGTCTCCATGAAGTTCGTTACTCGTCTTCATTTTAAGTTGGGGGCCGTTCACATTACTGGTGACTAGTCTGTAGTTAAGTTGGTTTACCTTTCTGTAGTCATGCCAAAAGTGAAAGTAAGTCAGAAAACTAAATTTCAGCTGTATCAGAGGGAGTTTGAAGGAGGGATGATAAGTATGGATAACAAAATTCTTTATTGCCAAGCGTGTGATAAAGTACACAAAGAGAATATTAAAATTAAATCCACGAGAAGTGCTCCTGTTCAAAAATTGCTTAGTGAATTTTCTAATAATAGTTTTCACAGTTTTCCTTTGATTTATGTGAAGCCTTTTTAGTGGCAGATATTCTGCTGTGGAAACTAACCAATCCTACTCTAAGAAACTTCATAGAGAAGTATACACAGTGCAAAGTGCCGGATGAATCTACTGTGCGCAAAAATTACGTGAAGCAGTGTTATGATCTTACAATTGAAAACATTAGAGATAAGATGCAAGATAATTTTGTGTGGGTATCAATCGACGAAACACAAGATTGTGAGGGACAGTTTATTGCAAATTGTATAGTTGGATCCCTTAATAAGAATGAACAGTCTACCCCATATCTTCTTGCAGTAGAGTGAGCTCCACAGTTTCCGAATTTTTTATCAATTCCATGAATTTACTATGGCCGAATGGCATTCAGTATGTGCGTGTATTGCTCTTTGTGACTGATGCCACATGTTATATAATGAAAGCTGGTACTGCTCTTAAAGTTATATTTCCAAATATGACACATTTGACTTGCCTTGCCCATGGGTTGCACCGTGTTGCAGAAACAATTCGTGCAAATTTTCCACTTGTTGACAAGTTGGTGTCTTCTGTGAAGAAGGTATGTGTTAAAGTGCCATACAGGAAAGAAGCCTTTAAAGCAATAGCACTGAGCGTTCCACTTCTGCCAGAACCAATTTTAATGCGCTGGAGCACGTGGCTGTGTGCAGCGAGTTATTATACCGAACATTTAGAAACAGTTAGGAATGTCATGAATACAGTTGATTCCAAAAGTGCAGCATCAATTCAAATTGCCCAAGATGTGCTAAAAAACGCAGACCTAGAAACTAATCTTTCCTATATATCTGCTCACTTCTCTCATCTTCCATCCGCCATTTCCTCACTGGAGGCAAGCAATAGCAACACTATTTTGTATCAGTCGTTAAGTGTGTTCAAACCCACTGTTTCCAAATTGAATTCGGTTCCTGGTAGAGTTGTTGAAGTAGTAAAGGAAAAAGTACACAGCAGTCTTTAAAAAATCCAGGATATGAACAAATTTGTGAAATTGAAGAAATTTTAGCCGGTAAATGTACTGAACTACCAAGTAAAAAATCACTAAGAATGTAGCAAATAGTGGGTTTTGTACATGTGCCCCTAAGTTCCTGTGAGGTGGAGAGAAGTTTTTCCAGCTATAAGGACATCATACGAGACAATAGTAGGCAACTAACTATGGAAAACCTAAAACATTTAGTAATTTTGAACTGCAACAGAAGAGAAGTTGAAAGTTTGGAGAGCTAAATGTGAGTACCATTGGTTTTTTAAATTTGTAATGAAATATGTTGGCTTTGTTGCATGATTTGTATTTAAATACAGCTTTTTATTGCAAGTGAATCATTTAGTGATTGCATAAAATGAACTTAAATATTGATTTGTTGGTCTTAAAATAATGTAAAATCAATTTTAGTATTTGGTATAAATTTTTATGTGCATATTTTAATGCATATTTCAGAAGTTTTCATGCATAAATGCATACATATTTAAGGGATTATTAGGGCATAAAAATCCGGTCCCTAGTGATAATATAGATACCAAAGAGAGAAACACAACAACTAGTAAGGAGGTTGGTCTAGAAGTAAACATGGAGAAAACTAACTATATGTTGCTGTCTCATCAGCAGAATGTAGGGTAAAATCATGACATGAAGATAGCTAACAGATGCTATCAAAATGTGGCACAGTTCAGATATTTGGGAACCACTATAACAAACGAAAACCTGATTCAGGAGGAAACTAAGAAGAGATTGAATTCGGGTAATGCTTGATACCATTCAATCCAGGACCTTGTGCCTTCTCATCTCCTGTCTAAAAACAAAGATCAGAATACACAGAACTATAATTCTGCCTGTGGTTCTGTATGGGTGTGAAACTTGCTCTCTGACATTAAGGGAGGAACATACACTGAGGGTTTTTAAGAATAGGGTGTTGAGGACAGTATTTGGACTGAAGAGATGAAGTGACAGGAGGTTGGAGGAAACTGTGTAATGAGGAGCTTCATAACTTCTCCATGTATAATTAGAGTGATCAAGTCAAGGAGGATGAGATGGGAAGGGCATGTAACATGAATGAGGGAGAGGAAGAATGTGTATAGGATATTGACGGGAAAGCCGGAAGGAAGGAGACCACTGGGAAGACCAAGACTTAGGCGGATGGACATTATTAATATGGATCTTAGAGAGATAGGATGGGGTGGTGTGGATTGGATAGGTCTGGCTCAGGATAGGAACAAGGGGAAGGCTCTTGTGACCATGGTAATGAACCTTCAGGATCCATAGAATGCTGGGAAGTTTTTGAGTAACTGCACAATTGACAGATTCTCAAGAAGGGCTCCGCTCCATGAGTGAGTGATGAGTGATAGCAGTGATATTCCCTGATAATTACTACAGTCAGTTTTATCGCTCTTCTTGTGAACTGGTACAATAATAGACTCCTTCTGCTGATCAGACAATTTTTCCTTATTCCACATAGAATCTAATAGCTTATGGACCTTAGAACATAATATTTCACCTCCTGCTTGAATCAGTTATGCCAGAATTTCATCACTACTTGGCGATTTATACCTTTCCAATTTTGCAATAGCAATTTCAACCTCAGGTATTAATGGCTCAGCTGTATGGATTTCCATCTGCCTAACATCGCTGACCCTATGTACATCCAATAACTGGGAGAAGTAGTTCCTCCACCTATTCAAAATGTTGTGGGAATCTGCAAGCAGATCACCATTCTCATCCTTCACTAAGTTACTTCTAGGTTGGTAACCCCTCTTCAGTTTATTTATTCCTCTATACAAGTCTCTAATGTTCTTGTTCTTACTGTTCATTGCAAGCTCATCAATTTTGTGTTTCAGATATTCTCTCTTTCTCTTCCTGAAATGCCTGCTGGTCTCATGGCTTCTATTGTTCAGTTTATCTCCATTTATTTTGCTTGGATCCTGTAGTCACTGCAATTTGGATTGTTTTCTTTGGTCTAATAATTTTGAGCATCCTTCATCAAACCATAGCTTATTCTTCTTCAGTTAATAATAACCTAGACTCTCGTTGGCAGAAATTTTTATATTCTCTAATAGTTTCCCAAGCTCTATTAACATTCACCTCAGTGTCTGAATTTTCCAAAGCCGCAAACCTATTTGATATTTTAACACGATACTGCTCTTTACCCTCTACCTCATTTAATTTCTTGAGATTGAACCTCTCCATATGAACTCTGTGCATTGCTTGTTTACTCACTGCCAGTCTTTCCCTAGCCTTTGCCACCACCAGGTATTGGTCTGTATCACAATTTGCTGCCCTGAATGATTGGACGTCAAGTATACTTGAATGTCATCTCCTGTCTATCAAAATATGGTTATTTGATCATGTTTCTTCATATCAAGAATCGTTCATGTAAATTTATGTATGTTATGATGTAGGAACATTGTACTTTTGACAGTAAGATTTTTTGGTGTGGCAGAGTTTACTACTCTAATTCCATTATCATTACTAATTTCTTGCAAACTCTCATTCCCAATTGTTGGTTTGAAAATGTCTCCCCTCCCTACTTTGGCATTGAAATCTCCTAACAAAATTTTCATATGGTACTTCAGGAATTTATCAAATACAAGTTCTGGTTCTTCGTAGAACCTGTCCTTTATGTCATCAATTTTATCTTCCCATTGGGGCATGAACATTCAAGATGATATCACACCAGCGAACCCTTAGTGTTATGTATGATAACCTATCACCCTCTTAATTGTGATATGATTCTCTAATGTACGAAAAAACCTGTACCTAATTCATGATTGTCATTCCCCTTTCCATAGAAAAATGTATATTTGCCAGCTGGTTCAGTGCCACCTATGTCCCATCCGGCCTCCTGTACTCCCACTAAATCTAACTTATATTTTGAGATTTCTTCTGCCACTGCCCTGAGCAAACCTGCCCTATACATACTTCTAACATTCCAAGTACCAAATCTCATATCCATTTTCTTTCGCTTAGGTCGTTTATCCACAGAATCCTCCCAGGTCTGAGTCTTCTTGAACATTTTTGTAACAAATTTATTTTTTATGGTGAGGAGCTGTTAGCCCTACGCCCAACCGCCAAGGTTGGCTGTCTACAACTGCTTATTCAATATATTTGAAGCTTCCATCCATACTTGGAGGCTGTCTCCTCCATCCGCAACTTGAGGACGTGCCATGCTGTTGTGACAAGGGACCCACCTAACATGGAGAGATTAAAGTAGTGTGTACTAAAATAAAATAAAATAAAAAAGTATAAAGATAGAAGTATATGAGAAAGGTTGTGTTTTGTTGTAGTAGTGATGATAGAAAATCTTAGTTCTGTTGATTTTGAAGCTTGGAGCTTTTTGTTCTTAGCTTTGGGAAATTTTGCTTAACTCATATGTGAATTGTGCTATAGATTTCTTTCTGGCATGATTCTTATGCGGGTGTTATGGCGTGATTCTTATTATGTGTAAGGTGTGCTTTTCTGTTACCTGTGTAGCTATTCTTGTGGCCATTGTTGTGATTTATGTTATTTTGAATGTTGTGCAGTGTTTTTTTCTTTCTTGACGTTATATATTGTAGTTGTGTGACGTGACAACACATTAGATCTCATACTTGTGCCTGTTGATGGAGGCAGAGTCATCTTCTGAAACTTCACATTATTAATGAATAATGTGACGATGACAAATATCCACCTTATATTCGGTTGAAAGTTTTTGATGTTCGCTTATATGGGGCTTATGCATGCACCTGCTTGTCTGGGTACTGTTAAGAAGACAAAAATATCTCACCTGTGCTGGGAATGAAACCGGGATTCCTCCATTGTCCAACCTGTAGCCTAGTCTCTATTCTGACTCTGCTGTCCCAATTCCATTTCTTATGTATATGTATAGTAATCGCTAAAGGAGTACATAGTTTTCGTAAAGTGTAGTGCTGTCATTTTTAAACCTGATCTGTGGGTAATTGTAGTTAAGAAATTAATGTTTTCAGATACATGGATGTTTGGTGTCACACTGTGGGAGATGTTTACATTTGGAGAAGAGCCATGGATAGGATTAAATGGGACACAAATCTTGCATAAGATAGACCGAGAAGGAGAGCGATTACATGAGCCTGAAGCATGCCCTCCTGATCTGTATCAGCGTATGTTGCAGGTAATGAAAGGGACAGTACAAAACCTTTATATCTGGATTGTGATACCATGCAGTATTGTAGACACTGATACTGCTATTGATGTTTTGGAGGAACATACTCTCTCCATCTTCAAGGATGTAGTGCGTAGCATTTGGGATTGATTGGTGTATGTAGGCATGTTGTAAAGGAAGTTGGTCACTCATACCCATAAGAGAGAGGAGAGAGATGGAGCCTGATCCAGACCAATGGGAGTGATGAACAGGAAAGGGGACCCTTTCCAAGGCAACAGAATGATTTTTCATCATAAGAGTGAAAGAGAATTGTTTGAAAAGATGGCCCTTTTCAGGGTTCCTGCAGATGGAAGTAGGAAGTGAGAAATTAAGATCTTTTTTACAGTACAGGGAAGGAGGAATGCCATCTCAGGATGAAGATACAAGGGAGAGTTGGTAAATAGGTCACAAATGGATATAAAACATAAAACACATGAAGTGCGAATTAGTGAGGTTTCACTGTATATCAACTTTCTCTTGCAGTGTTGGGCCAAAGTTCCCACAGATCGACCCACGTTTCAAGCCCTGAGGGACTTCTTCTCTGAAACACTGCCTCCTGTCATGAAGGCAACCCGGAAATTTGATGAGGCAGACAAGCTGCTTATTGAACCAGGAGACACCATTGTTGTTATTGATGGCAGGTACTTGACCCACAGACACGTTTATAAATGTAGTTTACTGTCTGCTTTTCATTTCCCTCTTCTGCCTCTTCTCTTCTTTCTTCTAATGCGTCTGTCCCTTATATTCTTGTTGTAGGTCATCTTGGTGAATACATCATCCCTTGATCCTTGTCTACCTAAAATCACTCCTCTTTAATTTCCTCTCTCTGCTTTTGGTGTCAAAACTTCACGTCCATCCGTCTGTTTTCTTGGTGTTCTTTGTGTTAGTCGTCTTCAGATTATTATCAGTTTCACTAATACTTCACACATTTTAAAATTCTGTTCTCATTACATTACCAATTTACTGGAACTTCTTTTTGTAGTTTTACAGGATGTCATTTAATTATTCATCCAGGGAAGAAAGTTTATTGCAGACAAAATTCTGATATGGTTGGTTAAGAACCCAAAATCTCGATGGAAGCAGGGCGTTTTGTTCAGTGCAGTTGGCAGTAGTGCATGGACAAACATGGCAGAAACATATGGTTAAGTGTGTGATTTTGTTTGTGAAACATAATAGTGTCATGAATGTGCAATTCTGGTTCAAGAGGCTGTTCAACACAAGAAGAGATTCAGTATAGCTGAGCTTTCTGTGTACTGCAGACCAGAAGTGTTAGGCCTGTCAGTGCTGTTCAGGAAGCATTTGAATAAAGTAAGAAATTGTTGTGAATGTTATCATAGGCGGTTCAAGTTCATGCAGGTGATGTCAGCATTTAGTGCAGAGAACACGAAAAATGTTTGTTTTATTGTTTGCAGTGCCTATTTGCGTAAGGCAATGTTGCAGTTTGCTTCAGAATCCTATATTTTGCCTTCTTTTGGATCATCATTGCTCTATGTCTGGCACTAAACAAAGCTTCTTGTTTCCATCTATGTTTGAATTTGTCCTTGCTTTTTTGCATCTTGAAGAAGTTTGCACTTTTCTTTTGGGAAGCGTTGCCAGATTTGGTCCTCATTTTGCACTAACCAGGGGACGCGTATGACTTAGAGAATGTCACAGATGCAAGCAACTTTGTCCCCGAAGTCCACCAAAGTATTTCTTTATATTTCTCACTTAATACCTTCTAGATAACTTATGTCATTGTTGATCCACATTAAAATTTGTGCTTCATTTAATAACATTATTTGTTCTCTTCAGTTGTATTGCCCAATTACTTATTGTGACATATAGAACCTTTGCTAGGCAATGGGTCAATAGACATGCTTAAAACAATTGGAAAAAAGAAGACTGTGTTTTCTTTGGGGTCCACCCTGAGGCATTATAACAGGAAGTTCTAAGGGAGCAGTTAATTATCAGAAACTGAGAGAGATAGTTGAAGAAGAGTTCATTTGAGTCAGTTGTAGTCAAGAATTATGTCGAGTTCTGGAGATGGCAGTCGAAGGTAATTGGAAAAAAAAAAAGGCAAGAAAGGAATCAGGCAGTGCAACGAGGACTTCACGTGTGCTGCAGTTAAAGTGAGACTGATAAATCCTTTGCCAGGATATGACTAGTGAAGACTGAGAATCCTATGGTGTGTGTAACGGTGAACTGTAAAGTGTGTAGATCAGCAGTAGTGGTGTAATTGCCTGTAATTCCAAGTACTGTGTATTAAGGTGTCAATAAATCCAATCATCCAACCCAAAATCAATCTTATAAGTCACGCACATCCCACACCCCCCTACTCGTGACAAAATTACATCCTTTTCTAGCTAACAAAAATTGTATATCTGCTTATTACCATTGAATATCCTTAGCGGACGTAATTAAAATGTTGTTGGCAACATGCCAAGTTGCAGTTTCAAATTCCAGATCATTTTGCCTCAAGTGATAATGCTTCCTACTTGTATACAGGAGGTACATAGTTTGAACACTGGCTGGGACACCAGCTGTACTAAGTGAGAGATTTCATGGATTTCCTCAGTTTCTCAAGGTAAATGATGGGATAGTACTTCAGATTAAGCTATAACTGCTTCTTCTCATCTTTTCTATTTCATTATTCACTAATCATCCTACCATTTGACATTACAGTCTGAGCTACTGACAGCATTGTTAATAAATTGTAAATAAATAATGTCACATGCATGAGTTACTATAAACGGGGTTTGGATTGTTGACTTGATTTATTGATTTTAACGCTGTAACTACAACAGTGTAACTGACTTACACACTCTGAATATCACTACAACTACAGCACACATGAAGTCATTTCTGTCTTCAATAGTCGTTTCCTGGTAACGGCTTCTAACAGTGGAGATTCTTCAGCTTCTGGGCTGACTGCACCGACTAAGTCTTCTCATCATAGACTCCCTTACAGCTCTCTCTGTGCTTCAACTGACTAACTCCCAGGCTGGCGTCCATTTCATGCCAACTTCCTGGTCTTCCTTATACAGACTGACTTTCCACTGACAGCTGAGCTCCTAAAGTCAAAGTCAGAATCACTTTAGGACCGTTCGTTTACTGCCAGTTAGTTCGTCTTGGTGTCAAGCCCCTTGAGACTCATGACTAGAAATTTTTTCAACTGAACCATGTGTTCATAGTCCTTTATGTAACATCCTCTCTGACAAGATGGGATTGTCTCTTATGAGTAGAAAACACCATTTGCAACAGTTCCTCTGTTGCGTTTTAAGACTCTGCTGCATAGTAGTGGCTGTTGTCTTGTTTGTTTCATGGTTAATGCCTAGGAATGGGTCTATACTCTGCAATAAGTAAACAGTGTCAAATTTTACATACCACTTAATTGTTAAAAAAAAGACAACCATCAAGTGTAACAAATTTCTAGTGAAATGTTGTGTCAGTACCATTACAAAAAATGATAGTGAAAGATTTGTCATGGAACTTGCATTACAGAGCAGAACTTTATTGGTGGAAAGGGCAGAATCAGCGCACGTTTCTCATTGGTCAGTTCCCAAGGTGTTTGGTGGATCCAATGAGAAGGAAAGTTGTAGAAGACATTAGCAAACCTCTTCAGAACTCTTTTATCCATACAGGTAATGAATTAGCAATGTTAATAATAATTAAATTTAAAAATGATTCATTGTCACATGGGTATTTGATACCATGATTATTGGGGAGCCTAAAGGAAAGATGTGAGGGATGTAGTTGGTCCAGCCTTGTAAGTGATTGAAGTGGTACGTTTTAGGGTCATACAAATCCCTGCTGCATGTGAATACCTGCAATATAAAGCATCAGTCTCTCTGGCAGGTTGTACGATTGACACATGATAGAAGGCACAGATGAGCCTTGCAGGGTCCAAATTCCTCCGCAACTGGGGGGGGGGGCATTCATTGTATTTTTGCCAATAGGCATAAGATTCAGTATGGGTCTTTAAAATGTTCTTGTTGGCAAAGAATGAATACAGAGTTAGTAAAGAAAAGGGACGTACTTTATAACAAAAAATAAGCTGTCAACATATGAACATTTAAATAAGAACATAGATTTTCTTCACTTTCCTTAATTATAGGCTTGGGAGGGGAACAAATTTTATATGACCCTGGCCCTGCCTGTTCAGAGAGTCTTGAACATCCGCTAACTACAGGTGTCGACAGTGTGAGAGCCTGTTCTTTCCCCTAAACATCAGAATATTATGCATGATTTCATATGTTGACAAACGTGGCCTACTAAGTGATTAACTTTGAGTTGGTCACTTTGGCTCTGGCAGTTCTAGTGCAAGTACGATGAACTGATCTAATCAATGCATGGTGTGCTGAGGGCTGAATACAAGAAAATTGCACAAATATATGCGCCTTTCATAGAAAATTAATTATGTTAATATTTTCTCCTACTAGGTCATGGAGCTGTGTGTGGAAAATCCTGGGGTAACCCTTCTTTTATAGACGAAGTTTATTTGCGAAATCCTATGGAACCTCCTGATGTATTAGGTATGGCACAAGACCCAGGCCCAGCTCCTAAACTGCCTGACAGGAAAAAGAGTGAGTTACTTTATATCTGTGTTTATAGTATTTATTGTCATTTTTGTATAAAATACTGAATTTATCAAAACCCAAAATAGAAGTCTGAATTCAGAGACTTAGAAATGACAGCTGGAATACAAATTCAAATATTTTCTTCTGTTTATATTACAGTTGGATGAAATGTAAAGATGCAGGTACAGAGTAGAATTTCTCATCTTGATTTCAGAAGCTTTAGCCGTTTCGACATAATCACAGAGGATCTAAACTTACCACTGATATTACATGTAACTAATTTGGGATTTTGCTTATGGTTACTTCACCCACCGGACATAGCTTCAGGAAGGACAGTAACTCCATAGTTATTTGTTCTTTGTTATCTCTTACCACCATTTTAAAATTTGTACTTTTAATTGTATATTCTGATGTTGCTATGAAGGTTTCACTTTTCACACGCACCAACTTATTTTGTATTTATAATTGTGTTATATGATGTTTATTTACTCGTTTGACAGTCTTTCTATCTTGACCTCTGAAATGTATTTTGCATGTTTACATGTGCATATGCTTAATTGAATATTTCTCTGAAATCCTCTCACGTGGTCAGCAGCCTCAAAGCTGAGCTAAAGTCAAATGTTTTGGAGAACTTCTCTCACTCCATCATCAATGTACCTTGGTGACAGAGACAGAACAGGTCTCTGAAACATCAGTTTTTAACTCAGCTTTGATACAACTGATCACTCGAAAAGATTTCAGTGCATTAATTTACTGTGAAAGCTTCAAATTGTATATAATCAAATATTTACAATGAGATTTCCAAATCTAATGCACATAACATTATATCATTATAGAAATTTCGCAAGAGGCCAGAGGACGAAGCAACCAGAAACAGTTTAATTATTCAAAGCTGACGGATGAATCGTCTCAGAATTTTGGTGATGGACGTAAAGTGACATGTACTGAAACATTAACAGCTGTCACAAATGAGACCAAGAGCAAAACAAGCTTAACCGAAGGAGTGTTGATAGATTTCGTTGCTCCTGTGGAGATTAAGTCGTCAGCGCTTTCCATTTCCACTTCAGAAAATACATACAGAAATTCTATTATGGATGAGCCGATAGATGTTATAGAAGAAGGTGAGTCAATTTTATGTCTTTACTTCTTTCAAATCTGTTGGTTTATAAGATGTGTCACCTGCAGTTGTTATGTATCTAATGACATGTACACAGTATCATATTTAGTGATATAATTTTTGCACCATCTGTAGTCTAGTGGTCAGAGTGCCTGCCTACAGATCCAGAGGTCCCTGGTTCGATTCCCGGCGCTACCAGAGTTTCTGAGAAGTAGTGGGTCTGGAACGGGGTCCACTCAGCTTCATGGGGATAACTGAGGAGCTATTTCAAGGAAATAGCGACTTCGGTCTAGAAAACCGAGATTAACGGCAGTGGGGATCCATTGCACTGACCACGTGACACCCTCTATCCGCAAAAGTTGCCACTAACTTTGCCTACAAGCGGCGGTCGCTCGGTCAGTGTAGTTCGCTTGCGAATTACAGGCTACGGAGTTTTTTTTTTTTTTACTTTTAGACAAAAAAATACATTTTGTATATTATCACCAACTTTAAATTTTTGGTTAACTATGTATAAGATGTTAATAATTGAATTTGTGCAATAATATACTGTATTTACCTCTTCCTCCTCCTCTGTTTTCTATTCTTCATTAACTATTCCTCCTACACCTCCTCTTCCTCCCACTTTATTTTCATTTCCTCTTGCCCCTGTTATTCCTTTTTCATTTCCTTTTGTATCTGCTGTACTTCCTCCACATCTTTTCATTTTCTTCCTTCCCATTCTCTCTTTCTCCTCTTTTCTCTTCAATGTTATGGTATGGTTTTTTGGGTCTGAAAGGGTTGAAGTGCATACCGTGTGATTTAAACCATCTGCATGTATTGAAACAGAGTTCTGGGGCGATGGACAAGTAAGCAGCCGCACATATGAGAACTGTTCGTATGATGCTGCTGCTGGCAGCTACCCCAGCAACATGGATTTAGATCAAATTTCTGTTAATACAAGATCTGAGTCACCAGATCCATTCGATACCTCACGTGTGTACGGTAAGTAAGGCATTACAGGCTACGGAGTTCATGATAGGGTAAGTTAGGCATGATAGGGTAAGTAAGGCATGCTATGGTAAGTAAGGCATACTGTGGTAAGTAAGACCTGCTTCCTAATAAAGAAAGAATGCACACTAGCAAACTCTTATTCAGTATAGCTGTGCCTGGCCACGTCTTGCTGTGGCTCAGTCTGCCCGTTCTTCCCCAGTTTCATTTGAAATTACTCGACGCATTGCTTCCGCTCTGCGAGTACGACGACCTAAGCCTATTCTTAGAAAACGAAAAGAAAAACAATGAAAAATAAACTACACTTACGAAATAACTTCCACGCATGTCTCGGATTCATTGAATAAGCTATTGAATGCTCACTTTTACACCAGCGAGTACAATTATTATCACGTCCAGTATCACCGAAAAATTCTTTGGAGCTGGACTATTATAACCTGGTTTTGGACGCAATAGAGGACACTTTCGTCCAGGGTTCCATTTCACGTGTTCTGTGCTCTTTGCCGCAGAAATGCATTATTTCCGCAGTTTCAACAGTTTGTGGCCACGGTTATTCCAAGGCAACGATGTGCTGTTTCAGCAGTTCGTTGCTACGATTATTCCTAGGCAGCGAACAGTTTCAACAGTTCGTTGCCACGGTTATTCCAAGGCAACGATCCGCTGTTTCAACAGTTCATTGCCATGGTTATTCTTAGGCAACGATCTCTTGGTATTCGATGGATGACATATAACACGTTACAGTCTATTATATTGAATACAATTAATACTTTTACCTGTTACGGCTGTGACATCTATATAATAGGTGTATGAAAGCACACACGTGTTCGAATGCAACGTTGTGTCAAAATTTCAAAGCAATCTGTGAAGAATTTTCGGAGATCTTCCATAAGACACAAACCAACATTTACGTTTTTATTTATATAGATATCAGTGTGTTATGAAAGTAAAATATGACATAGTTATCATTCAAAGTGATTACTTGTGGGCTGAGCCAAAGCACAATGTTTCCACTGTGTGTGAACACTGAATTAATTGCTGCTTTTCATTTTTGGTCAGCTGTGATTACAGTGAAGGTACAGCAACTTTAGGCACTGAAGTGTTGAAGTGTATATACCTGTGATACAGGAAATGCTGTAAATGCTTGCCATTGGCTCACATTCCCAAATCATAAATAGATTCTGGCTGACATCATAGTTCTCTAGATGTACAGCACACTTCAGGCTGTATGCTTGATGTGAGTTCCTCGGTATGTGAATTTGTTAAGTAGGCTTCAAATATGTGCTCACACTGAGTAATGTTGGGAGAACAGAATGACCGTAAACCATGACATGTAAGTCTTTCACCAGACGCTGTCTTCAGGATTTGCATGGAATGTTTGGTGGTGTGTGTTTTTGCAAAATCCTATTGGAAATATCAATGTCTCAGAAATCTTGCCTGTAAAAAAATATCACCATGGGATCAAGTTTGTCATTCTGAACTGACTGAAGATACCATATATAAGAATGAAGTCTTCTCTGCTAGATCACTGCAAAGAGCACACAACTAACTGTTGTTTTACAAGGCTGCAGTTTCAGTAACTTTGTTGAGGCTCTCATTGTCCCTGTTGATACTTCTGTTTCTTGTGTAAGGCACGTGAGATACTTACAAGGCAAAATATTCAAGATAAACTCTGGTTCTGTTGAACTTCTCTTATGTTAATACCAGGCACTGACAATTTGGCTTCATGTCTTTAACATATTGGCAAGATTCTAAATAGTGCTTGTATGACGAACACGAACCATGGAAACATTCTTCTGAATTTCCTCTGACTCTTCCTAGTAGAGTTACAGGATTCATATAAACACACCAAATGCTTTAATGTAAAATTATCTGCTTCCTGTGCAAAGAAATTGGCATGAGTCACATATTACTAGACTTCCTGTTATCACTGTTGTTGACTCATCAGGGAAGGCAGAAGACAGTGCAGTGATCATGTGCGGCAGAAAGGCCATGTTTCAGCTCAGTTTGCATAGAATTAGCACTGTATGTTGTTCACCCAGTGCTTCCAGGTGTGGTCACTATTGCATTTTCTGGTGTTGTGTATCTCCCTCTCCCTCTCTCTGTCTATACAGTGGTGTAGAGTCCATTTCTGAGGTGGGTGAACCATGGGACAGATTTTATTACTTCCGGTGATTTGGTGTTAACGAGAATGACGGTCAGGAGGTGTGACATACAGCTTAATGTGGGCTTCTACCCATGGTAAGGTCCTGTGTTCCTAACATTCTCAGAGTTTGAATGTGTGAAAAGTAAAATCCACACAGGTTTAACTGGTGGTCAAACTTCGAACCTCTGAATGAGAGTCCAGAGGTCCACCAGGTCCCCTGCATAGCCACAATATGGTTGATTGGTTGGTTGGTTTCAAATGCTGCACTTTGACAATGAATTCATTTGTGCTTTTAAACTCAGCTGGTTGGCATATTTATAAGTCATTTTCTATCGGACACCACTTGGGCGAGTTATGTTGTCCAGTTCGTGTTTAAGTTGGGTTGCTTGTTTTCAAGTTGTTCCCAGTCTTGTCTGTCAGGAGCCTCTGCAGTTGTGCAATTCCTTGGGTCCAGTGGCAAGCATGTTACTACTAGACCAGCAAGGCAGACTACTTCATAGGCATAGTTAATTTATTGAAAGTGTTTGAATGTCTAAGTAACTAAAAATGACAGAATTGAAAAAGAATTATGTTTATGGAATCTGTATGAAGGACACATTCTGGGAATTGAGATGCAAGTCACCATCTAAGGATGTCTTGTTTATTTGCTAGTGTCGACTGCATATCACTAAAACTCCTTACATGTTTCGGTCATACAAGGCCATCATCAGGTGGATGTACACCATTAAAAGTAAACTTTACAAATCATGTATTTAAAACTAAAGGATTAAAATATCTGGATTATAAGTTTCCCATAAAGTTGGAACTGATGTTGTGTTACAGTACAGGGTCATCAAAAACAAATGCTTGGATTATTAAAAAAGCTATTACCCAAAAACTGTTAAACATATTGACATGATTCAAGCATTAAATTGCTAAGAAGTGACTGAAGTTTTTGTCTTACCTTAATATGTTTTGATATGAGCTCCATTTGTGGCTCACAGATATCGGGACAGAATTTGATCTTGTGCCAAGTCCGCTGAATCATAACTGCAGTTCATTGTGAAGGCTGTTGTGATCGTATCCCATAGGTGCCAGAGATCCTGAATCTTTTCACCATACATAATGTTCTTGATGTATCCCCACAAAAAAAAAAAAGTCTGTTGGGGCTAAGATCTGGGCTTCTGGGAGTCCGAGTGGGGCATGGGAAGTATGATGAGTGGCCTTGTGCACAAGTTGTATTAACTGGTCAACTGACAAAAGCATCTCAATGTTGCTCACTACCCACCATCAACTGAGCATATCCAAAACTTACTTTCTTTCACCGCATTTTAAAACTTTAAATAATTTCAATATTTTAACAGTTTCTGAAGATACAGGATGACTCTGGAGGAAAATGCTAACTTGGAATTTCAATATAATATGAAAATATCTACTTAAATAGTCAAATCAAATACATGATGATTGGACATTAATTTTTGTGGGGGAAATAAATGCATACAGAATTTTAGTGGACACATTTTGGAAAGAAACCATTCAGAAGACCAAGGAAAAGATTGGAGTGCAATATTAAAATGAAACTAAAAATCAATTGCGAGGATGTAAAGTGAATTGAACTGCTTCGGTACCGATTTAATGTTGGGCTTTGTTGCTGGTGTTGAAATGTCGAGTTCTTCAGAAGATTAATGCAAGATATAAAATGCAAGCAATGTCAGTGGCTCATGAATTTGGTGCATGTTTCAGGTCCTAACAGATACTACTCTCGTGTGATGCCTGAGGTGCTTGCACTGCCCTCTGTTTCTGGACCCAGTACAGATGCTGACACTGCTAATATTTCAGAACAAAAATCTATGCAGAACACATATCAGAACATAGATCACTACACAGAGATCTTGTCTGTAAAGGAGTCATCAGAGTCTCATCAGACTACTTGGCCAAGCGATGTTGGTATGGACAATATGCCTTTACATTCTCCACCTCCAGTCCCTGTTTGGCCTGACAGTAGTGTATTTCAGGATAATGTGAACTCTTCTGTTATTACAAGTGTGTCATCTAGTCAGCCAATGAAACAAGTTACAAGTGAAGAAAACATTAAGTCTCCAGTAAAGATGTTTGATGCAAAATTTATTGCAGAATTAGAGAAACATTTAGGGCAGAAAGAAGCTAGTGCAAACACAAATCCACCAAATGGCAATGTGAGGTCTTTGCCCACAAATGTGTGTTCCAATTTTCCTGCTGGAAAAGTTGCAACTCCAACAAATACAGGCTCTGCTTCAAGAAGTAAACAGAATGGGGCTCCTGGGACTTCAGTTATTCCAGCCCTGAAACCTCCACCTCAGTCAAATAAAGTATTGCAGAAGAATTCGTCTCTGACAACTTCTAGTAAGTGTTCTCTTAGCAATATTTTATTTTGTTACGCAGTGAGACATTGTTTCCATGATTTATTTAAACCGTCTTGCAGTGCAAACACTCATCTATCTCCTTCTCTCACTCGCACTACATGTTTCGGCATAATAATGCCATCTTCAGGTGCTTACTCATCCACGCCAAACTAGTTCATTGCATGCCTTGTCCTCACATTAAAATAACTAAAATATATATCTATCATATATATTGACAAATGTCGAACGTTAAAAATATTAAAGTTGTTCAGGATTCCGCATCGCTACGTCGCACCTCACTACGCCAGTCACGCCCATTCTCCTCTGTTGGAGCACTCCTTCACTATTGTGTGTGTGTTGTGCTTTTGTTGTGTCTTGCTCCTATGACTGCGTGTGTTATACTGTTGGGCCTGCTGGGTATGTGTGTGTGTTCTGTCTTCGTTTTGAGTGAGCGATGTGGAATCCTGAACAATTTTAATATTTTTAACATTCGACATTTGTCAATATATATGATAGATATATATTTTAGTTATTTTAATGTGAGGACAAGGCATGCAATGAACTAGTTTGGCGTGGATGAGTAAGCACCTGAAGGTGGCATTATTATGCCGAAACATGTAGTGCGAGTGAGAGGAGATAGATGAGTGTATGCACTGCAAGACGGTTTAAATAAATCATGGACTTAAATCAGTGCAACAGGACGCTAAAATATAACATGAGACATTGTTTCTCTGTGCCCATGACAGGGAGAATGGCTTTTTATTATTAAAGTTCATAGTTTATTGATCAAGGGCAAACATATATTTGTAATTTGTTCTCTTCCATTTTTCTTACATTGAGGTCTCTTGTGACACCATGCAGCTCTGCAGACGGGTACTTACATTTTCTGAATGTGGGTTTTGACAACACAACCGTGTGTATGCAAAGCACAAATTTTTTAGGTCGAAGCAAGAAAAAAAAAGCCTTGGTCTGAATATTCTTTTCAGCCTGTAATTCTGAAAATTTTCATACAACTGCTTGTGTCTTGCACAATAGCATGCAAATTGCATGCCTGTAATTGAGGGAGTAAACACAAAATTCCTTGGCTTGCAAATTGATAATCTTTTAAACTGGAAAAACCATATCAATCAGTTGATTACAAAATTAAGTAGAGCATGTTATGCAGTTAGATTCATGTTACATATTAGTAACATTGACACTCTCAAATCAATCTGTTTTGCTTATTTTCCCTCTAATGAAAAGTATGGAATAGTTTTCTGGGGTAATTCATCTGAGAGTAAAAAGGTATTTACATTGCAAAAGAAAATTGTTAGAATAATGATTGGTGTCAAATCCCGTAATTCCTGTAGAGATTTATTTAAGAGACTACAGATCTTAACTTTGCCTTGTGAATACATATTTATTCATTAATAAACTTTGTTACAAATAACGAAGAACATTTTCAGACAAATGCGGATGTACACAGTGTTAACACAAGACACAAACACTGTCTTCATAAACCAATTGCTAACCTGTCATGCTTTCAGAAAAGTGCATATTATGCTGGGATCAACATTTTTAATAACCTGCCATCTGATCTCAAAGGTCTTATGAATGAAAAGGCACGATTTAAAATAGCACTGAAACGATACTTAAATACACATTCATTCTATTCTGCTGATGAATACCTATTGTCTAGAAAATAACTTATGTATCTTTAAATAGCCTTGTGTATAGTCATTGTGTATTCTTGGTTTCTCTTGTGTGATAACTCCATTGGGACTGTACATATGTTTTGTATTTATATGACATATTCCATATCCTACAGTCATTTTGACTAACTTTGGGTCCATGGAGTGCAGTGTATTGTAATGTAATGTTACGTTAGCAGTACTAGCACAAATCAGCTTGTTAACAGAATCTATCTCACTCCTGTTTCTGCCTATGTAGAAAATAGACATTACAGTAGAATTGAATATTTATGAAAATTTCTCGTTGAAAAGAGATTTAGTATCCAATGGGGCAAGCACTCTACTGTACTTTAGTGTACTGTGGAAAGCGGCTAAGTTGTAAGTGTAGAATACAGTGCGAAACTTGGTCTAAAGGACAGAGTTATTGTTCTCATCTTGAATCTTGAAATGTTTCCAGATATTTATCTAAATTTCATCATATCAAAATTTAATAGACAGGTTCCCTGTGCCAGTGACCCCTGCTAGTTGTTCGACCAATTAGCAAAGCTGTTAGTGAAACAGTGACATTCGTTATAGTGCTCTTTAAGTTTTTGAGTGGATTGGATGGACTTGGCTCATGATTGGATCCAAAGGAGGACTCCATTGTTAGTGTTCTTAGGTACTAATGCTAAAGAAGTAGTTCCATGTTTCTGCTAAGATAAAACTGTAATTAAAATGTCTTTGAATTGTAAGGCATTAGAGAACTTGTATTAACCGTTTAAATGACAGTGGGTACTGTATGTTTCAGCTGCTTCAATGTTTAAAAATTATACATTTTCCCCACACAGGTATTTATGTATTTCAGATGTTTCTCAGAATAAGCAACAAATATTTGTTGAACTTTCATAAACTAGTTGGTTTTTATAGTGGGGATGCAGCATGTTTCCTGTAAGCTGGGAACTGAATTTTTAAATTACATTTAGAGGAAATTCGTGCTTTGGAGCGTTGACTTTTATCTCTACCAGTCCAACTGTTTGTAGGCATCAAGATGCTGCAGAATTCATGGGAATGGAAGACTGTGAACTTGAAGTCTGGAGATGGAGCAGCAAGTGGTCTACCAAAGACATCACATTCTCACCCACTACCTTCACAGAAGTTTGTAATGCTCCATACATATCTTTAGGCAATCTCACACAACCTTGTATCCAGTTATTACATATAGAAATTACATATAATATTGTAATACTTACAGCTGCATGGGGCAGGCAGTAGTGTAGTTGGTTGAAACACTATGCTACAAGCCAGAAAGTCACGGGTTTCTATTTCTGTCATTGGATATTTCAATTGACCTAAATCTTCCAACCATGCTATGGCCTTTGGCTTGACCCAGGCTCTAACAGAAATAAGTATTAGGAGTCTTCCTGGTCATAAAGGGTATTTGGTGTGTATGGCTGACAACCTCACTGCCATCTGTGAGCCATTTGTCTAGAAAATGTGGGAGCCATGACGTCTGAGTACCCCATGTGCCTCCATGGCCTGTTACAAGGATAGCTTTTTATTATAGCTGCATGGTTTCACCTTGAAAGACATCATCACATATCACTGACTCAGGTCATGTTGCATGAAGTGAAGTGCAAGATGTGAGCGCAAGAGCCCCAGAATGAATAACCTGACATGTTGACTGGCTCTGTAAGGGTGATTTGTATGAGTTTATATATTTTGTAATTTTTCTCAGAAGTTTTTAAATTTTAAATTCAAGTCCAATGATAAAACCTGCCAGTATACTCTCCAGGATTAATACAACTAACAGCAGTTTCATTAACCCTTCCGCACCGACATCGGTGTGCTTCACCGACCCTTTAAATAATCATATGCTACCGACATCTGTGCAGTGCACCGACCTGCGCAGTGTTAGCTTTGAAGGACGTTGCTGACAAAACGAGGAAAGATATTCCNTCTATCCTGGACAAAATATTTGTATTGATGAATCGCTTACACTATGGAAAGGGAGATTGGCATTCAAAATGTACTTGCCACTGAAAGCTTCAAAATTCGGCATAAAAACTTATGAACTCTGTGATTCCAAATCTGGGTATTTATGGTCATTTATTGTTTACACTGGCAGCGAAACCCAACTAAATTCTTCACTGATCAGAGAAAATACCAATAAAACAACATCTGTTGTTCTACATTTGGTCGAACCGCTCCTCCATAGAGGTCATACTCTATGGATGGATAATTATTACAATTCCCCCCAGTTAGCAAAATTATTAAAAAATCATGGCACTGACTGTGTTGGGACCCTTAGGTTGAACAGAAAGGGTGTCCCAACAACTGTAAAAAACACAAAGTTGAGAAAGGGCGAGATCATAGCTCAGCACGCAGGTCCTATAACTGTTCTCAAGTGGCAAGACAAAAAACCAGTTTCCGTGATCTCTACATTTCACAATGCCGACACACAGACAGATATAAAGAGAAACAAAGAAATAAAAAAACCAAAAATTATAATTGATTATAATGAAATGATGGGTGGCGTTGATTTGAAAGATCAGCTTTTACAGTACTACAACGTGGAAAGAAAAAGACTTCATAAGTGGTACATGAAACTCTTCAGACGCCTTTTGAATGCGACAGTGGTAAATGCCATGATAATTTATAACAAGAATCAGGAAAGACTGAGAGACCACTTAGCATTCAGAGTAAATCTGGTAGAAGGGTTGCTGTTGAAGTTTACGGACCAGGAGCAGGCAGCATGTAGAGTACAAGGTCGACGTCATTCATCAGATAACACCATCCCCCGGCTTCGTGAAAGACATTTTATTAATAAAATTCCCCCATCAAGAAAAAAGGCTAGACCACAAGNATAATTAATACCCCGTCGATTTGGCGGTAGGAAAAGATTTCAATACTATCCGTTGCGGAAGGGTTAAAATATATTTTCAGTATATACGTATTTATAACAATGATATAGGGATGAAGAGTGTGGTCTTATGGGTTGTAATGCATTGCCGCCATCTTCCGGGTTGAAGGGTAAGCCAAGCAAGCATCAAGCATTGAACAGGCAGAAAGCTTTTTGGCTTCTTGCATGGCTTACTCTTAATTCTGAAGATGGATGCAATACATCACTCTGTAACGTCAGTAAATTTGTAGCAGTCTACATGGCGTAGTATCCCATAAGATTATATCTTGTCATTTTTTTCTGTACATAAACTTGTAACGTTTTACACATGTCAGTGCCACTTCTGTCTAATTTTGTTAAAAATATAATGTTAAGCCTCTGTTTTAGCAGTTTATCACCTGTGGTGATAAACTGCAGGAATACAGCTGTTTGATGCAAATATGCTGAATCATGTATAAAGAAAAAGGTAAAGCTATCCCTCATGCAACAGGCCATGGAGGCCCATAGGGTTGTGAGATGTCAAGGCTCTCACATTTTTCTAGACAGTTGGCTCACAGATGACAGTGAGGTTGTCAGCCTTATGTGCTGGCATGCCTTTACCTCCAGGAAGATTCCTGGTACCCATTTCTGTTAGAGGCTGATTTGACCCCAGGACCATAGTTTGGCTGGAAGGATTAGGTCAATTGAAAAATCCATTGACCTTATCGGGAATTGAACCCGTGACCTTCTGGCTTGTAGCATAGTGCCTCAGCCAACTATGCACTCTGCGTGCCCCTGAAACTTATATCTATATATAGTGTTTAAGTGCATGATATGATTTAATGCAGAAAGAATCTCTCCCTCAGAAATGAAGATATTAAATGGCATTGATGGTAGGTACCGGTAGATGCTGAAGGGTTCTGATGGTGTATAACATTCAGAATTGCTGGGTTTTTGGACTTTATCCTTTGTCCAGATTTCTAAAAAAGTAGAAAACACAACATTTTGGAAACTGGATCCATTTCCATCCTCAGGTGAGGAGGGGAGACACCTGCTCTGTTGGATCCCATAGAAAGAGCTAACCTCAGTCCCCTTACCTGAGAATGGACACAGAACCAGTTTCTGAAACGTTGTATTGTCTAGCTTTTTAGAATACCGGATGATGGACAAAGTCTAAAAACCCAGTAATCCTGAGTGATAAGCATTGCTGTGATTCACTTCTCAGGACCAAGGAACTAACAGTATTTTTGTTTTTCACCAGTAGATGTAATTCTGTTCCTTCAGCATGTATTGAAATGTGTGCTCATGGTTGGTTCTGTTGGACACAGCTGTTCTCTTACAACCATCTGAAAACATTTTTGACTATTGGTGCACAGAAGCAATGGACTTTTACACTGTCAGTGGGGTAATACTTTGTTAATTCCTTGAAGCAGGGTGGTAACTATATATAGCACGTGGTTTAACATTAAAAAGTCTGTATTTTGCTTACCAAGTGTACTTATTTGTTTAACATGACTGCAAATAGCCATTAATTATTATCCTAATCATCATTAACCATGTGATGTTTGTAGTGTAGGTGCAGTATGTTTGCAGAGAGTTAGGAACTGAATTTTTAAATATTACTTATGAGAAACTGGTACTTCAGAGGTTTCAGCAATCTCTTCATACAGTATTTAACAAAACCATATTTTAATGTTATTGATGTTGGACACTTTTGTAGCTTTACATGAACTTCATCTTTTGAAATGTTAAGTTATGATGGTTATCATCCAGTAAGTTTGTGGCCAGAATCCTACTAATTGATAAATTGTGTGTAAATGCAGGGTTGTTAGAAATGATCTTACACTTCCAAAAATGTGTTACAGAAAACAATTGATAGACATACAGAAGTGAAACTTATATCATTAGTAAGAAAAGCTCTCAAAGCTTCCTTGAGAGTTGATGTGACTTCATCCGTGGCCATCAGGTATTGCACATGTCATTATGTCGGTACTTTCTGTTGCTGACTCGTCATTATGCTGATATGATGACATGCATAGACACCTGTTTGCCAATATTGGAGTTACGTCTGCTCATGAAAAAACTTACATAGTTTCACTTCTGTAAGCATATCACTTATCTGTAATACATTTTTTTTAGAGTGTAAAGGTTATTTGTAATAACCTTGCATTTGTTTTAAGTTGTTTATTTATTGACAGTGTTAGTATCAGGGCTGTGTAAGGCCGTGCCATAGCTCAAGCGGTTAGTCGCTGGCTTCCCACTGCTGTGGCCCGGGTTTGATCCCGGGTCTGGTCAGGTGGGATTTGTGATGGACAAAGTGGCAGTGGGGTGGGTTTTCTCCAAGTACTTCGGTTTCCCCTGCCAATCTTCCTTCCACTAAATTCTCCATCATCATAATCACCTGGGGCAGGCTGCAATAGGTCAATCAGTGGCTGCTGTGCCAAGTGGACCCAGCTGGACTCCACTCCCCACTAAGCGAATTTAAATTTTAAAAAATCAGGGCTGTGTAGCATTGGTGGTAGATGATTAATGATTATGAAATATTTGTAATGAAAATTGGCAACTGAAACTGAAAATACTCAGAGGAGACCTGCCCCATTCACACTTCATTCATCACAAATCCCACATCACATGACCTGGAATTGAACCTAGGTCACTGTGTTGGGAAGACTGACCAACTGCCTTTGCTGTGACATGGCCCATAATCTCACATTAAACTGTTCAACATGTTTCAGGGAACAGAATGGGACTGATAACTCCAGTGAGAGGTATGGAAATTTAAGTCTTGCTGATTGCGGCAACGTTCTGCAGAATGATTCCAACACCAGCAGTAATCTAACGGCGTTGCAACAGCCCCACTACGGTTCTGTTAGCAACTTGGCAACACAGCAGTCATCACAACTTTACAGCAACCAACAGCAGTTACGCTTTGTCACTAATGGAAATGCCAGCCAGTCTGTAAACACGTTAGTGCCTCACCAGCTGTCTCATTATGGTTCTGCCAGTAACATCACTACAGCACAGTATGGATCTCCAGTTCAGCAACAACACAATTATAGCAGTAATGCAGTGCAGCAGCACTTACATTATACGTCCACAAGAAACCTTAGTGCAACCACATCACAACAGTTCAGCTCAATCAGTAGTCCTGCCCTTATGCAACATGGGAAGAGCAATATCCATAATACATTCCCAGCTACTGGCTCAGCATTACTTCCCCAGAATGAAACAGAATTACTGGTTAAGGAAATAGCAATGTTAAACATTAATCAAGTATGGAATCAAAGAGCTTCAAAAGCTAAACCGGGTGAATCTCTCAATTATGAACCCACTGGCTCATCATCTCTGTCTCTAGTCCCACATTCCAGCAGTGCAAGTGGCAGTGTTACCTCTGTAATGTATCCATTGATTGAAAATAGTTTGATGTCTGTGTCTACCGGTTTGTCTGGTGTTGGTACAGTGTGTAGTAATAACCAGAGTGCAGCTGGCATTAGAAGTACAGTGATGCAAGAAACAAGGACTTCAGGATTGTCTACAGAGAAATACTTCCCTTCAAGTAGTGGTTCTGTTTGTTCTCCGTTTCAGCAGCATGGAGTCAGCCCAGGTAAGCAAGCAGCAGGCCTGTATGGTTCGGGATGGAAAAGCAGTTTGTGAGCCTGATACAAGTGTCACTCTCTTCACCAAGTAGGTTGGATCAGGTGGTAATAATTCTGTCTCGTATTTTGGAGGTGTGGGTGACTAGAATACCAGGGATTTTGTGGTTTTCCTTAGCCTCTCTAGGCAAATGCTGAGGTACTATCTTAAATTAGGCCATGGTTGTTTCTTTCCACAGACTTTCTAATTTATAATTCTCTGTAATTGATACTGTATAGCCTGTGTTACTTACAGCATTGTTAAATAAACTACAGACAAACAAATTTCATGCACTGAACAGCCGCGTGAAATTTGAGGTTCTCATGTCTGTCGAAATTTTGAACAATTGCATGAGATTTGAGGTTCTCACATTAAGGACCTTCTAGGATGCTTATGGTCTCCAAGGATGTTACTACATAGTACCTGAAGATGGAGGCAGTAGGTTCCTCCAAAACACTGTTACCTGTCTACCAAACTACAAGATGTCACATTCCAGAATATGGTAATCTTAAACATGTATCTTTTATGTGGTCATGATCTGGTAACATACAAATAACAGATCACTGATATGAAGTGAACAGATTTGTAATCATTGCATATTTTTTAACACTTTGCGGACTGGTGGCATATTTTTATGCCCAGCGCTTTTAAACGTGGCAGACCAGTGGCATATTATTATGATTTTAGGACACGTTGGATTATAACACACTATACCTTTCTCTGGTGCCACCCAAATGAAATGACTACTGCGTAATATTATTCCTGAATGTTTGATTAATAGGCAGTAACTTGATCTCGCTGTTTGGGCTCCCCCTCCAAAGGAAAATGACCTTTGACCCTTCAAGCTCTAATGTACCAGGCAGGAAGTTAGTAGTGCAATGAGTCAAGGACAGAAGCGGTTGAAAACTGAGCAATATATGAGTTGTTCTCCCACGACGAGCTATCTGACGTTCCTTCTGAGACGTGTAGTGATAGTGATTCGGACAGTGGCAGTGACAGGGGACAACAAACAATTATGGCCACAGACAATAAAAGTGAAAGTAGCTCCAGACAAAAGTGCAGGTAGTAAAATTGTGGGGACAGCCACATGGGGGAAAAGTAGACAAAACGCCTACTTTGGGACAGTTTGCTGGAAATCCAGGGGTGGAACAAATTCCATCAGACCCAACACAAGTGTCTGAAGTAGCAGAACTGTTTTTTGGATATAGGGATACTCATGTTGTGAATATGATTTCCACAGTTTACAATTTGAGCATGGTTGATGTTCAAAGGAGACATGGACTAGTAAAGAAGCCTATTTGTATTTCTGAGTGTAATATGTTCATGAAGGGAGTTGATAGAGCTGATCAGTACTTGGCCTATTATTCTCTTCCTAGGAAAATAATAAAGTGGACAAAGAAAAGTTGCCTTGTGGCTTATAAATTGTGCCATTTTCAATTCATTTTTGGTTTACAAAAATCTAAACCCTGATTTGAAATTGAAATACGAAGCATTTCTGATGAATGTGGCAAAGGCTTGGGCTACAGACCAGATGGTGGCGGCAGAACCAGAGTCAGGCACAGACTTAATGCGACCGGGTCCATCAACTCCCACCCCACACAGTCCTCATGTGGACACCCCTGGGTGACTCTTGGGTGATATGCGGAAACATACCCTTGTGAAAATTGTGAAGAGTGAACATTCTAAGGGGAAGCATCCTTCTAGGCAGTGCTGTGTTTGCACAGTTCACAAAAAAAGGAGTATGACTGTCTACATTGCAAGTTCTGTGTAATGCCACTTCACAAGGGGGAATGTTTCCAGAAATATCACACACTCAAGCACTTCTAGAAGCATTGGTGTTCTCCAGAAATATAGTTAATAAAATTAATTAGGAGATTTTATATTAATTTTTAAAGTGAACAGCGCACAAGTTAGGGTAGTAGGTTTAAAAATGCCGGTCCCCAGGGTGATTTAAATATTTAAATTTCTGGTCCGCAAAGTGTTAAGGTTCTTCAAGTCTGAATGAAATTAATAATGTTCATAATTGCAAGTTAATAACATGGAATGGCATGTATTGATCACTTGACATTATTTCATTGTAATTTAAAAAATGTAACGACCAGGTTGTGGTGTACAACTGTGTGGTAGGTTTGTTCCATGTTTTGTAACTTGAATTTTATATTGTCCTAATTTTGGTTGCTATCCATCATTTTGTGCAGTGTTTATGAATGAACTGCCTATGGACCACTACCAGTCTGGAAATTTCAGTTGTCATTTTACACATGTGCGCGCGCACACGCATGCACGCACACTCTCTCTCTCTCTCTCACACACACACTCACTCACTCACTCACTCACTCACTCACTCATTCTCTCTCTCTCTCCAGTTGTTTCTGATTTGTGATTAGTAGGGCTCAGCAAACACATTTGTCTCCTTATTTTTGACAAGTGAGAAATCAAGGCCAACAAGTTAAAAAAATATTTGAAGTTATTTGTTAAAATTGTTACCTGCTCTTTTTTTTATTGCTGTACATGTCAAACAGTAAATTATATATATATATTATATAAGGGACAGTGTTGTGATTTATATACCCATTGCTAGGCAACAGGTCGGTAAGCATGTTCCCACGAGACATACCCGCTTGACAATAGGAGGACATCCATTGCCAGATAACAGACCAGTGAACATGCATTCTTGACCACAGAAGATGGTGATTTCCATGGAGTCTGTGCTGAGGAGTTATAAGAGGGAACAGTCAGAAGATGAGACAGAGTATAACGGAGAACAGCAGTTGGAAGAGAATTGGCTCTCGTTCTCGAGAGGGCAGTCAAAGGTGATTGAGAAGAAATGGTAAGAAAAGAATTAGACTGTGTCAAGAAGACTTCATGTGTGAGTTGAAATGGCAGTGAGACTGTGATAAATCCATTGCCAGGATACGGCTAAAGAAGACTGAGAATCCTAGTGTGTGTGCAGTGGTGAACTGAAAAGTGTGTAGAATTGTGATAGTGCTGTCATTGCCTGTAGCTCCAAACTGTGTGAATGTGTAAGGTGCAATAAATCGAATCATGAATTCAAAACCTGTCTTATAAGTCACACTCCAATGCATGATGATATTTTAGGTGTCCTTTATATTATGTGATGGCTATATAAGCTGATATGGAGCAGATGCAGTGCTGTGGGGAGGCATAGTTTTTCTTTGGGAGATATATCTGGTAGAATTTTTATCTGACTGGTGAATTGAGCCGACATTTATTGACCAATGGTAATTAGACCTGATCATATGTGCTTTTAGTTGGTGCACTAGTTCTTGTACTGTATGTAATGAAAGACAGAAAACCCACTGCTCTTTTATCAATCCCTTGTATCAGAAAAGGTTGAGAACCACTGACATCTTTTATTCCAGTTTTGCTAAAAGAAAAATAAAGAATAAACCAAAAGGTAACACATGGTTAATGACAGGGATAAAGATCTCATGTATAAATAAAAGAAATCTGTATTTACAGTGTAGAATCAGTAATGATATTAACTTAAAAGAATAGTATAAACAATACTGCAAAATTTTAACTAAGGTCATAAATGCAGCTAAAAACTATATTATGATAGGACGATATTAAACTCTAAAAATAAAACAAAAACTACCTGGAATATAATTAAAACCGAAATAGAGAAAAAAGGTAATAAAGAAGACATACAGTAGTAGATCAATCTATTAGTGAGGGTAAGTCTGGAAAAGATACAAGGTCAAATGAATGAAAAGCGAATGTGACCGCGTGTAATTATACAGCCGTGTTCGTACACCTGAAGAAGACCTCTTAAGGTCGAAACATGTAGTGATAATGTGATAAAAAACGTGTTGTGTAGTTGGTAAATTTACTCTACTATTGATTAAACACACAACAGGATGCAAAAAAACGATTAAAAGATATACAGTACCTGGATATTAAGGGTAATACAATATCCAACCAACAAATTCTTGCAGACAAATTCAGTGATTATTTTTTAACAATCGATAATTATCGATTATTATATTATTATTATATTATATTATTATGATATTATAATATCATAGATAGTAGCAGAGTTAGTAAAACAGGTCATCCAATACATGACAATTATCTAAATTATATGTTACAAATATACAAGGGCCCAATCCCAAATATTAGATTTAGACATATGTCAACTTGTGAGATAGAAAAAATTATTAAATCCTTAAAACCAAACATTCATATGAATATGATGAGATACCAACTATAATATTGAAAGCAAGTGTCCCATTTATCAGCTGTCCTTTAATGTGTATTATTAACAAATCACTTTCCTCAGGTATCTTTCCAACTAGATTTAAATTCTCAGTAGTAAAACCAGTATTCAAAAGTGGTGATAAACACAGTATTTCTAATTATAGACCCATTTCTTTGCTACCCGCCTTCTCCAAAGTTTTCGAGAAGGTAATATACTCAAGGCTCTATCAACATTTAACCCAAAATAAGATACTTACAAGCGACCAATATGGTTTTAGGAATAACTCTTCAACTAATATGGCCTTCAAACTATTGAATGAAATTTTATTAGCCATGAATAATAAATTAATCATTGCTGGTATATTTTGTGACCTAGAGAAAGCATTCGACTGTATCAACCATGTATTACTTTTAAAAAAATTGGAACACTATGGGATAGTGCGAACACTTAAAGCATTAATTACATCATACCTAAACAGTAGATATCAGAAAGTGGTATTAGATAACAGAAAAACTCATAATAGTACCTCCTCCGAGTGGGAGATCATAAAGCATGATGTTCTGGAAGGCTCTATCCTTGGTCCATTATTTTTCCTCCTGTATGTAAATGAGCTTCCTAACATAATAACTAACAGTGCAAAAATCATCCAATATGCTGACAACACAAGCGTCATAATGTCTAATCCTAGCCTTCTGAATTTTGAAACTAATATGAATAAACAACTTTTAGACATAAATGAATGGTTTAAAGCCAATTTCTTATCTTTAAATTAAAAAAAAAACTCATTACCTTTTATTCAGGACAAAAAATAGTTTAGAAACCAATATCAGTATATGCTGTGGAAACAAGCATATTACTAACACATCAAATATTAAGTCTCTTGGTTTACACATTGACGAAACATATCATGGAAAAATCATATTGACCAATTAATAACTAAAATGAGTTCAGCTTGTTATGCTATTAGGACAGCAAAAGGTTTTAGGTCACAAGAAACCCTTAAGATGATTTATTTCTCTTATGTGCATTCTATTATGGAATACGGTATAATTTTCTGGGGTAATACCCCTAACAATATCAATGTCTTTAGGATACAAAAGCGGATAACTAGAGTTATTATGAATGCAAAAACTAGAGCTCCTGTAGGGATCTCTTTAAAAAAATTAAATGTATTGCCAATGTATTCACAATATATATATACTCGATAATACTGTTTGTTGTAAAAAATAAAGATCTGTACAAATCGAATCATGAGATTCATAGCTTCCATACTAGACATAGCACAAACTTACACTTTCCTACATCACATTTGACAGTTTTCCAAGAAGGACACTGCTACTCTGGTATCACAGCTTATAATCATCTTCCACCTCATATAGAAAGTCTGAGTAATGAAATTAAACAGTTCAAACTGATGCTAAAAAGGTTTCTTCTTTCCAATTCGTTTTATTCCTTGGATGAATATTTTAACTGTAAACTAAACACCTGGGTTATACTCCCTACTAAGTAAACTCTTTTATGATACTTATAATCTGCGCATATATATTCATCACATCTTAGTACTATCAGTACATTAGTTTTAACATTTTAAAGATACGACTGTCATACAATGTACACAAGTTGTTCCATGTGTGTCCTAGGTATTAAGTGTGCAGGCATCTATGGCCTGTTTGTTGTCTGGGTATTGTTTGTAAGTAATAAATGATGTAATGTCCTAATAAATAATCTGCTTTTAGATATTAGAACAATGTTTGAGATACTGTATTGTGGAGATGAATCATGAATGTATTTATATTCGTATCTTGTTAAAGTGATGTAACTTGTCTGGTGTTGCCTGTGACTAATTCCACATCTACTGGTCATTATTGTACCATTAAGGATCAACAGAATGTTTCAATAAATTGAATTGAATTGAATTGAATGTATTACCCACTGTCTAGTAACTGGGCATTTAAGAGTATAAATTTTATGGAAGTACGGTATTGTAATAGACCATCTGTTTTAAATAACACATGACAGTAAACAATTAAGATGGTCATGAATGGTTTACTTACAGCTCAATTCCTTTTATCCTGTAGAGGAATGTGTTAATTAATAGTTTTCAGGTTTTAAGGTTCTTGCTATGAAATGACATTGTATATACTGAATTTTTATTATATGTTCTAATTTTTAAATCTTGATGAAATGTATTATATTTGGATTGTTAAATTAAGTATTTGTAGTTATGTGATGGAGATAATTGAATCAAACATCTATATTATGAATAGGTCTTTTGTATTAATTTATGATTGTGACAACGATAAGCATATATCTGCATAAATTTGATCATATTTGAATATTTTATGTACAAATTTTGTACTGTGACTGTATTGCATGTTGATGGGTCCATTGTTATTATGTATGTGTTTATGTATTTTGACATGTTCTATATCTTATGGCATGCATGACTTGAAAGGATCTATGGAATTTAAAATAAAGTGAAAGTACATATACCCACATAAAGTATTCGTTGTGACTGAAATGGAGCTCAGCTGGCATAAAGTCTAGGCTGTAGAGTGGCTGACTGAGGAATTGAGGTTTAATTCCCTGACAGGAGCAAAGATTTTTCTCTTCTCTTCAGTGTCCAGACTGGCTGCTCTGGGGTTAAAACAGCCTCCTCTTCTTTGGGTAACTTGGGCTCTTTCCCCAGAAGTTAGAGTAGCTGGGGTATCAGCAGGCAATTCATCCTTTTCTGCTGCTGATATTGAGAATGAGCAGTTCAGTTCCTCATCTTCTCTGTATATTCTCATGGCATGGTGCCTAATTAAGCACAGGAATAACTTTACCTTTACTTTTTACCAACAGAAATATGAAGTTTGGTATGTCTGTATAATCTGATTATAGCATTTGCCTGAATATGTTAGCAGGTTCAAGTGCAGATGGAGGACCAAGAATAAGTAGTGGGTTGACTTTCCCAACATGGGCAGAACTCCAGCAACAGACATACCAGTATGACAGTACATCACTGAATCCCAGTGCTGCTAAAGTGGTGAGTGTTTTGCAAAATATTGTGATACATGAAGTCAAAAGTATGCATATCTTTGTGCTTTGTGCTTGTGGGTGACAGTTTTTAGTGTTTCATTTGGCATGGGTCTTCACCTTTAATATCAGATGTATTTTTATAATGATTTAAATTAAATTTAATATTGTCATGGTTTACTAACTACACACAGGGTTTGGATTGGTAATAAGATTTAGTGCACACTTGTAACTTGTAACTACAGGTAACAGTAACACTTTCATGGATCTACACACTCAACAAATCACTCTACTCCAGCACACATAAAGTTTTCTGTGTTCACCAGGTGTTGCTAGGTGACAGCTCACAACAGTGGCTGTTCCTTTGCTCTGCTACAACCAGGAGGTCGTGGGTTTGAATCCTGATGAGGTTCCCCTCTCCCCCCAATTTACCTAATCCCTCCAGCCACAATATGGGCCTAGGGTTGACTCAGCCTCTAACAAAAATGAGTATCAGGAATCTTCCTGTGGGTGTAAAGGGCGGCTGGCATATAAGGCTGACAACCTTACTGCCATCTGTGAGCTGATTATCTAGAGAGAATGTGGGAGCCTTGACATCTCACAACCATACAGGCCCTCTTGGCCTCTTACACGGATAGCTTTACCCTTTTTTGCCTTTTATCTTTTGATACATCCTTGCTGGATGGCAGCTCACTCTCAAGTGACCCTCATGATCTCCTAGCCATGACTGACTCTCAACTGCAACTAACTACCGTATTTACGCATGTATAGGCCGCACATTTTTTGCCAAAAATTCAAGAGGAAAACTGGGGTGCGGCTTATATTCGAAATATTCGAAATCACACTTCATTTAAAAAAATTATATTCATAATTAGTAATACAGGGTGT